AAGCTGTAAAGCAACCAAATCATCCAAATAATTTCTTACTCTGAATTTTGATATATGCTATCTATCAAATGGTCACCCTTTACAGCTCTGTGGCCAAGGAGAGTCTTTATGCTTCCTCTTGTAAGATACCACTCTGAGGTCACTTGTCAGTGAGCCTATGCCTGTTAAAATGTGCTGTGGCATGAACACTTGAAAAAAGTCCAAGGGAGGGTAGAAACCAAATAATGGGATACGTGTAAATAATTTCTCCATAAATATGTTTTGGGAAATCAAGGAGAATAGACCCAAAACATGCAAATAAGTATATTCATCCAACTTATACAACAACCATGGGAAGACACTGATGGGAAAGAAACAAGGTAATACCTAGTATATACTTGGAGAAATAAGTCTCTAAATAAATCAGGAAAAAACTCCACACACAATACGCTTCAAATTATACATCTCACTAAATTTGCCTCATGATTAACCAGTTCCAAGGCATAAAGATTGCCCAGAGAAAACATTGAAAAACAATTATTACAAAAAAATATATTAAAAATTAACAAAGCCTCTTCCAATAAGCACCTTCAACCCAATCAACAAACTCCAATTCAGTAGGGAATTCAATACCTTACCTTCCTCACACCTGGGCTTTGCAATCAAATCCCTTGGAGAATATCTTTATGTGGATTCATCCCAGGGGTATGTCTTGGAGTTTGCCTAGAAATCACTGCCCTTCTATTTTAAATGTATTTGGGAGGGTAAAAGCATTGCTGCTACTCATTTAACACGGTGGACAATACATGCCTCAAGCAAGAACACGAAGGGCTTCTTTTTGCAGGACCAGGTAAATTTCTTATCAAAATTCCATCCTGTAGCCAAATTTAACATGGTTGAGCTGAAGTCCAGCAGGCAATAGCTACAAGAGCCAATAAAGCAAGAGAAAAACTGTTAGAGAAGAATCACAGCCCTAACTCTATCCCAACTGCTTAAGTAGAAATAAGTGACAAATTAACAAATTTCATGCAAAACAAAATCACACTAGGCTCTCTGATCCTTCAACAAACAGCTTGCTGTAAAAAGAACAAAAAGCAATTCTGGAATGACCCAGTGGTCAAGGTTGTTTATCATATGTCTTACATACTGAAAATTGATAAATTTCTTTCAGCATACATCTCAATTCACATCTGCTGAGGCACAAATTCACCTGTCCATTCAAAGATCCACACCCACAGTAAAACTCGTTCTTATCCAACTCTGTTTCGTAGAGTACAAACAACGCGCAAGTAGATTACAAATATCACGTGATATTTTTACTCCACAAATATCCGTGACATTTGCCCAGACTGAAATGTAAATGTGGCGTGTTGGATAATAAATCTCTTATTAGACATTTTGTTTGTAGTATCGCCGTGTATTTTCACTCGGTTGTAATTTTAATTGCCCTATGGGCTGTTCAAATATGGCACAACTCGTATTAAAATTACTCACCAATACTACACAACAAAACATATAATTAACAATTATTCCACGAGTGCATGTTGCATAGGACATAATACATAGCCAACAGGGCGCATAGCCCCGAGTTAGCTATAATCATCTCATATGCAACAAGTGCTCATGGAATAATTGTTTTCTTGAAAAAAGAAATGCCCCCAAGATATTAAACAAATCTTCTTGACTTTATTTCCTGAGAAGAAACTGGATGTTACAATGTACATATATTAGAATATTGTATATTTGCACCTATACCATAATGGCTAAGCCAATGTAAAGTATTGAATTGCATTATCCAATGATCCACTTTTTAATAAATTTATATATACTAAGGTACCCGGTTTTTCTGTTGTTATCAACAGGGATGTTGGTCACCTATTAGAAATATTTATGGGGAAAATAAGGATTTTTTTCTCTAAAAGGTTGGACTTTTTAGGGAAAATTGTTTGAAACTTAGGACTTTTTAGGGCATTTTTTAGTAAATGTATCTTACCTTTTTTCCCATCCAAACACAAGCATACTTACTCAATTACAAGCGCAATATACAAAGTTTTCAACAAGAGGATGGCCATCGTTAGAATGTGTCTACAAAAGGCCTTATGTAAATCCAACATCAATAAAATTTAAAGAGAGGCTCCCAGTTGTCAACTATCCTTGTCAAAGCTGGAATGAGTGTTAACCATCTGAGCTGAACGTGACGAATAAACAGTTGCTCGTCAAAGCCAAGGTCAGTTTGTGCTTTGAAATAATCTTCTTCATGAGCTGGATGTGCTTTGGACTAATAAAAGAGATCAAGGTCCAGTTGTTCAGCATGCTGACCATACTCAGACAAGGCATGTCTGACGCTGTTATGCATGATATCAACATTACAAGGCAAGAATTCTACAAGAGCAGGGAAACCCAATCCCTTCATGTTCTCATTGAGGGACTTCCAAAATGTTTTATTCACATTTGGACCATCTGAGCCTGTGCTGAAGAACTGTTCTTTATTCAAACCAACCTCTTCCAATGTTGAAACAATGGAATCCAATCATTAGAAAGTAAAAATACATCAAACAACAAAATTGTCAGGTAGCTCAATGGATACAGTGCTGGACTGTTGTGCAGGAGGTCGAGGGTTTGAGCCCTGGCCAGACCAACACTCAAGGTCTTCAAATAACTGAGAAGAATATGCTTCATTTCTGTAACATAAAGAAATGGTTAGATATTCTAGTCTTCTCGGATAGGGATGAATAAATGGAGTTCCCATCTCCTGCAGGGTTAGGGGTAGGACATGTTAATTTCCCACACACGAGTATACTGTGTGTTGGATGTCCTCCCCTGGGGTAGGTTGGGTGGGTGCTTACAGGGCTGTTCTGAAAACCACTTCTGCAAAAATGCACCCTGTCTAAAGATTATCTATCTATCTATCTAAAACAAACAAGTAGTTATTTAAGACAAACTCTCTTTCACCTTTTAAAGTGGGGTGACTTTATAATCACTGTCAGCCTGACTGAAAACACATAGTATTCAACAATGTCATCTTCCAGTAAGCGCGCTGTTTTTATGAACTGTTCGTTTCACTCGGATTCCTTTGTTTTCGGAGTTTCAGCTTCTGCATGAATACGTCATCAAAGAAATGGAAGGCAGAAGTGGACAAACAAGGAAAAGTTGGTTCTTTCTTCTCTTCTGGCTCTGCTTCATGGTAAGGTGATGTTCAACTGCACAAATCACAAGTTGGGCTTCAGCATTTCTCTTTCAAATCAACCACTAGGATGATGCCTAAGTGAATTTAATAGCATAAGATGCAGGAGCCCTAGAAGTTGTCACACATGCACTTGCTGTTGTTGAACTTTAAAAATAAATGCACAAAAAAGTCAGCGATTTGTTAACTACAAACTTACACAGTTAATTGGGTCTTCCTCCCCCTTGTTTACTCCTCATGCAAAAAATACGTATCAGTTGTACAGCACTTTGTGGAAGTGAGGTTTGGTTCATCCGCAGGCAGCCCAAGCTCACTACTAGAAGAGCGAACGTGACTCTTACAGTGTTGTGCAACCTTTTCTATTGATAAAGGTTTGTATGGGATGTTATCGGTTTGCCTTCAAAGAGAGGAAAAAATGTCTTGTTTTGTAATAAAATGGACTTACCTTATTACCTTGTTGTTTTCTTTGTTGATTCCTAACATCTCAGGCCACTTTGAAGCGTTTTCGGCGAGTTAGCGCTATGTTGGTGTTCAAATGCTAAAAGAAAGACTTTCTTAGCATGTAAGAGTCGTGTGCAACATGGTAAGAGTCATGTCCGCTTTTCTAGGTGTGAGCTTGGGCTGCCTGTGGTTCGTTTTTTATAAATCAGAACAGACAGTTACGTTTTGTTAGTTTCTCAAGGCAATGCTGTTGGTTCAAGATAAAATGTGTTACGTCCTTGACATGTTTTTGGTGAGGGTGGGTATAACTTTTCCAAATCCCAAAAAGAAACAACATGCATATCTCTTCCATAAACAAAAAACACAAAATGTATGCTTTACTTGCAGCCCTATCTTGTAATGATAAAAGCATAAGAATGTAAAATTACTCTTGGAAACTTCTCAGAGTCTTCCCAATCCCATAGAGAAAAGGGGCAGTAGTAGCATTTTATTTACTCCATGTAAAAGTTGCATTGAAATAAAAATGTATTTGGAAAATTTTTTGTGTTGTTCCCCAAAAGCCTTATCCTGCCGCCCCACCTTTTCTCATTGACAGTCACACCAGTAAATGTTTGTCCCCCTGCTACTTCTTTCCTTTCCCCGCCTACTTAGAAAATTAGTGACAGCCCTGACTAATGATAATGCTCAAATTTAGCAAATAAACATTATTATAATAATCTAACATCAAACTGTCAAAACTATTTACAAGGAAATGTGTGACAACTGTTCGGGAGAATTGACAATCAAATCTTTAACATTACAATACTCTAAAGAATCCTTCATAGGCCCTTATTATANTATTTTCATACAAATTTACAATTCAGTTTTTTGCGAATAAAAATTGGCAGGATTTAATAGAATTAATCGCCGGATTTAATAGATTCAATATAGGTGGACTAAAACAAACGGATGGATTTCATACCGAGTTCATTTTGACTTGCCCCACTCCATTTACATATTCCTTTTTATGACCTAGACCCCGTAATCACAGCTACATTTCGAAGAATAAAGGCTGATAGTTTCGAAAGAAACTGTTTGGGGCTGCGTCGGTGGGAGTAACGAAATAATTTGGATATATCAACAAAGTTGACATGATAAATTGGCCACCGTAATGATTACAAAAGCTGACGTTTCGAGCGTTAGCCCTTCGTCGGAGCGAAGGCATTTCCAAGACTTAACCGTTTCCAATACTTAACCGTAAACCGCAAGGGAAAATGCTCGATCTCCAAAAGTGAAAATAAGTTGAAAAACGTCTATAAAGCCATTAGCAATCTAAATAAATGATTTAGAACAATGATTTCTGCAGTTTCCTCAGGTATAAGATTCAACCCAGGGTGTTACGAAAACGAAGACCCTCGAAAACGAAGAGGTAGGACATAAGACCCGGTCCTCGTTTTCGTACTACGACAACGAAGATCGGGTCTTAGGTCTTACCTCTTCGTTTTAAAGGGTCTTCGTTTTCGTAACATCCTTCAACCCAACCGTACTTTTCCTGTTTCAGTAGGCGCCCGTTTCCAACTGGAGTAACATGACCTAACATGGAAGGTTACATTAATCTACTATCTAACCCAAATCCATAGTAGCAAAAAATTCTCTGTAATTTCAGTAGTAATTCTACTTCACGTTACCTGTTCATCTTTTGGTATTCACCCTTTCAGAGGTTTCAGAGCAGCTTCTACGCACATCTTAGTTAGCTCAATGCAAATGTTTTATTTACCGCTGTCCAAAAGGAATTTGACGACCAGAAATTATAACTAGAATTAATATCTAAATTTCCACCCAGAGATAGAGTGGGAGGGGGTATAGCTCAGTGGTAGAGCATTCGACTGCAGATCGAGAGGTCCTTGGTTCGACTCCGAGTGCCCCCTTTCCGTACAGTACTTTTTTTCCCTTGCCATTAATTAATTATCTTTTTTTCACGCAGTATTTCTTTTAAATATACCAGGTTCTCTTAACCTTTTCTACTTTCTCAAATGATGAAGTTAGAAGTTATCTGTCCGGCAGCATTAATATCCTTTTCTGAAAAAAAAAATTTCTCTTAATTTACGCTTCAATATTGCCAAGTCTGAAAAACATTTATAAGATTTTTGATGCATTTGTAGAGTGTGTCATTTAAGGTAACCTCCAATTGTCAAGTAGTACGATCCTCTTTTTACAAAGTAGTACAACTTCATTCCACCGAAAAAAAAAAAACAAAAGAAAAAAAAAAGAAAAAAACAGGAAGCCTCACCCTCTCCCTCTTGATAATGTTGTGTCACATCTCTTCTCGACAGACGGTAAATAACCTTCACGCTAACATGGCTGCAGCAAGCACTAGTGAGCACGAAAAGGAGCTGGTGGGATGGTTTTACCCATCGGAAAAGATCAAATCGGAGGCGTATGTGTCCAGCATGGATAAATACAAAGAAATGTATCAAAATTCCATCGAAAATCCAGCTGTTTTCTGGGGCGAGATTGCAAAAGAATTCTACTGGTAAGTCCCGCCAAACAAAGACAAATTTATGGAGTTTAACTTTGACACTCGTCAAGGACAAGTCTTCATCAAATGGATGGAAGGGGCAGTTACAAATATTTCATACAATGTATTGGACAGGAATTTGGAGAAAGGGCTTGGAAACACAGTGGCTTTTTACTGGTAAGTTAGCTTTAGGTTAGTTCTCTATTTGTAAACTTTGTCTGTACGTTTATCACGTGGAAGTAAATTTTAATTTCGCGACTATATTCTGTACTGTGGAAAAAAAATAATGCCCTATGTTAGTGTTTTAGTGGCATGTTGCTGGTACCAATCACATTTTTGCAATAGGGTATGTGTTTTTTTATTTGTCAAGTTGTGGGCTTTGCTATCCAGACATCCTGACTTTTGTTTGATAATAACCGGCCTATCCACAAAATCAGAACATTTTTGGTTTGGGATAATTAAAATACCACTTAGCACTACAGGATTGACTTCGCAAAATTTACTTCTTTTCCTGTTTAGCTAAACAATGCCTAATTTAATGTTGTTTTAACTAGCTTTGGTACCAGTAACATTTCAGTTTACTTCTGCCTTGGCTCTTAAAAATCATTGCAATTACTCATAGTGGTGATTACAATAATGGAATTGTATGTATTTATATTCAGTTGTCTTCTGATATAGTCACTTCCAATGCGGAATTTAATATTTTGACTGTGTATTTCTATTCTTCCCTAGGCAGGATGGCCAACTGGATATGCGACACCTTATGAACCATTATGTTTAGCTCTGAATGCCATTTTTGCGCATGCTTAGGACATCAGATATAGCCTCCACTGAAACAAAGTATAGTTTATTGTTTATCATCCCTGCAGTTATAAATGCTAGACAATTAACAGTATTAATGGCACAGAAATCCCAGAAGGATAGATGGTAAATTTCATGAACAAACAGCAACAACAACAAGATAGCTATGCATTAACAGATGGCTGAGAGAACTTTACTTTAAAATGCACCAATTCCTGCCAACCTCATCAGCACATAATGGTTGACAAGGTGAGGTGTATCCAGTCAACCTAAATGCCTGCAGAAGACAAGTAGTATGAGGTTTGGATTGTGGCGAATATCCAGATCATAAGTGACTGCCTCATGAGACAAACCATCGTAGTTAACTTCAAGATGTTCCATATGATGGGAGATTTTAAGGAGTGTTTTCACTTTTTTAGTGCAATTTAGGGAAGGGAATTTTCCTGGGGACAACAAGCAGATTACATACAGTGACCTCCTCAAAGAAGTGTGCAAGTTTGCCAATGTTTTGAAAGACAAAGGTGAGGTCTTTCAAATATTATTATTATTTTATTATTATAAATTCCAAAATAATATTTTGTTTCTGTGGATGACTTTTAAAACAACAGGTTCAGTATTTGCTTGATAATTGTGTTGTGTTTTTGGAGAAGAAACTACAGTGCCCCAGTCTCTACTCACGAGTACTTGGTACCAGCAAACTGCTAGGGAGAACTTTACTGATAAGAAGAGTTTAGTTACTGATCTGCAATATACAGCCACTGAGTAGCATCCTGTCACAAAGAGTAGCAGTGCTCTTTGTGGTTTTATGCTGTTAAAACTAAGATAAGCTGTAGGANAGGACATCAGATATAGCCTCCACTGAAACAAAGTATAGTTTATTGTTTATCATCCCTGCAGTTATAAATGCTAGACAATTAACAGTATTAATGGCACAGAAATCCCAGAAGGATAGACAGTAAATTTAATGAAAAGACAGCAACAACAACAAGATAGCTATGCATTAACAGATGGCTGAGAGAACTTTACTTTAAAATGCACCAATTGCTGCCAACCTCATCAGCACATAATGGTTGACAAGGTGAGGTGTATCCAGTCAACCTAAATGCCTGCAGAAGACAAGTAGTATGAGGTTTGGATTGTGGCGAATATCCAGATCATAAGTGACTGCCTCATGAGACAAACCATCGTAATTAACTTCAAGATGTTCCCTGTGATGGGAGATTTTAAGGAGTGTTTACACTTTCTTCGTGCAATTTAGGGAAGGGAATTTTCCTGGGGACAACAAGCAGATTACATACAGTGACCTCCTCAAAGAAGTGTGCAAGTTTGCCAATGTTTTGAAAGACAAAGGTGAGGTCTTTCAAATATTATAATTATTATATTATTATAAATTCCAAAATAATATTGTGTTTCTGTGGATGACTTTTAAAACAACAGGTTCAGTATTTGCTTGATAATTGTGTTGTGTTTTTGGAGAAGAAACTACAGTGCCCCAGTCTCTACTCACGAGTAATTGGTACCAGCAAACTGTTAGGGAGAACTTTACTGATAAGAAGAGTTTAGTTACTGATCTGCAATATACAGCCACTGAGTAGCATCCTGTCACAAAGAGTAGCAGTGTTCTTTGTGGTTTTATGCTGTTAAAACTAAGATAAGCTGCAGGCATAATGGGCCCATAGGCTAGTGGGCCTGACAACCCTTTTTAGCATCAATCTGTGTGCGCAATGTGTTACTGATTCTACAAACGTGATGTGATGTACAGCTAATGTATATGTACAGCAGTTTCCAATGAAAGTGAAGCAGACAAATTCATTTGAAAGAGGAGATTTTATATATATTTGACTTTTTCTTTTCATGATTTTCCTATTCATGGGTAATGGAACTAAACAGGATTTTCTCTCTTGTCTTCTCCCACACATCAGGAATTAAGAAAGGTGACAGAGTGGCTATATACATGCCAATGATTATTGAGCTGGTAGTTGCAATGTTAGCTTGTGCAAGAATTGGAGCTGTCCATTCAATTGTGGTGAGATAAGATTTTAAAATTCCTTCACTTTAATTCTAACCTTTATTTCTTTTCTTTCTTTGCATTTTTCATTTTAAAAGTTTACCTTACTACCCTAATTATCCTCTTTGTGATGATGATCAGCTAAGCAGTAATTCGTTGATGTATTTTTGATATTACCCTTCAAGTGGGGGAACCGCCAACCACCTACTGATTGATTAGATGAGAACAGTAAATTGACTGAAGGGAGTTGAGACTTCCTTGCAAAGAGACAAGGCTGTTACTTGTTAAAAGGAACCTTAAAAGAAACTGGATTGTTGGTTGTGCAGTAGCACTTTGCTGACTCTCATCCTGAGCGATGATAATTTTATAGGTTCTCCTTACAATATTGTAATATACTGTCTAGCAGACAGCTAAGGAGAAGTAAGAAAGTCATTTTCTTGATATCGCTTCCAATTCTTATTAACAGTCAGAAAAACTAATGGGTTGAGAATGTCGAGAGAATGACCCCAACATCTTGGAAGAGTCAAAACAAAAATTTCACCATTCAAGATCTGTTTCAAAATGTTTAAAGTTCATTAGCAAGCCTCACTTTGATGCACTTTACAAAGTTTTCCTGGCTCATGCAAAAACTAATCAAATGTGTGCTATCATGATGGCAGTTTAAGTGAGTTTTATATGGGATATAGTAGTTCTGAGTTGATCTTGAGCATTTGTGCATTGCATCAGGTGTTTCTTACATGCACTATATGCATTTTCTGATCCACAGTTTGGAGGTTTCTCAGCAGAATCTCTGGCTGAGCGGATACTTGACTCATCCTGTAAATTACTTGTCACTGCAGGTGAGTTCATCTCTATTTGTTTTGCAGTAAATGGCTTGAACCCAGGGGTAACATGTGAAGGTGTAGTCTGATCGTCCGGGTGAGTGTAGTCCTGAGAAGGACTGTTGTCGGTGGTAGTGACTGACGTTTCGACAACCTGTGCGGAAGTCATCATCAGAGTCAAGTGAATGATTGTTGTCAGTAGAATGTTCTTATTCCATTTCGTGTGAAATGATCGGTTGGTTTTGCCGTGATGTTATTGGCTGTAAGACTCAAGTGACGTAAGTCGGTCGTGATTGATCTGTTTCGATCTGTCGGTAAAGTTAGGTCGTTATTTTTCGGTCGTTTGTGATGTTTATGTTGTGAATGAGTCGTTTCTATGGAGCGAGTAGTTGTTGACTTCTGTTTAGGGGAGTCTGTTCTAAGTTAGTAAACCAGCTTTCCAGAGTCAGTCGTTGAAAATAGTCAGTGGTGTAGGTTAGGCATTGTGCAGAGTCCCAGTCAGTCTTGTGGTTGGTAAGTCGATGGTGTTCAGCAATGTGATTGCTGACATCACATATCCTCGTCGCCTGTCTGTGTTCAGTCAGTCATATTGTGAGCTTTCTGCCAGTCTCACCGATGTAGGAGGCTTGGCAGTCGGAACAATTGATCTTATAAATCGTTCCCTGTCTGTTCCTCGGTTCGTCTTTGTCTTTACTGTTGGTTAGTAACTGACGTAGTGTGGTGATAGGTTTGTGGGCAATGCGGATATTGAAGGGTAGTAAGATGTGTGAGATGTTTATAGACATGCCTTTTATGTACGGTATGGTTGCTGTAGTCGTAGGGGTTGCGGTGTCGTTTGTTTCAGTAGTGGTAGTAGGTCGGTGAGTGTTTTGCCGGATGAAGTCGTTGTTGTAGTTCTTCGAAAAAACACGGTGAAGGTATTTGTTCTCGTTGGCTAAGCTGTCTGTCAAGTCGCATACTAGTTGTGCGCGTCGTGTTAGAGTTCTGATAGTTGTGGCTTTGTGTGATGTAAGGCTGTAGGATGACTCATCTAGTAATCTGTCAGTGTGTGTCAGTTTCCTGTAAACTGTCGTACGTAATGAGTTGTAATTGTGGCTTACCAGGCAGTCTAAAAAGGAAGTTTGCCATTTTCTTTGACTTCTCTGGTAAACTGTATGTCAGTGTTTTGTTTGTTAAGGTGGTGGTGGAATGTGTCGATTTTGTCGTGGTGAACAGCGGTGAATGTGTCGTCAATGAAACCTAACCAATAACATCACTTACAACAATCATTCACTTGACTCTGATGATGACTTCCGCACGGGTTATCGGAACGTCAGTCACTACCACCGACAACAGTCCCTCTCAGGACTACACTCACCTGGACGATCAGACTACACCTTCTATTTGTTTTATTTAAAAGTTCTCAAGGAATAGTTGCTGCAGGTGTGACTGAAAATTGCTTTCATTGTTAACAATTTTTTTTTAAATGCTGTCACCTACTTTTCAACTGGAAAGTTGAAGTAAAAGTGTGACACACGCTATTGAGTACTCTCTATTTGTACATAAGTTTCTACTAAATTTCGTCTACATTGATATCAATGTCAACTTAACCATGTGGTTTTCAACTATAGAACATTGCAGATAACAATGTTGATTTCAATATGCTATCTGCAAAATTTCAGATGGGTCATATAGAGGTACAAACCTCATCAACCTCAAGGAAATTTCTGATGAAGCCATTGCAAAGTGCAAAGATAAGTGAGTACCATCTTTATTTACATTAACCATTGTGCAATGCTTTTTACTGACATTAGAATAATACTTAACAGTATTCAGAATGTTAATTAATAGCCCAACAATTCAACCCATTCATTTCTTCTAGTTCTGTGGTATGGCATATCTGAGGATTTTTTAAAAGGGTCGTAGCATTTACTTTTTATAGGGACCATTTGGAATTTCTTGAAGAAATCATTCTGAAATGATATTAATTAGTTACTAAATAGGGATAAAATTATTTTTGTTCATCATTCTTCCAGGGGATTTACTGTGGAAACTTGCATTGTTGTTGAACATGTGACAGGTACCACTGCCACAAGTCCTCATTCATCACCAGTTGCCAAGAAACCTTGTCCACCATCACAGGTGATTCATTATTCAATTCATTCTTGTTCTACTAGTTTTCCTGCATTGCAAAAAATGCATTTTGACTTTGTTTCTGATAAATACTTGACTAGCCTCAATAGAAGATGAGACCTTAACCTTTTTTTATTCAGCAGGTCAATTTTAATGATGCGGTAGACTATTGGTGGCATGAACTTATGTCAAATGCAAGTGACAAATGTGAGCCATGTTGGGTGGATGCTGAGGATCCATTATTCATGCTTTACACAAGGTAGTTAAGATTATCTAAGTATGTCAATTTTTTCAACTAAGACTTTTGCTGATAAGAGAGAGCTTGTTCAGGGTTTTGAATTTAATTTGTTAAATAATTGAATTTGGCTAGGAAATATAAATGAAATGACATGTAAACACTATGTTGCAATAGTGATGGAATCTATCGGGTGTATTCTAAAACTTATCATATCATGTTAACCAAAGTGTATCTTACCCTTTCTTGATCATCAGTGGATCAACTGGTAAACCTAAAGGTGTCCTTCACACTGTGGGAGGTTATATGCTCTACACTGCTGTTACCTTTAAGTAAGTAAACCAAACGTTTTGGCATGTATTTTTCCCTTTGCTTGCTTTTTTGGCTCTATTTGTTTGATTTTCAATGGAGGGATTGTTGAAGATAATGCAGTCAGACAGCTATCCCAATAGGAATATGACTGTCAGTTGCAAGTTCTATCAGTAGAAAGGCTCCCTTAAGATGATTTGGTTGTGTTTTTGTCATGTCTTAACTTAGCTACATAGGATACTTTCCACTGAATCTCTGCACACGCTATGCGTTTGGTATTGCACAATCATTTTCATGTGGGCAGAATTTCTGTTGCTTAGCTGGTTGATTGTTTGATGCTCTGATTGGACCAGACTGAGCAGGGGATCGGTATGAAAGACCTGAATGTTCTTGCTTTTATTTAGGACAAATGTTAAGCATACTACTTCATTGCAAACTATTTTGCAGGGGGATGTAACATTCTAGGATGGTACCTGACTTTACCCCTGCATGAAAATTTAGTGGACAAATTGTCCTTTGAAAAACAGTAGCAAAATGAGACAAAGATTTTACCCACTGATTCCTAAGTGTTTCCTACATAACTTTTTCTGAAATCAGCTCTTCCCAGGAACAAGCCCCAATTAAAGTAGACTATAACTTACTACAAAAAGTTTTACTCAGAAATCAAGAAAAAAAATTAATACAAAATGGCTGTGAATTTTTGTTTCTCTTTACCTGAGATTATGAATTAGAAGCAAGGCAAAAAGTGACCAGGAAATATTTCAAGACAAAATCTTTGTTCGAAGGATTTCTTGATGGACGGTTAGAAGAGAGAAACAAATGAACTTCTTTCGTGTAGGAAACCTGCATAATAAATCAGTAGAATTTTCCATGCTTAGCATATAGACCATTGTTTCTCCTCACAGCCAAGAAATTGTGTAGTGTTGAAAGTTGTATGTTTTAAGCAAAATCCTCAATTAAACTACACTTAACAGACATATTGTAGTTAAAAATAAAATTTACCGGGCAGTGGAACTGTCAGTTGTCACTAGGCCTCACGTAATGAAGTTTGGTTTTCACTTTCTTTTCATTTAAATTATTTTTACATATACTATTAAATTGTCTAGAAAACATTTACAAAAAATCAAAATTCAATTTTCTTCACGCTTTTAAAAAAAAAAGTAATTTCAGCATTTTTTCAGACTTTAACTCAATTATCATGAAATTTTGCCTGGCATCTCCAAATTTTCTTTTTGAGTTTTGATAGCCCTTGAAAAGATCTGCTTGCATGGTCATTGGCCCGGCAAAATTAAATCTCTATTAGCAGGCACTGTCCTTAAAAAGTGCAGAAATATGAAGTTTGACACATACCGCTTTTAGAGCCAGTGTTTCATCCTGTAATGTTTTGTGATATGCTGCTTGTAGGTATGTGTTTGACTATCATCCAGGAGAGATTTACTGGTGCACTGCAGACATTGGCTGGATCACTGGTCATAGTTACATCACTTATGGACCCTTAGCAAATGGTGCAACAAGTGTACTGGTAAGACATTTTGTTATTGTTCCAACTCATTATCCATGAGGAGGTGAGGTATGATATCATTGCATACACATAATGTATGGTTCCAAGGGAAACAGTTTTGTTTTCCTGAGGGTCCTGACGTTTCCCCAGATGAAGTTGAGGGACACAACAGCACCTGAGGGATAACAAAACTAACTAGTTTCCCAAGGGATAATACATTAAGTGCTTTGTTATATATTTAGATTTTCCCTTAAACAATCATATGGCAAAAACATGCTGATTTATTCAGCACGCAGGCAGCAACTGTATAATCAGGGGGATGTGACCAAGGATCAACAAATCACAATACTTGTTTTGTTGAAGGAAAGACTAGGTATGTAACAATGTTTATTACACAACTCGGGCAGTCAGTGGGCCAATAACTAAAATCAACCAATCAAAATGCTCTATTGCCGGTCCAATATTCTCTAAGTATTGGACCGGGCACTGTCCCGAATGGTCCCAAATGATACCACACTTGTGTCCCTTTGAACTTCAGTTGTATAATAAATCTCTTATTTACTAAGCTTGCTGGGGACCATACTGGAAGAACATCGGCCCTCGGTCTTTTTGTATGGACCGAGCGCAGCGAGGTCCGTACTGTCAAGACCTCGGGCCGATATTCTCCCAGTACGGGCCTTGCGCTTGGTTAATAAGGTATATGAATTATCCCTTCACCTGATGTTGGAACATTTCTTCCTGTTTACTGCTATACACAAACAAGTAAATTATTAACCAACTAACTTCAAGTGATATAGCTCCAAGCGTGGTTCAGGCTGCCCTCATCCGGAACCTAAGAGTCACCTCCAAATGGTTTCATGACTGTGGTCTGACCCTAAACTTGGACAAATGTAAACTCCTAGTTTTGCCCAAGTGAAAAAGCAATCTAGTAGAACTGGATATTGAAGGTTTCCAAGTCAAAGCGACCGATAATGTGGCACTCTTAGGGGTTGTAATTGACAATAAGTTAAATTTTAAGAGTCATATATCTAGGTTAATTAAGAAAGTAGGTAAACAAATTGATGTACTTAATCGATTCAAACACATTCTTTCGTTTTCGTCAAAGATACGTATATATAGGGCATTTATCATGCCTCACTTTACTTATTGTAGTTCTGTTTGGAATAGCTGTCTCAAAGAAGATAGTGACCGGTTAGAGAGATTACATGAGAGGGCTCTTAGATACGTGTTTAATGACTTTTCCAACGGATGTGATAGTCTATGTTATAAGATTGGTTACTCATTAAGTTGTAGACGGAAACAAGATATGCTTTTAATTATTTTTAAAGCCCTCTATAACAATATGCCTCAGTATATTCAATCTTTATTTCAAGTAAGAGAAAATAAGAAAAATCTTAGGGGCAAAAACAAACTTGTTTTACCTGTAGCTAAGACCACAACTTTCGGCCTCAAATCAACTTCTTACATTGCTGCTAAGGCTTGGAATGCATTACCTGATAAGCTAAGATTAATGGATGAATTTGGCACTTTCAGGAATGAGATAAGAAATCTAAGTAATTTGTAATTTTAAAACACCATCATTTATATCATCATTTATATTTAGGCTTATATTATTTTTAAACTCTGTAAATTATATTCATACATTTTTCTCGGTATATTAGCATCTCTATTGCTAGAGGCCTAACAAGCCTCATTTTCATCCGAGTTTAAATAAAGTCATCATCATCATCATCATCATCATCATTTGTTTAGCAGTCCAAACTGACTGAATTATAATTATTGTTTTATACTTTTTGTTTTGAAATTTTATGCAGAGCCATTCCAAATTTTTCCTAGTTACTTTCATGCACCTTTCATGGAGTTGGCAAAACCATTTCTTATTTCATGAGTGTGGCTGTATTTTAACTGTGTGAACGTTTTGTACTATACAGACATTCTTTTCAAATTTAAATCATCATTTCTTGTTTATAGTTTGAGGGTACTCCTTTCTATCCTGATTCTGGCCGATTCTGGGACGTTGTTGATCAATATAAGGTCTCCAAATTCTACACAGCTCCAACAGCCATCAGGTCTCTCATGAAGTTTGGAAATGATGTTGTGCAAAAGTAAGTGGCAAAGAAATTCTCTGTTTTGGTTGTGTTGTATATGAGTTGTATTTCTGGATCATTATCAGAATTAAACAAGTGGCAAAAACAGTTATCAGCAAAAGAAGGTTTGTTATCTCTATATGATTACTTTTCTGGCACAAAAAAGCTTAATTTGACTACATTATTTTATGCTGACAAAGTAAAAACACCCCTGGGTGTCCCCAGTTACCATTAAGCCTTCCCAACTGCAAAAAATATAGTGAGTATGATCACTTTGTTTTTTAGAAACAGCAGAAATCCTGGCACTGTGTCTGTCTTGTTAATGATGAAAATTTTTTTTTCTTTTGTGAATATGTTACATGCACTATTCTCAATTTGGCATGACAGTTTTTATTTATGATTATTACACGAGGCTAGGAATAAGCAGTGAAAAAGCCAAGCAATTTTATTCTTGATCTCTAAAATGTATTTCTTGTTGTATTCAGGTATAGTCGTGAGTCTCTGAAAGTACTTGGCACTGTAGGAGAGCCCATAAATCCTGAAGCGTGGCTGTGGTATTACCATGTTGTGGGAAATGAGAAATGTGTAATTGTTGATACTTACTGGCAGACAGAGACTGTGAGTACAAGTTATGTATTTAAGTGATTTATTTATCTATATTTGCCACAACTAAGTGCAAAGAATGTAAACTTCCTTTTCCCTTCCCTGATATATGTACATCTGATTTACTAAACTCTTGTGGAAGTGTTCAAGACTCAAAGCAAATGTTAACCCCTTACACCCTAACAACAGTACATTTCCAAAGGCTCAGACAAGGAGAATTTTTTTAACAATCAACAGCTTCTTCAAGTCGTGGTCGTTCCTCTACTCTTGTCACCTTAACCCTTTACACCCCAAAATTGGTAACATCAGTATGCATATTCTCCATACTGTCCTCTATACATTTCCCATGATGCTGACAAGGAGAATTTGTTTCACAGTCAATAGCTTCTTTACTTGGTGATCATTTCCTTTACTTTCTTGACCTTAATTTGTGATTCAGGGGTAATATTGTAAGGAAGAATTAGATGCAATTAAGACACATTTATGGGTGAAATGGTTAACAAGCAGCAAATACACTAACCTTAGATAGAACTGATGCAGAATCTTCCCCCAAAAAAAACCATGTGAGGGATGGTGTAAATTATGGAAAGTAAGGCAGCCCAAAGTAGAAGGCTAATTAACTAAAGGTACATGATTGCAAAAACAACTAATAACTGAAAACAAAAGAAAGTTGACAAAGACAATTTTTCAGAATACAACTTTTTTCCTTCAGGGTGGGCATGTCATCACTTCCCTGCCTGGAGCAACACCCATGAGACCTGGAGCTGCAGTAAGATTCTTGCCTGTGTTCTACCTCTTGCTTAGTCCTCTCAATCCAGAAATTCTAAGTTTTCTCAAGAAAATAGGAACAAACATATTTTGAATTAGTTCAGTTACATGGAAACCTTACCTTGTTTCAACCTCATGAACTGGTCATATATCAAATTTGCACCCTGTTGCTGACAAGTTTTCCCATTCAAATCCTGTTTTAACATTAATAAGATGTCAATAACTTCCTGTAAGCTAACTTGAAGTTTTCAATTAGTGAAGGGTGATAAATTAAAAAAAAAAGGAAAACTGTCCAGAGTTCATCAGTTCCTATTTTTGTAAATGCCTGCTTAGAACAGTTACCCTTATATTAGAACTTTGCTCAGCACTGCATATTACTTTGTTGATATTTTAAATTTGTCACTTTTTTTTTCAGTCTTTTCCATTCTTTGGAGTTGTACCAGCCATCGTTGATGAACATGGAAAAGAACTTGAAGGAGCTTGTGAAGGTTTTTTGGTAATACCTGCAAGCTATTTGTTGAAATTTCTAAATGTGCAAAAGCAAATTGACATCATACTTTGTAGTTATAATGCTTTTTTTTTTTTTTTTTTACATTTTCGCATTTTGAAGGTGATGAAACAACCTTGGCCAGGCATGGCAAGAACTATTTATGGAGATCATGAACGATTTGAACATGTTTACTTTTCAAAGTTCAATGGCTACTACACCACAGGAGATGGTAGTTTCCTTCTTATAGAATTATGTACTCTGTACCTTTCATCAAATTCTTTACTGTGACCTCATTGAGCGGGTTGAGGAATCAGCATAGAGAATTTAGTTACATACATACTTACATACTTTATTTAATGTGGCTAACACTTAGCTATATAAAGCTACTTTACAGGTCAGTCATGAAAATAAAAGAAAAATAAATAAACTTAGAAGCTATGTAAAAGTGTTTAAAACTATTTTAAATTAGTATTATGGAAATGCCTAAATTTATAGAACTATTAACTTATAAAAACAAGAATATATTGTGATAAGAGATTGCTTTGCCTTTAAAGTGTTTAAAATGATATAGTATATACAAACTACAATTATAAAACTCTAATGCTTATATACTAAGAAAGCTAAGTTAAATACAAAAAATAGGGAGCTATAAACCTGCAAGGTCAAGTTCCTTGAGTTCACATTTAAAAGTGCGATAGGTATCCATATTTCTGAAATTATTAGGAATAGTGTTCCATAGGTGGGCAGCTTGATATTTCCACGACTTAATCCCATACTTTGTCCAATTAACTTTAGGTAATTTTAAAATAGCATCACTATGTAAATTATAATTAGAATTGCATGCAGTCAATAACTCGGATATACTTGCAGGTACGTTTCCATTCCTAATTGCTTGAAACACGGTACTTAACATTTTTGCAAGTCTTTGGTTAGCTAATGTGTTATTTCCATTCTTAGCAACTAATGTCTCATAAGAACTTTTATCCTGATAAACAAAGCAGAGTGCCTGCCCGTTTAGTTTTTCAAGTTTTTTCATTAAGTGAGTACCACAAAAATGCCAAGACTCGGCACAATAATTAAAATGAGGAGCTATGAATGCTCTATAAAGATTCTCCCGCAACTTTAAAGGAAACAGTTTCTTCATCCTTTTCCTAGTTGACTTCTATGATCTGATAAATAATCCTCCTTTCTAATGGCTATACATTTCTTTGCTAGCCAATTAAGAGAGCTTGGTATGCATAACCCTCCCTAGTGCTTTCTCCATTTTTATCAATTTTGTCTTGGATAACATTCTGAGATTGTACGGAGATATGTTACATGTTCATCACTTCTGAGACTTACAAGGATTTATGGCACTAATTTGTTGGTGGTAGGTTGCAAACGTGATGATAATGGTTACTACTGGATCACTGGACGAACAGATGACTGTATGAATGTTTCTGGTCACTTGCTAAGCACAGCACAAATTGAGAGTGCTTTAGTGGAACACAGTGGAGTAACTGAAGCTGCTGTGGTATGTTAGCCATCATATAGGTCTATATTCTAAATATTTATTACATCTAAGTTGACATACATGTATAAGATTGCTTCCCTACCCCTGCCTCCTGCTCCCTACTCCTAAGACAGCAGTGTCTTTTTTTTCATGTAAACTTGGTGTTAATTCAGTCTTTATTTTTATATTATAAGGGGAAAAGGGATTCAAGGACTTTGACTTTGAATGTTATTATACTCTGCTGCAACCAGTAATAATAGCAATGATAAAGACTTTCCATGGAAATTGTAAGGGGTAGATATGTTGAATTCTGATACAAAGCTATTATTACCTTTTGGTATTTTGGTTTCATAGGGAACAAACTTGTAAGATTAGTCATGAGCACAATTTCTAATTTAGTGATGAAAGCTATTTTTTGACTGTCTGCCTTTGTCACAGCTTTGCTTTTCACTGCATGACACTTTATTGAATTGTAAAGTGATCAAACAAATTAAATGGAGAAAACACTTAATAACTACTTGCGGTTTATTTAACAATGTACCTAATTGTTCAATAGCTGGTCCACAAGTATTGAAATGAGGCTAAAAACGTAGTGCATGAACTTAGGACTCTACAAAAATTGATTGGGAAAACCTTTTCATCAGCCTCCACTTCATAGTTCTTGTTTTTTCTGCACTCAGGTATCTTGTCCTCACAGAGAAAAAGGAGAAGGCATCTACTGTTTTACCACATTGATGGAGGTAAAATCAGCTCCAAAATGAAATGCCTAGTTAGCAATTTGGAGGAGCACAAAAAAAAGGCTGTGGTTGTAGTCATTTACGAAAATAATTAACATGAACTAAGGACATGAATGTCTCAATAATTGTTTCACTTGAATTTCAAATGAAATCCTCTGCCCTGCATTCTATTTCTAGTAATGATCGAAAGCACATGTATTTTTGAACTTACTGAAAAAAGAACGTGATGTCTTGAACTAATAAACATTTTGCTTTCAAGGGTGTGGAATTTGATGACAAGCTCATAAAAGAACTTAAGCAAAAAGGTAGGAAGTTTATTTTTCTCCTTGATATCTTGTTCTTCTTCTCCCTATTTCCTCCTTATCCATCACACAATGTATTAATAGCAGCCATTTTCTTCAGGAAAAAATAACTAGGTCATTAGTTTACTAATTAGTTAATTAGTTAACCACAAAAAGTCCTCTTGAGATGGACAATTAAAAGTTTTGTACTTGTCAAGAGTAAACACAGCTAAGGGTTTTTGTCAAAATTACTGACAGTCACAACTTACTTTGAGTTCATAGCCTACCGGTTAGCTCAATGGATAGAGCGCTGCTCTGTTGTGCGGGAGGTCGAGGGTTCGAGCCCCGGCCGGACCAACACTCAGGGTCTTAAAATAATTGAGAAGAATTTGCTACCTTTCTATAACATCAAGAAATGCTTAGATATTCTAGTCTTCTTGGATAGGGACGAATAAATGGAAGTCCAGTCTCCTGCAGGGTTGGGGTAGGAGACGTTAATTTCCCACACACGAGATTACTGTGTGATGGCTGTCCTCCCCTGGGGTGGGATGGGTGGGATATTGGGTGCACTTAATTTGGAGCCTCGCTCTGTTGTGCGACCCTCACCACACTCTGGTGAAAGTGATTAAATATGACTTTCGAGGAAGGAGCAGATTCCACCAATGATTTTAAAGCTGAATGGGGTCGACCCTCTCACAGCTTCTTACAGAAGACTGCACCTCTGCCAAGTAGAAAGTAACATTTCTATCTTTTGTTTTTGCATACCTAAGTGCGCTCTAAAATTGGGCCCTTTGCAACTCCTGATGTCATTCAAAATGCACCTGGTCTGCCCAAGACACGATCAGGCAAGATCATGCGCCGAGTTCTTCGTCAGGTTGCAAAGAATGAGAGGAAGATTGGTGATGTGACCACTATGGCTGACTCTTCTGTTGTTGACAACTTGTTTGAAAACAGGCCCCAAGTTGATTTCCTTGTCGAGTAGCATTACATTGCCTGTAAAACTTAGTGCTTTCAATATAGACTTTGGGTATTCTTTAGTTTAGAACACATTCAGCTTATGTAAATTTAATACCCCTTCCTTTTTACAAGTGACAGTTCTGTAGAATCTTGCTTACTCTAACTACCAAGAGGAATGAAGTTCAGGCTAGCCAATGGTAGCTATCTGCAATTAGTTACTTGAAACCTTCAATGCCAAGGAGTGCTGTTTGGCACAGAGTTTTTTAACATTTTGAATATTATAATGCATTTCCATGTGTACCATGTTGAGATCTGCGAATTGAAGTCACAAAATTGTGATTTCATTCAATTGAGGATGTGTTGACCTCCTCTTATGAAATACACATGGGATGATAAACCATAATTACAACAAGCTGTGAACCAGAGCACTAAATGAAGGTGTAGTCTAAAAGCATAACACAGGGCAGTTGGCATATTTCTCAACTTTTTCATATTTTTTGTTTAAATCAGTTCTCCTGAAAAGAAAATGCAGTTGAAAGCTACTAAGATCATTTTTGAAATATGGTTATTAGTAGCCTTTGAATGATATACTGTAACTGTACACTTTATGCTGGATAAGCTGGAGGTTAGAAGTAACTGAGTTTAAATAAGTGATATTGCTATTTTATTTTCTGTTAAGGTATTTGGAAGTGGGTTTTACACCTGTTGGGGTGATTGTTATCTTGGTAGAGGGACATGATGTTTTTATCAGCCTTAAGCTACAAAGGATATATTCTGTTCATGATCATTCAACTACAAGTAATTATAAACATGTATTAATGCCAAACTTTGTTTTGACAATAAAATGGGATAGTTATATTAGAGTATACTAAAATACATCTCCTTTCATAAAAGCAACATCTTACACTATCAAATGTGTGGTGCTTAAAATCTTTGTAAAATGAACAAAAGTGATCAAAAATTTTTTTTCAAGTTAATTTGTCAGACTCCTGATCAGTTTGAGAGAGATGATATGGAAAGTTGATGTATAAATATCCTTCTGGCTTCCTGTTTGTCTCCTTAAACTAAGAAATAGAGACTCTGACATATCTTAAACCATATCAACACAAGTTACAATGACAGATCTTACAACAAAAGGTGAAGTTTATTGCATTGTTATTTCATCAAAACAATCCAGTGTAGACACAAAGGTCAATATTATCAATAAGGATGTATGCATTATATTGAGTGTGTAGGGGAAGAACCCCACTAACTGGAACTTTCAAGTGCACAATGATGGGAGTTCAACTGCAAGCAAGTAATTGAGAATGCTTTTCAAGGCAAGTTGGAGTTAACTGATTTCAAATTAGTGAAACTCAAATATGTGCCTCAATAGAAAAACGGCTGAAGGGCCAGAAGTGCCATATTCTTAAGAGACTTATACTTACTGGAATAGTACTAGTAGTTCAAATGACTGATAATTATTTAAAACATGAAGTGAGGGAAAGATCATGGACATCTGTCTTTGACAAAACCATAAGGATTTGAACCCTAGGCAGTCCCACTTTTGTAGTTGGAGGCTCCACTGATAATAACTTGCAGGCAGCTTTATATAAGGTAGCCTGCATTATGAAGCATTCACATGTTACTGGTAAAAAAATTTCCTTAAAATGCACTTAAGTTGAAGTGAGTGATAACATAAACACAGAATTTCATAAATCTGGTCTGGAAGGGATGATTACTCTTATTGGGTAAGTCTGTTCGAGCAAATGTTCTGGTGGATTCCACTGTTGAGTAATAATGATGAACATAAATTTCTCTATTTTTGCTCCCAAGAAACTTGTCTTACTGTACTCCTCTCCATCTTTTGGTTGAACAAGTTCTAGAAATCTGAAAAATGAATTGTAAACATTTTGTTATAAAAATTGGTAAGGATAGTTAAAGAGGTTTGTAAGTTTAAGGAGATGTCAGTGCTTTCTGAAAGTTTTATGGTTGTGAGATGCTGCTGAGGGGCTTAGGTATCAAGTGTTACGTCATCTTGATTGAATGACAGGAGGCACTTAAAAACTCATAAAGTTAACTGCTAGCCTTTTTAAAATTTCCTAGTAGTACATCTTTAATTTCCTAAACATTTACTGATTCTAATAACTAAAGTTTTAGATAAGCAATTAAGGATAAAAACCAGCGATATTAAAGAATGACATTTTGACGGCTCCATGCCATCATTCTCAAATTCAAATAAATACATTTCATGAGTTCATTATTTAAAAGAAGTATGTGTGAAGGTCTCAATGCATATGATTAAGAAATAAAAACGATAAATAAAAGATAAAATTGTTGAATAAAATACAAGCGTGGTGCGCTGTTCAAGCAGAACTGATGTTTTCAGCAGAAGCCCTTCCTCAGCTTTTCAACACTTTATGGTGGCCAAGTTACAATGTCACTTAGTTGATAAAACCAAGTTACCTTCAGTTGTTACCCCACTGATGCAACACCACAGTTTCTTTGGAAACTTACCTCCATTGTTTACATAAATGCCTAGTTTAGTAGCAACACCTGGTAAATATTTACAGTAATTTCTTCCTGACATTTCAAATTGTGCCCCAAATGACACATTCATACTAACTTGTTATCTTTAAGAAGCTTTTTAGACATGAGTGAGGCCATAAGTCCTTTCTGGACTCCATCAAATACCATAGCAACAGTGTCAAACATGTCCACATCCATCATATCCACCACAGCTGGCTTCCCGTATCTATCAAGTAAATATGAAAGTAACAACTGAACATTAAATCTCTTAATCCTACATTGTACTAAATCTCAAAAGTAGAACACTCATTCTACTACACTGTTTATCCTTAGAGTAATCCTTCTATCAATGAATGCATTGTGCTCTGACTACAATAAGGGACACTATGTCTTTCTTTGTCTTCATCACCTCAAAGCTCCTAAAAGTGCCAGACGAATCACATCAGGCTCCATCTGCTTGGGATTTAGTGCATTTAAGAAATTGGTGTCACGATAGCGCAAGAAAGTGGAGGTCTGAGGGGATGAATCTATCAGTAGGGGCCACCTGTAAACAGAAATTAGAGGATTATTATGGCCATGTATACAGGGAAACTTAGCCATTGTAGTTTATTTAAGAAGTAGACACATTGTCTAATGTGTTTCCAAATTTTCTCACTTTCATATTTTTTCACACCAGTTTGAAATCATGAAATAAATGTTAAAAAAGACAAAACAAAACTGGTTTGAACAATTTAAAACCAAACACAAAGAGAACAACAGCAAAAATAATTAGCATTTGTTGTCTCTACCTTCCATCTGCAGCGATCTTGCCACCGATATCTCTGAACAATACATCATCGAGGTCTTTAATCATTACCTTTGTTCCCTTTAGATCTGTGTCAGCTTAAAGAAAAAGGTAACCCTAAATTAGATGCTCTCATGCACTATACATTATGGTGAATTAATGTGACCTACGATTCATAACTGAAATTACCCTTCTTGATTTGAATGTACTTCTAGTGATTCGTTATACAATGGCTTTGTCTCAGAAAAACATACACTCAAAAGAACATTGAGTAGCCATATGTAGGTACATGCCCAATTTCACAAATGTGGACAGCTGCAGATACCTAATCAAATGATTCACTTCTCTCATTGTTCATGACAACCCATAGTTTGTTAAGATAATCCTTCTCTACCAGGAAAGTGTGGATACCTCCCATCATTCACCACATGTTAATGGTGGTCTTCATGTAGATGTGTACTCATAGAGCTGTAGGGGATCTCATTGTCAACACTTCTTTAAATGTCAATGTTTTTGTACTGAGTGTGTACTTTGTACCACTTCAGCATTTAGTCACTTTTTCTAATGCTTCATTAAAAAAAATAAATCCATTCCACACTCAGACTGTCCACAGAACAGAAAGTATCCATCCACAGTAGACCCAATCATCCACCCTGCATACAGCAGAACACGGTTATCTACACAGTCTGGATAGTCTGTCATGAGGTACAGACCTCCCATGTTCCATTTTTTTTTTGGGACACATGTTTAATATATGTATCTTGTTGCCTTCTAGATCCTTTCATTAGTGACAATATTTTTTGATAAAGTCTGTGAGAAAAACTTTTTTCTCCTCACTTCTTTGACTTTGCACTAAAAATTTGTGACAATCAGTTGTACCATTTATTTCACGTACCTGCAGAATTGTCCTCCTTTTGATGCTGCTCTCTAAGTTTAAGTTTCACCTGTGTAAAGATTCATATTTAGTATCAGACCACCTTGAACAGACCACCTTGAACAGACCACATGAATCAGTTCTACTGTGGTGTGAGTCACAGCATCCACTTGACTTGACACACCAACTAGTTTTCAGTGACAGATGTTACATCCTACCTGAGCTAATGCTTCTTTTGAAACTTCTGCTTTTTTCCTTGCAAGTTCAAGCACTGCCTCAGCATCATGTATAGCCTGAAATATAAAGCAAGTGTAAGTATGCACAGAAGCATATTACCTATATGCTTCTAGTATGTGTCAATAATTTCCAACACAGCTGATTTCATGTGGTTACATGTAATTTGTTCACAAATGACAAAATGATCTTCACTGGTCAACTGGAATTAGAGTATCGGCAAACTTCAACTTAAACCAATGTGGAACAAAGGTAGTTGACGTAAACACTTATCAGCTTTAAAAAGTAGTCATTCAAGCTCTGCTTGAAAGTAAAACTTCATTCCCTTGTCTAAATTGGGGTTGATAGCCCTGCCTAGCTCTAAAAACTGGCATTTAATAGAACAAGAATCATTGCTGTGTGAAATTTATAGAGATCCTCCCCTTGCTCAAAGGTACCTGTATAATATACTTGTAACAGCCAAACTATGAAAAAGGTTAAAATGAGCACTGAGGAGTTGTGTAGGCCTGTCAACTCTATTTTAGACAATTTATTTTATTGGGACCTACCTGCAGGGTTACATCATGTTTGTCAGTCTTTCCTTCAGTCATACACTTGTCATGTTCATAAATTCTTTTGTTTAGTTCACAGTGTGCTTTAGCCAACTGAGAAAGATCAATTTCAAGATAACCTTTAACATATTATAAATTTTATTTGAGAGCATCACATTCTGTGCTGTTGTTTAATCCTTTACCCCTCAAGATCTGAATCAGTCATTCTCCCTCCTTGCTGCATTATATGTTCTTGTAGATTACTTGGGAGAGTTTGATTTTGTCATGACATTTACTAATATAATGAGAATAAAACCCTGCAGCTTCTAAGCCTGTTTATTCATATTGTACAGAGAAGTTACTATTTGATCAGTTCTTGGAGCTACCAGAGTAATGTTTTACCAGATCTTAGCTGTCAGGAGAGCTGAAGTTTCGACTCAATAATTTTACATCTGAAACCCAAAGTTTTTTAAAGCTTCCTTTTTATCTAATCCAAGGCTTGACACTAACTTTTCAACTTACTAGCCAAGTGGCTAGTGACATCTTAGATTTTACAACAACTTCAGTTTATTTACAAGGCAAACTGGGTAGTGGAAATCGAAAACCAGTAGCCAAAACTGAATTTCTACTAGTCTGTGGCTAGTGGACTACCGTTAGTGTCAAGCCCTGTAATCTTGTAGGCATACCTCTTTCTGATGAGCTTGATTCTCCTTTTCTGCATTATCTAATTCCTTCTCAAGTCTAATTAAGAAATTTGGCAAAAGAATCAAAAAGGGAATCTTAATCTGTGAAGAACAAAGTAATTCTGACTTTTTAAGAAACTGATTACTTATGCATGCAGCACTGGTAGCTGTGATTAGTAGGTGGATGATCGTTCCTTAAATGCACTTATCATTGTGGAGAATTGAGTTTGAGTTGATAATTTTGAAAACTATTGTGATCAAAAGATAGGCGATAAAAAAAGAGAAAAACCTCAGCTACAAACCTACTGTTCTCTGCCTCTCTTAACTTCTTCTCTTGTTCTTGTCTGGCACTTCTATCAGCTTCCAGTTTTTCCAGTAAAACATCTGTTTGCTTGATGTCCCACTCTTGTAACACCTGTTCAACAGCTGGTAGAGCTGCCACCTGAAGATGTCCCCATTTGAGTTAGGGTGAAAGGAAAACAGAGAGCCCAAACAGATGCAACAATCTAAATCTCATGTACTATAATTATATGTGTAAAATATCAAGCTCATATTGTCTATACTTTACAAAGGGAAAACAGACATGACAGTGGGTTGGGCAAGAGGGTTGTTCATTCTAACTCAGTCTAAAGTTCTTCACAACTCCTTTACCCACCATGCTAGTATGAAGTCTGGAACTGTTTACCAACCCAGCTAAAAGCTGTTCCAAGCTTTACCTCGTTTAAAACTTGCCTAGTTATTGTGTTTCATCTGTAAAATACTTTTTCTACTTTTGCATGTATTTATATGATATTTAATACAGTTAGAGCAGATCCACATCAGCATTTGCTACCATTAATTAACCTACTTTATGAAATAAAATATGTTATGTTAAAGTTATGTTGGTACAAGTGTTCCTCTCCACATCCATGCAATAATTGCTCATCACTGAAGTGTTTTTACAAGTCATGTTACATCTTAAGAAACACTTGACAATTATCAGCAATCGTGACCTCCACTTTGGTCATTTCATTGTTTTCTTGATGCAGCAACTGTCAACTTAAGGACAGTCATTGACTTTTTCAATTTATTTATATTTTTCTTGGACAAGTCATACCAGATAGAAAGGTACAAATGTGAGGTCTACTCAAATTACAGTATTCTTACATTGGGGCTAACCAGGCTGTATCTATTGTTATTTTAAGGTGACCCTAAAAGCCCGAATGGCGAAACAGTGGAATGGTGGAAAATGATCCTAAAACATAGAGCAGTGGAAAATGACCCAAATCCTGAAACACGGAATGGTGGAAAATGACTCCAAATCCTAAAACATGGAATGGTGGAAAATGACCCCAAATCTTGAAACACGGAATGGTGGAAAATGACCCCAAATCCTAAAACACGGAATGGTGGAAAATGACCCCAAATCCTGAAACATGGAAGGGCAGAAAATGACCCCGAATCCTAAAACACAAAGCAGATGTTGTGGCTGTCTTTTAAAGTGCAATAATGCTGGTTAGAGACGAGTATATTGGCAGGCAATATATTATGGTGGACTATCGCAAGTTATGCAAATGTGCAACCCCTGTTGCCATTTTGAGGGCGATCTTTTCTTGAAGTGGTAATTGGTCGATTGCCTCATAAATGTGTATATATTGTAAATGTCAGTCCAGACTGCTAACAATTTCTGTGCTGCCAAAGGGAGCGAAGTTGAAAAACAAATATTCAAGCATCATTGCACATGGTTCCATGCACACAGCTTTAAACCTAACAATATCTTCACTACGTATGATGCACGATCCTTCGCAGTAGATAGCACTATTTATGCAATAGCGAAAATCAGACCTGAAAAAAATCAGGCCTGTATGGGATTCGAACCACTGACCTCTGCGATACTAGTGCAGCGCTCTACCAATTGAGCTAACAAGCTGACTGGGAGCAGGCCGTTAAGTTGATTCATAATAAACCCGTGATGATAAATCACATAGAATGAATATATGAAGTTCATATATTTTAAACTGTGGTATTAAATACGTAAATATTTTTCAGGTCTGATTTTCGCTATTGCATAAATAGCGCTATCTACTGCGAAGGATTGTGCATCATACGTATTTAATACCGCAGTTCAAAATATATGAACTTCATATGAATATGTTCACTTTTAATCCCATGGAGTATTTTTGCATCTTTGAGAAAAAGATGCTTTTCCTTCCCGTCCTCACCTAATAGCTTGATTATCACCTTCTCAGAATTGTTTCTCACCACAAAAACAAAACTATAGGATCCTCGATCCACGGCCTCTTCTTTGTCTCGCAACTACTTCCATGCAAATAATTATGGTAAACAATGACAATCCAAAGATCCATCTGAATTACACTTCCCTTTCAGGAAGGGCAATTTAAATGCCATGGAGTTGACGATTTGCAATTTGTTGAGGAACAGAAGAAATCCACCCAACAAAGTGGTTAAATAGGCACTTTTTTGTCCAGAAGATTTATTTCTTCCACTGATACATAAGCCATAAATTTCATAGTAGGAGGGTGGTGTTTTGGACACCTTGTTGCGGAGAAATTCTTCAGATTCTTCTAGATGGCTTCCTTCTGCTAATTTTCTTTTTTCTTTTCATGCCATGAGAAATTCCCATGGGCATGACTCCATGCAAACCTCTCTTCACCTAATGTTACTCGAGGCCTAAAACTTATTTGTGGATGAAGAAATGCTCGTATTGAAGGGCTTGTAATGAGGGCTTGCTCTCATGCTAGTCTAAGTTCGGAGCTGGGGCTGAATGTCATTATATTTTGAGAAGCCTGAAAATGTTCCTGTGATGTTCTCACACTTACAAGCATATGAGATCATCTTGTTTCACTAAATCAATGCAGACGTGACAAGGAAACATATGTTACAATTGTTTTTATAACATAACTTAAACGGAAAGTGCACGTTCTAAATGGTCAATCCAGTGTCCCCCATTTGCCTATGGGTGTATGCTGCTGACGTGAGCAAATACACAGACTAGTTTTTCATGTGCGCTTGTTTTTTCTGGTCATGTAGGATTTGTTAAATAAAAAAAAAACTCTTGCTACAATGTATCAATGTTATGTTATAAAACAAATGGTAAACACCACAGTGTACACTATTGAGTTATGGATGCACTTGGGAGGTCTGCTAAGCACTCAAGAAGCTAGAGTCGCTCTTGGCTATTGCTTCGCGCAACTCTTATGCTTCTTCATGCTAAGCAACCTCCTGCGTGCATCTATAACTCAATACTGTATGCTGTGGTGTTTTACCATTTTGTTAAATTGTAATGTGGTATGTCAAGTTAATTTTCACATGCTGTGCAACTTTTTATGCCATGACTAAAACTCAAGGCAAATTAATAACACTTAATTTTAGTCACACATGTTATCATTGTGGGGATGAATGAGCCAAGCGTTTGAGTGTCTTTGTAAAGAGTTTGTGCAACATGCCTGACATCTGTTCCGTGTTTTAGAATTTGGGGTAATTTTATGCCGTTCTGTGTTTTAGAATTTTGGGTTCATTTTCAGTCGTTCTGTGTTTCAAGATTTGGGGTCATTTTCTGCCATTCCACCGTTCCACCATTCCCACTTTAAGGGTCACCCTTATTTTCAGTGGAAGTTATGTTAAACAGTAAATTTTCTGACCTGTATTGCATTTGTGCCATCATCTGCTATGAGTCTAGGGTCACCACCATGCTCTAGAAGGGTCTATCGTGGTTCACAAAAAGATAATGTTTTCACAACATTTTCATCCAGAAAGTATAAGTTGTGATGGTACAAACACACTGGACACCATTACCAATTGATTTGGAATTACAAATTGATCAACAGAGTAATTGTGTGAAACCTTAATTCCCTAAACCTCAGAGACATGACTCCCCAAGAGATAATAAGACATTTCTCTAATTTATCGTTTGGAGAATCTGGTGTTACATCCAAACTGTAACCCTTCCTTGAATGTATTCAAATACACTGAGAATCTAAATATTTATCATATCTGGGAGGGAAAATGATGCACTAATGTAAACATTCTTGCAAGAGTTTTTTCTGACACACCTGAACAGCCTGAAGATGTCCACCAAAGGCAGCTCGCCACAGTGGTACTCGTTGATATCTTCCCCTGGAATTCAGCATGGCTCCTCTCTGGATCAGAAGCATTATTGTTCCCACATGGCCCCCTCCTGCTGCTTCTGACAAAGGGGTGTTGTTGTTTGCATCTTCACAGTCCACAAGAGCCATCTGATGCCTAGCTATAAGTGATTGCCGTGCAGGTTCAGATAGGTCGGATCTTTTGGAGTCTTCTTCATAAGTCTGAGAAAAAAAAATACAGAACATCATGGCTTTTAAAGCATGGGTTTGTCAAGGAAGCATATAGATTTTCAAATTAGTTGTTTGTTTTCAAGGTTAGTGAACCATCTGCATTCTTTTTGGTTCCATTTCCTCTATTTAAATAACTATTTTTCTTATTTAGTTATCAAAGCTAATATCATCTGGTTTCTCTAATGTTAAGGCCAACTCTTACAGGACAGAAAATGACACAAACTATCACCTTTTAACTTGTTTAGATTTATGTAGATATCCCCCTACAGAGGACTGCAGCATTTAACATGATTATGAGGTATCTCATTATTTAATGAGTGATATTTTCTCTAGATTTTTTTTGTCTCTTATCTAAATACTCATGAGAATAGAAGCATTTCATGATAAAAACACAGTTTTGATGGACATACCTCGTCCAACACAGCTAAAATCTCATCACTATCACCATCGAATGCAGCCTCAAGTATTCTAGTTCTCCTCTTTGCCTCCTCTTTCCTCTTTCTTCTCTCTTCTTCCTCTTTTTTCCTTTCTCTTTCTGCTTCTTCTCTCTCCATCTGAACCAGCTTCAGCCATGCCTATAACAAGACAGAGGAACCATAAGTAACATGTTCAAATTAAAACCTGTTTCGTTGGTTAAGATTACTCTAACTGGAATGATCATATAATATGTGACGAATGGCTATTGCTCGAAACATCAGCTTTTTAAATCTTTATGGTGGCCAATTTACAATTTCATCTTAGTTGATATAACCAAATGACTTTGTCACCCCCACTGATGCAGCACCACAGTTTCTTAAGAAACTTGCCCTCTTTATTCACTTCCCTTACAGTTAGTTCATCAAGCATCCCTTGCAATTTGCCTGTTGCCATTCATAGTCTTGAATGAAGAGGGACATTGTGAGAGTTACCAGTAGGTGTCTTGCTCACAAACACAACACAATGACCCAGCAGTCACCTTCCAACCCACCATGTCTACCACAACTAGTATGGTAGATTGTACACATGAGCACACCTGCACAGCTTTTGAATTTCATCCCTTGGACCCCAGGACCTCACTGATAACTTTCACTAAACATCAACTTCAGATGGTGCTAAGAACACATTAAATCTTAGTACTCAACACACATTTTTCTTTTCAGCAATATAAGCTGACTTCAAAATTTGAAAAAGAAAAATAATGGTATACAGGACAAACTGGTTTCGATGAATTTGCGCTGTAAGCAATGTTACCTGTTGCTTACATGTCATAGTAACATTTCTTCTAGATGATCTAGGTCAAAATATCTGCACCAATCTTGTATAGTACAGTGTTCAGATTGACAAAGAGAATTGAATTGTTTTGCCAACAAATGTCTCTCTGTGAGAGCAATCAGAGTTTCCACACATAAAGGGCATAGCTAAGGAGGGTATTTTTCTCAATGTGACCCTATTCTTTTATGAAAAAGTAAGATCAAAAGAATAATCTGGCTTACTTCAAAAATTCCACCAACACAAACCAGATAGAAAACTTTCCCTTTAAAATCCTGTCTTTACTTCTACATATAAGCTGGTGCACTGTTTGTCCTCATCTGTTTATTTGTTTGTCTGTTTGCTTTTTGTTGGATAAATCACTTTTATCTACCTCCTTCTGAATCTTGTCCATCAACTCTTCATATTCTTGTCTTTCTTTTTGCCTTTTAACCATTTCCTTTTTGGCCAAGTGTCTTCTGACATATTTCTGAATAATTACTGCAGAATCATCTTGCTTTGTCCATTCCTTACCTTGAGACTTAGAAAATAATGTGAGCTTTTATACATCAATTTACTCTGAGGCAAAAACAATAGCAGCTGTTTTAATTCAGATTTATTTCCATCTGGTGTATTCCAGAAATTGTTATTTACATGGAAAGTTTACAAGAAGTGAAAAAAAAAATTGACACCAGCACCTAAACGTGATCATTAGTATGACTGTACACTAATAACCATAGGCCCCATCTCCTGCAGGGTTAGGGGTAGGAGACGTTAATTTCCCATGCACGAGATTTTTATATTAATCAATCGAGCTAATTTGTTTACAACGTCAAGGCATTCTCTTATACGCTAAAATTTCCCACAGAATGTAAAGCTCTCTTGTCACCATGGAGACACCCCAGATAAATTTTACTATCTGCACTAACCCAGTCATACCTTTGATAATGCGGTGTTCTCCTTGCCTTTGACTTGCGTTTTGTTTGGAGACGTGCTGCCCCTCTTGGTCGTGCTCCCCTTGCTTCCGGCAGCCCCTGGTCTTAAAGGTGCAGAACTTTTTTTCTTACTTGCAGTACCTCTGCCTACACCAGGCTTTTGTGTAGTAGTCTTGGGGGTGATCTTTGTTGGAGGAGATGGCTTCTTTGGAGGCATAATCGGAAAAATGTTTAAATATTGCAGGCAATTTATTCCTGTGTCAACCCTACAGTCCCGAAATAATTTAATTTCGATCGACAGTGAGTCATTCCGCCGACCATAATTCTACCATGTTTGTCGTGTCGCAGCTAACTAGTCCCCAGTGTTGCGCAGTCACAGCGACGAGGACTTGAGAAGTCGAACTGTCACGGAAATGGTAACCGGAATGACTGGCCAAAATGACGAAAAGACGGATGATGATGATGGGATTTTTACCCCTAACGGAATACATGGTACAGATGAAACGGATCTTGCTGCCTCGAGGCTCAATCGCCGTAGCTATGTTCATTTGGAATCGGAAAGAGTTCATATCATTTGGGATCTTTTCGCCATAGCATCCATCTTGACATTCATCGCAGATATAACCACCGATGTAGTAGTTTCCGTGCATTATTTCCTTGATGGAAAATATCTTTGGTTTGCTTTAACTTTAGGATTTGTAATTTTGTCTTCCCTTGTAATGCAAATATTTTCTGCCAAATGGTTTCACGAAGATGGCGAATATCAGAATTGGTGTACGTACTTGATGCATCTTTTTCAACTGGGTCCGATTGTCAGGTAAATCTAACATTGCGAACCCTGAATATGTTTTCATACATACAAGCAAGTTTTAAAAAGCGGTTCTCGAACTATGTGGTTTTAGAGCACGTTAGTAAGTCGATCGTTCGTCAGGTTACATGGGCATGGGCGGGATTTTTTTTTTCACAAAGTCCATCCGTGCGTCTGTCAAAGTATTTTTTTTTTTTTATAGGAATGCCAGGATGTTTTATGACGATTATTTATTTGCAGGCGATCATTGTTATTGAAGGCCCGACGAGGCGAACGATTTAAACTTCATCTATTTAATTTCTATGTAATGGAATACTTCTTCCTACCAGACGGGAAGTTACATTTTGCCTTAAACCCCCAAAGCGTTCTGAACTTTTTATTTAAAATCAGACACACTTAACGTATGTCTTAATCAATGGAGTTCTTTGAATACAGAATAACATGTATTTGATAAAACTAAAATTCAAAATTTGTCCTCCTTTTGTTGACGAGAAAGCCATGTGAAAGCCAGAACATCCAACTTTACCATGATTCAGTCGTTGTAGAGGAAGGGTAGACATAGTAGTTTAGTTATTTTTCCCGAGATGGCTGCTTGGTTTATTTTTTTGTATGAAAAGTGTCACTTCATTGATTGATTGAATAGATGACTCATATTTTGTGGCTTGATTCATTCTTCAGATACTGGCGTGTCGTTAAAACTGGATGGCGTACTCGTCAACAAAATTCAGCTAACACTGTCAATGTCTATGAAGTTTATCTGGCAGAATGGAGAGACATAACCATGTTAAGACTGTTTGAGTGTTTTTTAGAATCTGCACCACAGTTGGTTCTTCAGCTTTTTATTATGGCTCACAATAAGCGATTTGATGCTGAGAGTGATTGGTTGACAGTATTTGCCACTGGAAGTTCCTTGGTGTCTCTTGCATGGGCAATTGCAGCATACTACAAAGCTCTCAGAGACTTCTTAAGACAAAGAGAAAGCCACTCATGGGTTGGATTCTTTCTTCAAATAATTTGGCGTATGTGTATGGTGGCATCTCGAGTTGTAGCACTGGTGTTATTTGCCTCTTACTATACCATTTGGCTGTTTGTGGTGGTAGCCATTCACTGGCTAGTGATGACAACTTGGCTAATTTTCCAGAAAACTAGATTTTGTGTTGATGATAAAGGTATACGTCATCTTTGTCGAGAGTATTTGTTTGATGCTGTCATTGGGTTTGTGTATATCTTTTGTTTCTTCAACATCAGGGAAGGTATGACCCGTATTCGAGCAATTCCTTACTATGTCGTTATGTTGGGAGAAAACACTGTTTTTGTAGTGATGTGGTATCCATTTAGAACACTTTATGGAGACATTGAAATTGCTGCACTTAGTATCGTCTGGGGTGCATTTGGAATAGGACTCTTGTGTATGATTTCTTACTATTCTTTTTACCATCCAAGTCTTCCTGTGAAGGGCATTTGTGTGAAGAAGTCTGGACTCAATTTGCAAGAGCGTCAACGCATGACAATTTGTTGGTGCTGCTTCTGTGAAATCACAGCCAGACACTCCACTATGGAAGAAAATAATGATAAATGCAGACTAGCCATTCATCAGAGACCTTTTGAATCTACAAGAAACAAAAAAGCTACTCGTTCATATGGAAGCTTACCAGTTGATGTGGAAATTTTACCTGGTATGTCAAGAGAAATTCATTCACCAATTTATTTAAATCGTCAAGAACCAAGCAATGGTGAGATTACAGGAATGCGGGGAATGTATGCAAGGTCCTCATGGTTATAACTCTTAAAATATTCTTCTGTGTGATGAAGCTCGTGTGATGACAGTGTTAAGTTCCTGTTTACCTATGGCTCATTTACTGCAGACGACAAATTAATTTATTTCTAACTTATACTATAGTATAACATATAGTATTAATGATATACTATAGTATATCAGCCTTTATTCTATAGGATAACAGTTATTATTAAAAACTGGATCATTGGATAATGCAATTCAAGACTTTTCAGTGGCTTAGCCATTATGGTATATGAGCCAATATACCATAAACTACGATATGGTGAGCATACGTATAAGCTTAAAATTGAAAGAGAGCTAAAAATTTAATAAAATTTAATAATTTAATGTAGCATTTTTAATAAAACAATTATTCCACTCGCGTTTGTTGGATATGAGATGATTATAGCCAACTCGGTGCTATGCACCTCATTGGCTATCTATCATCTCGTATCCAATGCGCGCTCGTGGAGTAATTGTTAACTATATCATCCACTACCTATATGCAATATTGACAATTTTGATTGAATTGATTCTGGAGTTGAAAACTCATTAACCATTTTTTATGGATGAATTTTCATGAGAAATTATTGTTTGTGCACCAGTTTAGATCACAGTATATCAGTGGAATAAGAAAACAATTTACCATGAATTGAGTGATATTTGCAGCAATAGTGGCACTTTAAGAACTTGGAAATCTTAAAACAGTTGCCACACAACAAAATATTGAAAAAAGGAAAGGTAATTTTCAGCCTTGTTGTGGAAAATTTTAGGTTCTTCAACTGTGGTTTTAAATGGGGCAATATACTTGCTGGAAATTTTTGTCAGTCTTGAAATTGAAATTCTACCTATGGGCAAAAGTCCTAAAAAGAATTACAAGGTTTGGGGTGAGTGGAGTGGGTGAACTCCAGTCTGATTAATTTTGATAAGAGAGTTAAGTGGCTGAATTCTTGATACATTTTTGTTAGAAATCAATTATGTTGAAGAAGTTATTTCAGTTGTCATATTTTTTGAGATTTAGGAATGAAGCATCCATTCATGCCCAGTACAGATTTTAAAATCTGAAATTATTTTTGTTTTTAATTGTAACACAACATATTCATCACTCTGCCTTGGAAAGATCCAGTGATTCTAGTGAATATTATATCTATTAAAATTGAAGTGGCTGCATAGTACGTCAATTAACTTTGACATGTGTTCAACTTACCTGTTGCTATTGACATGTAAATCCATTCTGGTATAGGTTTTGGAAATATCAAAGGAAAACTGCATAATAAACATCTCAGTGTGAATTTTTGCCACATTATTTAATAGTTGTGTATGCATAGTTATGGTAGCGTGTATGGTTAATTTTCTGAAAACAGTCCCAGAAGTCTGCACTTGGTCTATTAGCTTTAAGAAATTAACATTAATCAATATGATTACTTTAAACTTTTCCAACAATATAGTGATATTGGTAGGGTGTGTAGGATGTTTGGTGTTAAGCCTAACAGTCTAGGAATCTTGGCATGAACTTATCCTCTTAATTGAATACATAACAAAATACAAAGAAAAATGTTTTGAGCACGGATGTGGAATATTGAAAGATATCTTTCTTTTGTCATGAGTGTGGGACAAAGATTTGAACTCAAACTTTCCATGTCTGAGAGCAAGGACACATAATAAGTTGATAATGTACGAAAGGCCTTAGATACAGTTTGGATCATCAACATTGGAAGTGTCTTATGTAGAAAGACAGTTAAAGAGATGGTACCTTATGAACTCTAAGATTCAAGAAAGCTCCTTTTTGTGATATGAAGCTCTTTCACCTAGGGTAGCAGGATCACAGATGTCTTATGTGTCTTGAGTGGAGATAGGGTAAGAAGATGGTAAGCTTGGACAGTTGTCCAATAAAGAAAAGTGTTGACCGAAAATCACTATATATATGACTGATATAGGGTAAGCTTGCAATAAGTTATTTAAAATGTGGGAAATCTTTGTTTTCCTTTGCAGATATTACTGGTATATTTCAAAAGCAGCCTGGCTGATTTCAAACCAAAATCTTACTATTGTAAGCTCATATCTTTTAATTTTGTTTGACTGTCTTTGTTGACTGTTGTATTGAGAGTTTGGACAATTTATTTATTGTAATACTGAGATGCTTGTAGATATCTTAAAGTTATGCAAACAACACGCAGGAATGCAGATGGTTGGTTGCATAATGACCACCAAATTTAAATTTCACCCATTAAATTTTGCTGACTGCTGATCTTACCATTTGGGGTCTCCGTGGACTGGTTTGACCAGTGAATATTATATTTGAAAATTTATGGAGATGTGTTATTTATTTTTAAAGAGATGTCAATTGTTGGAATCATTTCAACATCCCTGAAGATTATTTAGAAAAATGAAATAAAATCTGTCAGAGTGGGATTGCTGTATTTTCCTCAGCCATATTTTATCTCAACCATGATATTCTCCTTAATTTTATTCCAATATTAAAAATTTGCTTAGCAATATCATTTATCATAACAAAGTGGATAGAGAACAGGATCTTTACTTTTTTAAATTGGTTGAAAGGATCATTGCTTCTACAGGATTTGTGCATGGCTAAACACTCCACATAGGTTACTGGATATGGGTGGTCAGATTGTTATTAACTGATTGTGTTACAGTACTAATCAGGAAACAACCATTTTTCAAGTAAGGAATTTTTACCAGGATTACTCTCAGTCTATTGATAACACGCAATATTTCTTGACAAGTAAATGCTTTATTGAAAAAAAGAAAAAAATTAAAAATGAAATGAAAATAATAATAGTAATAATAATACTGATAATGATATTAGTAATAATAAAAAGTGAGAAATTCCTATGGCACCAGAAGAAATCAGACAATTTCTCTCCCAGGGCCACTATTTTAAATTTTAGTTCAACGTTTTGCTGAACACTATAGTGAAAAATTGCTGTTTACAAAAAGAGTCAAGTTGCTCGATGTAATTACAAACGAAAAAAAACATTCTGTTATCCGTGTTTTTTTCATTGTCTCAGCCATTCCTCTATGCAGGTGTGGGTTAATCACCAACTCTAGTAGTATTTTATCATGTGGTTGTCACATCCAGGTAGTAACGCCTCGTTCGCGGGTGAGATCACGCCATCTTGCGTTTTCTAGTCCATTTGCTCGCCTTTTGAATTTCCTATGTATACTTAATTTAAGCTCTCTAAGAAGCAGCATTACACTGAGAATTTCTTCATCAGGAAACAGTAAGTATTTGTCGGGAACCGGCTCCAGTATTTGTGAATTTTCTTCCCGTAGTTCTCCGCCCCTTAAAAGGTGAAATTATTGTCACACACCTTTTCGTTCTAATCTTTCTACATGCTAGTGAGGAAGCTTCAAGTGTAACAATCGTTTGTCGAGACTTTTCCTAAAGAGCTTTCTGCTTAAACACTGGTCTTTATTCGGGTATGTAACTTACAAGTAATTTAGCTTCTTTTATTGCTCAGCTTCAAAATAGTAATACAAAGTTGGCGCTGATTTAGTACAGGTACCGTAACGTTTTGATCATACGTGTGAAATTATCCTTTTGTTTTCGGCCGTCTAATTTATTTGATTAGTTCTCCGTGTGGAGTCGAACTTCATAACAGTTGATAGAGTTTTGCTGGTGGGTCAGCTGATTTATGGGGAAATTTGGACGCAGGGGCTCAGTTCCACTATACAAAGGATGTCGGCTCTTCGCATCATTTGAGGAGTAAACAGCCGGGAGGTTAATTTGTGCCTAAAATAACTGTCAGTTATTTTGTTGCCCAAAAATTAGTAGCAGCAGATTTCATATTAACATGGACGACTTTTGCAGCAGAGACTTTCCCAACATAACAATTTTGAAAGTATCGATTTAAACGGGAAACTCAGACTCGAAAAGTTACTTTCATGACGAATACTCCCTTCATTTTTAAGTTGTTATCTAGTTCAAATAGTGGTAACCTGGTTTTCTAAGGAGTGAACATTTACCTGAGCGACGCCCGCAAGATTCTGATATCTTTTAAAGGTCAGGGGTCAAAATTTTGGAATCAGCAACCCCATAATTTTTGTGTGGGAGGAGTGTAATCACAGGATTGTGTTATTCATCATGATCACAACATGCTCTCCCATGCAAGTTAGGTCAGCCCGGGGCAATTCTTTCTGTGAATTATCTGGTTTCTTCAGCTGCCAAGGACGAAAGAGAGCAAATTTTCAAAGGTCTCAAAGATCACATGATATGATCCCCTTTCCCTGTTTGAGTGGCTCGCGAGGCGATTGAAAAACTGCGACCTGGCGGATTTATTCGTCTATCGAAGATTTAAATTGGTATTCGAAAATCTTGGGCGCTTTCCATTCAACAAAAATCACCGGTTCAAAATCTCGGAACTTTAGCTGGCCGAATGGAACGCGTCCTTTTCGCTAATTCGGGAAATTCCATTAAAGAGGGTGCACTCATAACGTATTCCTAAATTTTCGAAAATTTTTCCCAGAAGTTTTACCGTTCCATTCAATTTCGGACCGGAATTTTCGGAATTTTTGGTCGAATGGAAAGCGCCCCTTATTCCTAAATTTTCGAAGACTTACCCCGGAACTTTTCCGTTCCATTCGATTTCGGACCGGAAATCTCGAAAATTTTGTTGAATGGAAAGCACCCTTGTTTTTAAAGGTGCCGACCACTTAACTGTTGAGGGGGGGGTAGGTGATCTCTGGTCATCAATAAATTTTTTTTTCTAGCAGTCTGCTGTGTAGAATATTTTTTTCCGATTTTTTGGTACATTTTTTCTTTTACATTTGGGCTGCATGCAATTTTTTTCTTCCAACAAGCGCTTGCAGGAAATTTTTTTTCACAATAACCCACCCCCCCCTCTTCAAAAGTTAAATGGTCGGACCTAAAGACTTAATTTTCAAAATCTCCCGCGGGAGAGCATGCCCTCGGACAATTCTACGGACCCCCCTTGACTAAATCCTGGAACCGCCTCAGTATTTTTTCGAAAATTGTTAGTCGAGCTGGCATTTCTACTTAACAATTATCACAATATCACAGGAAGCGAAAGGTCTTTGACAGAACCTTTTTCTGAGTGTAAAGTTGCCTCACAGCGAAAAGGGGGCGTGCGGTCCTTATCGGCTCTTTCCTCTTCTTCCACACGTGATACCCCACTCTTGGTGTGAGGAAGATACAGTGAAATAGTAAAAGCACTTTTTTAGAAGTGAACCCACAAGAGACACTACATGCCATTATCGTGAACTGTTTTGTTGTATGCCGTTATCTCACTATGGGCGAAACCTGCCCACAACATGGTATGCGCAAACGCGATTGAACTCTTTAACTTGTCGCCATTTTTCTAATGGGAAATAAGTAACCAACGAAATTACTTTCTTACTTCGGACGATGCATACTTCGCGACGAAACTGATCCCCGAGCGGCTCTCAGACTTAGCTGTCATCGCCGTGCATGCAGCTCAGTATGTGACAATCGATAGAAGGCTGGTTTGTTCGCTCTATTGACTATGTTTTGGTACAATGGATATATGAAGTTCATATATTTTGAACTGCGGCATTAAATACGAATGATGCACGATCATGTTTTGTTGTAGGTTTTTAAAACGCTGCTTAGGCTTCTGTCAGATTATTTCATGTTTTTCTGGAGCAATTTAATCGGTACCCGGTTGGTGGGGGAGGGAGCGTTGCGTGACGAGCCCAAACAACGGCTGCGAAGGAGACTAACGCGCGTTTCGCTTCCCGGGAGTCTTGTAGACCTCTCTCCTTCTCATGTTGCATACTTTTCCGAAAACGAATAAACGCTCGCGCCAAAGTGCTAATAGTGTGGACGTGCACGCAAGCTACAGGTTTTGGGTCATTCCACTTCTCACTGACGATATTCAACATGATATAAGTATTAATGGTTTGGTTGGCTGATTGATATTAGCCACCCTATTCCTATAAAAAAAATTACATCCTCCCTGTAGGGTTATTCCGTGTGGCGGATCGGTCAGTGGATGAGAGGGATAAGAGCGCACTTTGCGGCCAAGCTACCTTTGCACCAGTTCAGATATTGTTGATTTTTGTACCTCTTTTTGGTCAGTATTTGTTTTCTTGTTTTCAGTACCGGCAGCCACATATTACTAATGACATCTCCTTTGGACTAACAACAGTGTTTTGTTTTTGGAAAACCGCTGACATATATCACTCCATTGAGCCATTAGAAACGTCGTTTATTTTCGGCAGCCCGCGGTAATGGTGCAAGGAGACATGACGGAACAATGTTCCAACAGCAATGGAACAGCTAGAAACATAACAATCCGAGACGGGATCGAAGAGCAAAACAATGTGACCATACGGCCGGCAACTCATTCCAGAAATCCTTTTGATGGTCGTACTACACGCTTCACAGACGACTTGTGGACTTTCGTGTCAGTGATAACGTATATTGCGGACGTCGGAAGCGATTTACTTGTATGTGTCAAGTATTACAAGGAGAAAAATTTCTGGTGGTTTAGTCTTACGCTAGGATTCGTACTTGCCGCGTCATTTGCAATGCAATTGTTCTCTGCTAAGTGGCTTTTGGAAGATGGCAAACGAAAGGAATGCTTCACTTATTTATTACATGTGTTTCACCTGGGACCAGTTGTAAGGTAAGTAAGCTGGGTAATTAAGCCCCAAAACTGTCATGTCTCGTATAATCTTACAAAGTTCTAGAGGAACGGACTACTGGTAATTTGTTTTGCGATGCGTTTCCTTTCGTCGGAAACCTTTCGACTTCTTGTCCGGTTAACACGACCCAAGAATTTCCGGAGAAATTTAAATAGTGTTCGCGCCCGCTTTTTTAATGACAAAATATACTTCAGCAATTATCATATTGCTTATTTCTCGGAGTGGTAACTTTGCAGTGAACCTAATGACCGGATTTAAAGTCAGTTCGCTGATTTGTCTGATATGGAACCTATAAAGTTACAGTTACAATTTAGTTAAAAAGATAATATCGGCGATATTTGCAGGCGTTTTTTTGTCTGTTAACAGTAATGAAACTATGGTACATAGCTAGCTATATAAGAGCAGCAATAGAGTTTCAAATTAAGCTAGAGTAACTAATAATTTGAAGTAATCTCTTTATTTCGCCCGTTTGTTTGTAAAACAAGAAGATTTTTTTATTTTGTATTTTCTTCGGGTAAATTTTGTCACGTATCATTAAATTATCAGCCTTCCCTGAGTTGTTGTCTGATCGATTTTTGTTTCTTTCGTCGCCGGTATTTGGCAGGTTCTAATTTCGCTGTCTCGTTATTCACCCGTCAAGTGATAGTCAGATCACAGCACTGTAATTGGCGATTCTGTCACAAATTTTCTCCACAAGTTGTTGACACATTTTTTTTCATTAATTGTGCTTATTCCTTCACAACTTGTCACGCCGGCGTAACTTATTAACGAGGTATTTTCAAAACCTCAATGGCTCCACGAGAAATATTAGAAGAATTAGTGTCTTGACGACTTGAAATAATGAAGCCAGTTTGAGTTGGCTCAACTATTTTACTGTCTGATTGGAAATTCGGCAAGCTTTTGACCGACAATAGTTCTAAGATAACTCTAATATTGGACGTATGTCGAAAGAGTCGTTTCGTGAGTCGTACCACGAGATTTGTTGGACGTTTCTCAGCAATATGTGTTCGCATTCAGATTTTGATCTTTTTTCTTATCCTCCGAATATCCTATTAAGCTTTCCACAGGAGATCAGCATGAATATTCACGAATACTGTCTTTCTATTGATCGAACATATTATCCTCACAACTTCATCGTCGCTCTTCACTGAACTACTTTTCGTTCAGACTGGCGTTAGAGAGAACGTTTAGCAATACAAAGGCGCTGTACAGTTAGGTTTCAACAGAAAGTTACGGCGCTTAAATTTATCTAATTATTCCAAAAAACGGCGAAGCTTAAAACTGGCCTTGATTTGCATATAAATATCGCTTGTTGAATCTTCTTTGACAGATTATGTTGGCCTGGTTTTGGCTGAGAGGTGCGTTAATTGTATTAACTTGCGATTACCATTTTTCTGTCCATTTTTAAAACATTGTTCGATGTGCGCTAGGAACCATTCACACGGCCGCGTTTTTCTAAACCCCAACAGCAAAAAAGTTACTGATTTTTCTGATCGACTTTTGTTCGTGCTTGTCTGCTTTGCATGTTTTATTGATTAGATTTTGTCGCGCTCCCCTAATTTTGAGATCCAAAATAAATCAATCTTCAGAGCGTTCCATATTGTTTTTCAAGTTTTCACCCAAATTTACTCGTGCTTTGTTACACCACGCAATTATTGTCTTCATAGCTGGAGGCGTTTCAATCCTCTAATGAGTTTCACTGCGGTCCTGCCGCGAGTTCTTTTTTTCGGGAATGATTATAGGTTGTAATTATTCGGTTGAGGGGCCCGACGCTTTGCTGCAATAAGTCTTTTCTTTACGGAATTGTTCTCTACTTTCGATAACGATCTATGCACCGCGGACGAACGGTCTTATCTAAACCGATTAATTAGAAATCAAGGACCTTGAGATGGCAATCATTAAGAAAACATTGTTGCCCCTAATTGAACGATGTTGTATGTCGTGTTCAAACACATTGATGACATTTTTAGTTCGTTCAAATGGCAGCCATGCGTAATGGTGGGCGACTTAACTGAACCTTATTAGAATAACTCGGATAAGGGCAGCTCAAGTATTATTCAGAATAATTTGAACATATCAACAAAGTTGAAATGGTAAATTGGCTACCGTTACGGTTATAAAAGCTGACGTTTCGAGCGTTAGCCCTTCGTCGGAGCGAAAAGAGGAATTGTGGGTTGTGTCTGCTTTAAGTATTATTCAAGCTGCGTTGTAACAGTCTTCAGTCTCCTTAGAGAGCTTCTTTATTTGAGCCCAACTCGGGGAGGAATTTATGTTTTTCTCGTATGGGATCTTTCAGCAAGTATAATGTTCACATGGCTAATTATCGCCGGAGTCCACTTTTAAACAAAGCGTCCTCAAAAGTCGTAATTTTTTTTTTCTATTGTTTCGGCGAGTGAAGGAAGGCGCGAGGCAAGCACTTGTGTCTGTTTTTTTCTTACTTTACAGACCTTTCTGCAGTTTAAGGTAACAAGATGTGATTTTTCGAGTTTTTCGACTGTTGCAAAACGGTTTCTTTGAAAAGAATGGCTTTGTCCAGCAGTTTTAGCTTTGTATACCTACTACAGTCTGCTTTAAAACAAAAATGTACGCTTTCTTGTAGGTATTGGAAGGTTCTGAAGAGTGGTTGGAAAGCACGTCAAAAGAATGCAACTATTCTCGAATTCGCAGCGTTTCTTGGAGAATGGCGTGACATAAGCATGTTACGACTTCTTCAAGCTTTTCTAGAATCTGCCCCTCAACTTGTCCTTCAACTGTACATCTTACTACAACGACCACGCCTTCAAGAAAACTTTGAACTTTTTACCGCTGCAACAGCAGCTTTTTCATTAATATCGTTAGTATGGGCCATTCTCGCTTACAGCAAATCGTTAAGAGACTTTAGAACACAAGGTTATGGTCTGTCAACTGCAGGTTTGTTATTCCAAGTACTGTGGCGCATCTCTATAGTTGCATCTCGTGTGGTTGCCATAGTTCTTTTTGCTTCGTACTTCAAACAATGGCTGTTTGTTGCCGTTGGGGCACATTGGCTTATGATGACAACGTGGTTGATTTGTCAGCGGACTCGTTTTTGCACAGACGAAGACGGGACAGAGCATCCTTACCGGGAAAAACTGTTTAGTGCGGCTATTGGCTTCATGTACATCTTCTGCTTCTTCAACACAAGAGAAGGCATGACTAGGAAGCGTATCGTTTTGTTCTACTCCATTATGTTGGTAGAGAACTCTCTGTTCGTGTCTATGTGGTTTCCTCACAGAACCTTCCGCGGAACTATGGCTGTAGCAGCATTAGGGGTAGTGTGGGGAGGATTTGTTTTTGGACTAATCTGTATGAGTTTGTATTATCGATTCTACCATCCAAGTTTACCAATTCAAGGAATTTTTCTTCAGAAGAGAACTTTCGATATGGAAGGACAAGTGACTCATTCGTGGTTTTGTTGTTTTTGCTGTCGAATAAGAAAATTCACGAAGACGAGTACTGCAGTATTTCGTGATGCGGCCGAGGGTTTAATTCGAGACGTGAATCGCAGTGTAAACCATCATACTGCGTGTCCAAAACTATCGCCCCCTCAGTCTCAGGATAGCTCGTATATCTCAGGAAACCCTTGTCAGTTCATGTCGGGGTTAGACTCTAATCAGGTCCTTGTTCACAGTACACCCATACGACCCCTGGATACGTGCAGTTCGTACGCCAATCATCCACTGGTTACAGGTCGCCTCCCGAGAATTTTGGTTACGGGAGCAACTCCTGAAGTGATAAGTCCGAGAGACTCTGTTTCAAACTCTTCCCTTGTCACTCTGAAGGAAATTGAAATGGAAAAACTCGATAATCTCGCGCGGCCAGATCTTCCCGTTAGTAACGGTGACCTCTCTGCTACTACTGGTGCAGAGACTGAAAAAGTGGATCCTAATGCAAGTAAGAAGAACTGCTGTGCTAGACGAGACCTCCGTTTTCAGGACATAACTTGCACCTCGCCAAAAAGTCCGACCGCCGGAGAGATCATCAGCTGGTATCATCCTAACCCAACATGCGAGGCTTCCTCAGATGCCGAAGAAGAGAGAGCAGAAAGGATTAACTATGGCTCATTGAGTTTTGGTAATCGATACAGTCTCGTCTCGTCCGACTGTATTTCGTTGTCATCCGAAAGTTCACGGAGCTCGGTAGATAGCATAATGTTTGCTGATGAGGGACCGGGAAGTTCAGGAGTGCATATGAAGAAGATGCTCTCACCTGAACTCACACCAAGAACGGCAGACGAAGGAATTTTTTCCGATGAGCGGGATTGGCCCTCCAAACCCACCACTATTGAAGACGCCGACATCAGTTCTGAAGCTTCTACACCACAGAACCCCAGAGTTAATAATCAGTTTCCTGTTTTGGTCAAAGACAGCCAAGCAGATACATTCCAAAGAGTCCAGTCCAGAGAAAGGACAAATGAATGGATTTTGTCTTCTTCTAAGCCAAGTGATGAATCCTACAACTTGGTTGAGTTGTTAATGGATGCTCCATCGTCACCATCGAATAACCTGAAAAGCAGAACTAGAGAAACAGGGAATGGTTTGTTATCAGAGGAAAGGGGATGCGCTGAAAGTAAACTCGACTTTTCTGAGGAGGGATCTGGGTCTGAGAGAATGGATGGACACGATAGTGAGTCAACTGACGCAAGTAGCGACAGTTTTAACTTTAGAAATCATCATCGCTCGTGCGATGAGATTAAGACTGGAACGAATCGTATCTTGTCTTCTCCGGATGGGATCAAAAAGCGGCACACGTTTGATTTTTCACAGTTATCGAAAGGTCCGAGGTCTCCACGGCGAAGACGAGACGGGAAATATCGTCGCTCAAAGAGAAAGGAGTTTGATAACTTTGTTGTGACTTCTCTGAAGCCAGGAAAATACGGTTCACTTCGGCGATCAATGGAGCGTTTGGCTAGAATACAAGAGGACATAGAAGAAACCTTTTTGTTGAATACCGAAGCGGCTTTGAATGCCTGTATTCCTGAAATCGAGGCACCTTCGCCCATTGAAGAAGCAGTGAATTTAAACACGACAATTACAAATGAAACTAATATGGCAGGAAAAGGTTTGTGCAGTACGCATGATTCAAGCCAACGCAAGAGTGATCCGCAAGAAAACGCAGCCTCATTGTCTGCCAGAGAAAGCTTTAAAAAACGAAGGCGCTTGAAAAGATTCCTATCAAAAGAATTAGTCCCAGGGAAATTCTCATCAGTGAGACATTCCAGCGAAAGTTTGCAATCAGCGGAACAATTTGATTGTTTACAAGAAAATGGTGACATAGACAGAGGGCTGTCTTCCACTGTGTCCGCTGATCATTTGGCCAGCACTCGTCAAAGAGTAAACGGTGCAGGTGGGAGAGAAGAATTTCCAAGCCAAACAGTTAGTCTTCCAGATGTGCTTCGTTCCAATGGAAATAAATTTGAACGAGAAGTAATTAAGAAGCCAAATCCTAACGATAATCGGGTAAACAGTACTCTTGATGGTACTGTTATTAAGAATTCAGAGATAGGTAAACATCACACGGGCTCGGTTCCCACCAAAAGACATACTTATCACTTTACTGGCAATTCTGCAACTCAGACGGAAGTACAAGAAAGGTTGCTTAGCGCAGAGAATGAGAAAAGGGCACCAGAGACAGGTCATCAATGCCAACGTAGGTGTCAGTCGGAGGTTTTGATCGGCACAAGAAACTCTTCTGTTTATGTATAAAGAATGCTGACAAATTTTATACCGCGACCTCATCTGACATTTTTTAAGTCTCACCCAAATCTCGACAAATATCTGATTTCTGATTGGTTGTATTTCACTTCACGAGTTAGGTGTCCTTGATTAAGTTTTCTACGTACATAACTTTTGCACCTTCCTGTTAAGCATTTGGAACTGCGTAGTCTATAACTTTTACGACGATTTATTTCATAGTGTAACATTCATAACACTTTTATTCGCAGACTTGAGTTATTTTATAGCCGTGATTAAGGAATACCAGGTTTAATAAACCTATACCTCGTCAGTAATTACATACATATCTTTTGTTTGTATTGAGATTATTTTGATTTTTGGTTGCAGAAATAGAAACTAGGAGAAAAAGCATATTTGGTCGATAAACAAGTGAAAAGAAAAAATAGTTAAAGTATCGCAGATAACTGTTTAAAGAGGAATTTTGTATTTTTTAGTTACACAACGTGCGGCTTGCGTTCATTTAACTTCAGTTAATTTGTCGATTCTATGTTCTCACTTTGAGATAGGTAACATGTAAATATGTAAATGAGACGTTCTCGAAAATTTATTGATTTCATTGATAAAGACCACTTTTGGCGTGAAAATGTTAGTTCAAAATCTGTCTAGTATTTCACCAGTGTGAAAGATTAGCCCTTTCGTAGCCTTAGGCTCTGACTCGTTAAGGTACGGAATATTTGAGCTTTATCAGTCCCACTAACAAACAAACTTGCCTTGGCTGGCTGTTATAAAGTAGTTCGATTTACAATTTAAACGCATCGGTGTTTATGTCACGAGAAGCATTAGCCTTCTATTTACTTGTAACGTATCTGGAAAATAGAGACTTCACCACTTTTGCACTTGTGATTCATGAATAAATCCATTGGATGCTGAACAGGAAAAAAGTTGAAAGAGAGTGGTTTTGATCCAGTCTGGCTAAACTTCTTTTCTGAGTTTTTTTTATATAGTTTGTATCAACTATCACCACATTTCAAAGTTCGTGATTCTCTTACTTTTGAGGAGAGGACCTAAATTTATTTGTAATTACACTTGAACAAAGTCGTGGTACTGTTGTATTTAATACTTTTCTTTAAACGTGTGTGGGAATTTTTTGGATATGGATCGATTACTTCCCGTCAGTCAACCTCAAGGTAAAGTCTAAGGGAAAATCGCGCGCCGAAGTCGCACGAACGTCCCACGCCTCTTAACATACCTTAAAGTGCGTTTATGGCACTATCGTAAAAACTCGCGCTCTGTTTTGTAGACCACGTAATTGTTTTCCAAATCGTCGCAAATTGCCTGTCTCGCTAAACTTACTAATTATAGTATTTGATAAATCCTTGTTCCCTTGCGGTGTCTTCTCTAGAGTCAGCCTACTCAGCTGATATTAGAAGGTTTCCTCTTATTTTAAGGTGTTGTCTTTAATGATACAAGAGACAACATTTATTAAGTAGCTCCTTTGAACGAAAAAAAAAAGCTTCCTTTAAAAAAAATTGTGTTTTGAAGCTAAGGAGAGTCAAATGTGAGTTATTCACATTTTTAGTTTATTTTGTCTTGCCCCCCTGATACGTACTCACGGAGGAAATTGACAGAAAATAAAATTTAAAAAAGCATTCCTGTTTGTGGGTCGTCACAAAAGATCCATTCTCCAGTTCTTTATTTTACCTTCTTATTTCTATCATTGAGAAAATGAAAGAAAAATAAGGTAGATAGCTTAGTTTAAGATGAAATAAACAATTTTTAATATAAGAGAAAAATCGCATCTGGAAACTCGATTTTTCTCTAATAGTTTAGTTTGAACTTCTTTTTTTACAGTAAATTCTTGCCATTTTTTTCCCTTTCGTGTTTTTCTTTCTCACCGACTTGAAATTTTGTACCTTTTTTTTTAAAGTCAAGGTAGTTCTTTGCTATTTAAAAAAACGTGTCTTGAGCAACGAGTTTTACTCCTGGTGGCACATCTGTTTCTTAATGATTGTCAATGGTAAACGCAAACTGTGAGCTGTCCTTACCTTGCAGCAGATATTTTTTGTCTTCCTTTGATATTTTCCCAAATTAAGCTGGCAGTTCGGACACAAGTCCTCCCCATGCCACATCTTGGAAACGTTTCCTTAGAAACGGTACGAGACAGCAACCCCCAAAACATCCCCGAAAACACAGCGCCACTGCAAAGAGTAAAGTCAGCTTACCAGCCTTCTACGTCACCGTAGTCATCACGGGATTCTTGCAAGAGCCACAGAATGTGCAGAGGGACTCATCCTTAAAATCTTCGCGATCATCGACGATGAAAGAAGAGATGTGGAGTTGTGGAATATCCAGTGCATTTTCACCATCACTGTCGGCCTTGCTGGCCAAGTTTCGCTAAGATACTATTTCGGAATCAATAATTAAAGATTACGTGGTGATTTTTATATAAGCGAAAAATTTACCATAGAATAATGGTGTGGTGAAATAAACACTTTAAAATCTGACATGCGAATTTTAAATCGCACGTTAGATTTAACAATGATAAAAACTGCTCAACACCAAAGAAGACTCATTTAGTTTTGGTTGTACCTCTTTCAATGGGATCGTGACATACGCTTACTGCTTAAATGCCTTCATGGCCAGTGCCCCGAGTATCCGGCTGTCAAATAAACTGACACGGACTAGTGATATTTCTGTGAAGCAGTCGAGGCGTGGAAACACAACCCTGAGATGCCCGAAATGCTCGCGTGAAACAGAGGGAGGAAGGACTTTTGCAGTCGCGGTAGTGAAAGAATGGAACAAACTCCTTATTAACATTAGATCTAGTCCGGCAGAATGTTATACTTTTTATGAAAAACGTGAATTATCTTAAGGAATCTATTCGTCCACAAAGGTCCAAAACCTTCGCTGACATATTCACTCATTACAGTTTCTGTAATGTAAGTGTAATTTAAGGTTCTGCAGCTACGAAATACCTTGTATTTTGAGCTAGACGTTTTAAGTACAGTGTACCGTTCTTTTGATCGCAGTGCCAGTATTACAATATCTGAATTATTATCGTTATCGTACAAGGCAAATCTTGGCGTCATGACGAGCTGGGTTATTTTTAGTGGGATGCATCTTGTAGAGGGTTCTGGAGAAATAACAGCTTTTTAAGAAAAGCCTTAAAAGAGCAAACCAGGAGGACAAGTAAAGTTTTAGAAAATTGAAACGGAGAGTATGGAACAGGATTGATATTTTAATTTTGGGCGTCAGTTTTTGTCATAGAACGTGACAAGGTAGCAGCACTTGCGTGACGGCTAACGCTAACATGGAAACTGCAGAGACCTGGTAACTAACTGCTTGCATTGACTTGGCTACTAAGCTTGTTTGGAGAAACAAACTGTTAAACAAAAACTCACGGAACTGAAGCATTTATACCTGGATTATATGCTTTCAAAATGTCTCAGGCCAACGGTAATAAAGAATTTAGCATGACAAAAGAGGTGAGACAGTTCTTGAGAATGTATCGAGGAGAGTGAGACTGTCATGTTCAGTTTTTGCTTATTGAATATTGAAAAAACAATTTGTTTGCTCATCAATGATGTTTAGCCATTAGAGCATGTCGTCACTGACCCAAACCTTTTCCAGTCGTTTTCTTCCTAATTTAAAATTTTAGGTGGGATTTTAACGCTCTTTGTGGAAATTCAACCTCCTCTTTGAAGCTGAAGTTAGTGTTGAATATTTACCAGATTTTACGTGACGTTAAAAGAATAATTTGGCCCTTCAGGTTTTCAGCATGAAACACGGGGTTGACTTGCTGCAGGAGATATTGGACAAAGTGATCGTGGACTCGACTTTACTTTTCAACCTTCTTGACGTAAACAATGGGGAGGTTTAGACCTTTCAAATGCTAAAATTATCTCCCATCGTGGGTGATCCTTTTAATTTGTGGTCTGCATGTAACATTTCTCCTTTGCCGTTCTGTTTTTTTTTCTTTTTTAATTAATTTTTATTTTATTTTAAAAAACACATATACCATTCAATGATAAAACTTTGTACACTAACAGGAAATTGTTGGTGTCAGTAGGTGATGTTAGTTCAATAGTGACCTTAAATATATACATTAAACTTTGAAGCTCATTTAAGTAACGTTAAATCCATGAGCCCAAGGATAGTTGTAAAACATTTGCAGTATGAACCAGGTCCTAAGTTTTATCCAGCAGCACTTTTTTTCGTTTTTCTCACAGTTGTAAAAAAGATAGCCTTTCTAGCCCCATACAAGAAATGAAATGAGCTCTTTTTACCTTCATTTTCAAACTCCCTGAGGAGGTTTTTTTCATCAAATTAAAAAAAGTCAGTGGGATATATCAGCATAATTTTATAAAGTAGACAAATTCTGATGCTTTGTGCTACTCATGAGTAATTTCTTGAAGAAATTTTAGAATGAAAAGCCAGAAGAAAACAAGAAGCTTGTGAGACTTCTGGTGTGTGATTTAACAGAAAATCATTGCACCTTGTTGCCAAAGACTTCACATGGTGTATTGTTTTATGGGGTTCTTGCTCATTTCTTAACCAGCAGGTAGATTTTTTTTTTTAAACTATGGGAGTTTGAGGCATCATTTGCCTAATATGTTTTTGTCGTGTCCTTTTTGTTATAGGCTATGTAGCAATTGGCAAGCTTTTCTGAATTAAACAATGTCTTTAAATGTTTCATGGTCCTCAACACTTCTCTCTTGTCCAATTTTGCTGTATGCATTGATGTCTTTGACGCTTGTCAAGTGTTTTCTTCTTCAGGAGACCTCTTTGAGCTAATAAAATTTTCTTTCAGGAACTTGATAAATTTGAAAAAGCTCTGAAAGATGAAGAGTTTCGAAAATTGCTTGTGGAATATGCTCAAGAGATATCAGATCCAGAAAACAAGAAGGTTAGTTTGTGGTATCATAAGAGTACTCTTCTCATAAAATGCTACATTTGTAATTTAATTTTAATCTAATTTTAGTGTTCCAGGTAGTGCAAAGTGTAGTAGAAGTATGTGAGGCTTTAATTTTTTTTTTGTTATATAAACTGTGGTGTTTTATAACAATTTCCAGTCCTGAGAGAAGGCATAACTATACACCTGTAAAACTGTGATAATTTTTTTTGTTAACATATTGATATGGCCAATTAGCTGCTGACACATCACTCAACTTTTGTGTACTTCTGTCTGGTTGATGATTAAATGACAAAGCATTCACCATTACCAATCCAAGGTCGTTTGCAAAATTTTCTTGTCATTAGAGGCCTATGGTGTGGATACAATTAACAGAACAATACGTGGCTGCTTATAATAATGAATTTTTTTCTTCTTGTGTTCAATACATAATCTTACTTATTCACTGAACTCACTCATACCCCTATATACTATTTTCTATTTACCTAATGTACCATGTAATAGCAATGTAATGTGCTGCCTTGCCCATTGATGATGATGAACTTTATTCATGTGTCAATTATAAAATAGCAGTAATAAAACCACTAAGTAAGGACACAACAGGTAATTTAGATAAAATAATAAATAACTAAGTATTAATATACAATTAAATAGCATAAAATATAGGAATGAATAGCATAAAATTTGTGGTCAGCAGAATCAGGCTAGGGGACCTTAAGACATGGGGGGGGGGGAGGAATAGTCTGAGCCTAACTAAGATATAACTAAGAATCATGCACTGCAAACCAAGCAGCCCACACAACCACCATCGTCCATTAACATTTCCAAATCCATTCCTCTAACTGCCCTCTTAAAACCCGCATTTCCCGCTTTTACCTCATTATATGATGTAGATTTTGCTATGAGCACATTCCACTATTCCATATTTGTTTCAGGAAACCAAGTTAGGGATAGAAATATGAAAAATTGTCACCCTCCTACACACAAATTTTACAAATATTATTCTGACTTGTAGAAATATGAAGAAGAAATAGCACAGATGGAGAAGATGAGAGGAATGGATGTGAAGTTTGTTAATCCTGAGGTACACGTTTGAAAATTGTTGCTATATTCATTTGATTGTTTGATTCATCTCTTGAAATCATTCAAGACATAGAGGACTTTATTCTTAGCTTTTTATTTCACTTTAGTTATTAAAAATCTTTGAGCGGCATATTTCAGGATCTGTTAAGGATAAAAGACACATCCTCTGGTTTTGTTAGGGACACAAGGATTTTTATAGTTATGAAAGACTTTGCTGGGATTTTGAAAGTATCTCAACTTGGACTAAAAAAACTTGGAATTCTAATGCTATAAAATGATGTTATTTTTCCTGCTGCAGTACCTTGTATAATTATATATTTTAATTTTAATTTAATTTATTAGATTCGCCGACAGGTAGGGACACCACAACAGCTTGCGCCAATTACTGCGGGCCCAGTAAACCCACCCACCCCATCCCAGGGGAGGACATCTACCACACAGTAATCTCATATGTGGGAAATGAATGTCTCCTACCCCTAACCCTGCAGGAGATGGGGCCTACGGTTTACTTGTCCCTATCCGAGAAGACTAGAATATCTATCCATTTCTTGATATAAAGAAAGGTACCAAATTCTCTTCAGTTATTTTAAGACCCTGAGTGTTGGTCCGGCTGGGGCTTGAACCCTCAACCTCCCGCACAACAGTCTGGCGCTCTACCAATTGAGCTAATCAGGAGGTGGATACAGTACTGTATCTTAAAACTAAGACTGAAGAGGAAATCTAGAATCATTAGAGGCTTGAATTTGGTATATAGCAGTGTATACACATCTAGAATTATTACAAGAATCATGTTTTTAAGCCAAGCAAGCCAAAAAGTACCACAAGCCAACAAAAGTGTGGTGTGATAAGTTTTTCATGCATTGAAATTTCAATTTTGCATTTTGTTAACAGGGTGGTTATGTTGTAAAAACAAGAGATCTTGGTAGTAATGTCAAAGCATTTGTCAACATTTGCATGAATCAACATATTGGACAAGCATCTTCACAATATACTGAAAGAGAAGAGAATGGAAAGAAGTAAGTAGTTTGCATTTTACATTTCTTTAATGTAAGAAACCTGATTAGTTATGTCCAGTAACATCCATGTGGTTTATACTTGAACCTCAGATAAGAGAGTTATGTGTCTCTTGGAATAGAGTTTTTCGCTTAATTTGTGTTCAACTGACAGAATACAAGGGCTATGGTCTGAGAATTAATTTTAGTCAAGATAAAAATGTGTGTTCCTTGAATAGAGTTGTCCTATCGAGGTGGCTAATGCCAAGTTGAAATTAACACACTACTTGGAACTTGTTCATTGTGCACAAAGGTTGGATGTTTGGATTCTCTACTTTTCTTCAAGCCTGTACATTCTGTTACCATTCCATCTTATATATTAAACTGTCATTGTCGCCTCTACTGATATAATTAACATGTGACTAACGACAAGGCCTTTGATTTTCATAGAACTGACAGATATAGTGTTGTAGACTTTTGAGTTTTCGAGTATGTTTTTTGTTATGTTAGGGCGACCTTTTGTAATTCATACTTGGATGTTTGTGCAGAGCTCTAACTGATGCCATTCTTAACTTTTTTCCAATGTAGGAGAGCTGGTCATCAGTGGAACATTCCGTACAGCTTATCACAACCAAGAGAGGATGTTGACAGAGGTATGGTGTGGAAGAATGTTTCCATGAAGCCCAGCTGAAGAGTTTTATGTCTTTATTTCTTGAACTTATCTTTATAAATACTTATTAAGGTTCACTTGATGTTTAAACTCAAGTCTTTTATTTTTCACTTGGTGACAATCATTTGTGTGTCAGATTTTAGACATGATTCCCTGAATTAAAAGGAGAACTTGAAAAAATTGACAAGGCAACATTTTATAGTATTTTCATGTGTGTAGAGAGAAATGAAGCAGATCCAGTTCTTCATTATTAAGTGTGGTGTATCAAACTAACTGCCAGTCTTAGGAAAAGAGTTTGAACAAAACTTTTGTGTTGTTGTCCGTAGAAATGAACTTCTTAAATGTACTTGTATGTGATTTGACACTTGTAGCTGGCAAGCACTGTACTGTGTATGATGCCGTATTCCACCCAGACACTTACAAGAAAGGTCAAGAGGTATGATTTCAAGAGCTCTTAATGACGTCAAACTGTTTTTTGACATCTTTGTCTCAGTGATCCAAGACTGTCAAATCATAGATAAAGGTGACAAATATCCAGTGCTTTCATCCAATAAATTGACATCAAACTGTTTTTTGACATCTTTGTCTCAGTGATCCAAGATTGTCAGATCATAGATAAAGGTGACAAACATCCAGTGCTTTCATCCAACAAATATGAATTTTTTCTTACAATTCCCTTGTAGCTCATAAAACATTCTATTCACATATGAAGCTTTGTAAGGAAAAACCAATTTGACTCTTTATCAAAACTCCTAATTGATTAATTAAAGACAATGCTGAGATGTTTGCTATTTGATAGGGCCCACGATAAAACTGCAGGGAGTTTGTTGAAAGAGAAAAGGCCACTTTCATTAATCATAAATGAGAAAACAGAGTTTGATTTATTTAATTTAATAGCTTTCGCCAACTGGCAGGGACACCACAACAGCTTGCGCCGATTACTGCAGGCCCAATAAACCCACCCATCCCACCCCAGGGGAGGACATCCATCACACAGTAATCTCGTGTGTGGGAAATTAACGTCTCCTACCCCAACCCTGCAGGAGACGGGGCCTCCATTTATTCGTCCCTATCCGAGAAGACTAGAATATCTAACCATTTCTTGATGTTATAGAAAGGCAGCAAATTCTTCTCAATTATTTTAAGGCCCTGAGTGTTGGTCCGGCCGGGACTCGAACCCTTGACCTCCCGCACAACAGTCCAATGCTCTATCCATTGAGCTAACAATTTTATATATTAATTAGGACAAGAGGTTTAAACAGTTGATGATTGACACTGCTATAGATGGAATACTGCGAGAGTTTAAAGCAAAACTGGACAAGAAAAGTAAGTAGATTTAACATCACATTGAGGATGCTGGGACTGACTTTTAGCAAATGTAATTATGATATCGTTATAAAATATTATTTCATGATTGCCATTAATTTTTGTTTCCTCCAAAACAAAGCTCATTTATTTTGTCTTCAGGTTGAGCTATTTACATGCAGGGGTATAGTAACCAAATGAAAATTTTTTGTGACCTGTAATACTGTACATCGTTTAGACCTTAAATTCCCAAAGATGACATTCAAGGGAGTTAAACAGTCTACAATTATAAGGACCAAGACAAATGAGGTATACCACATTATTGTCAATTTTAATCGTCAACTAAATGTTAGCATAATCATGGCTGTTCAAATGGCTTTATCTACTTTAATTGATATTGTAGAGTCTTACAATGCTAAGATATTACTGTAATTTATCAAACTTTTTTATTCCTTTTCTCAGAGGGAAACACTGTCAATGACAACGATATAAGAATGTGTTAGTCAATATCATTATGAAAAGATATATACTTCTGAAATATTAGTAGCATATTAACATGTGGTAGTTTCCAAAATATATTTTGACTCACAGTACTCCTCTGTTTAGGTGCCTAAAGACTCAGCTGAGTTGATGTTTGGTGGTGAAAAATTTCCGTATCCCTATAGTGATGAACCAAAAGTTGTGACAAAGGAGAAAAAACCAACAGTCAAGGATGGGCAGAGACATAAAAAGAAGACGGATGATCCCAGTGTACCAGAGTTTAGAATTGTACATCGAGGGCTTATTGATCTTCAGAACTTCACAAATGCAAGGTGCTGCTATGATCAACATTATTTTATAATTGCCAATGGAATACTACACAAAGTTATACTACTTTTTCTAGAAATTTGATTTGCAACTTTTTATTTGAAATTGAGGTAAGAAAATGTTCAGTTCCTGTAGTAAAATGTGCATAAGAATTTCAAAGAACACTGTCACCTGGGAAAGTTGAAAAAAAATTAATACGTTATGGCTTGCATATGCTCCTACCATTATCCTCATTTCCCATTTTGCCACCTTTCCTGGGGAGGTCAAAATTCTTGTGTAGACTTTGTGGAAGAGATCAGTTACATTACATACTACCATCCTAATAAATCCTTGTCATAATTTGAATTCAGGGATTCTAATCCTACCACAAGACCTAAAGAACTTGTTGTCTACATTGACTTGCCACTGTTGGTAAGTTACATGACTGTGCGCATTAGTAGTTCATTAGATTTAACCCACAATGCTCACATGACTGTCTGAGTGTATATCTCACATTTCATAACAAAAAAAAACTATGCTATGTTGCCACATGTAAGCTTTTTTTTTTTTTTTTTATCTGTAGGAGTCTGCTGCACATTTGGAGTTAGATATTCTTGAGAAACAGCTGGTGTTGGTTTGTGAAAAGCCTCATTACAATTTAGACATATCCTTATGAGTTACATGATATCATTAGTCTGAGATAGGCCTTGTTAATTGAAAAGCTACTGTTTCAGTCCTTGCAAAAGTTCAAGATTATAGGGAATGCAGTAGACATTATTGGTTGTACAAATTCATTTGTTAGGAGTTGTATTTGCACTGATAAGAAACACAGGCCTCAAGAGTCATTCACCAAGGCTAAGTGGAGAGGTTGGGTTCATAGCCTTGACCATTCATTGTGTTGTTTTAGTGGGACCCTTGCCTCTCACCTTGTGTCTTTCCACCCAGTTGTTTTACTTGGATTCATGCAAATTGTTGGAAGGCTTGATAAATTGTTAGGAGGTTACTTGCACCAAATTAGCATCTCATGCAACTGGCAGCAAAGATAAACAGTACAACTCTCTCAGTAATGAGGGCTTGAAGTCTGAAGACTTAACCAATCACATCCATGTTATACAGCTGGAAAACAGTGATTGTTGCCTTAACATGATACACATAGCACTGCCTTATCCAATTGATGAAGAAAAGGGATCAGCTAAATTTGACAAAAGCAAAAGACAGCTGACTGTTACTTTACCTGTATTACCAGCCACAGATATTTCTCAAATGGTAGGTATCTTTATCTTTCTGTTCAGCAGTATACTAGAATGTTTAAGGAGGATCTATGTACTGGTGAATCCTGGGCATAGTGAGGTTCACAGAAACGGCATAATACCTTCATTGAAATCAGAAAATATGTTCACCCAAGGAATGTTCCCTGGTTGATCACCTTTCTGATTTTAATGTTTAACTCTTCAACTTGCTAATTATGTATGAGATAATTAATACTCACTGTATAATTTGTTATTTGGGTCACATGGATGCCCCTTGATACCCTGATTAAGAACAGATGAGCAAGCTTTTTTGTTTACCCAAACATGGTGATCATTATAATCTGTAAACAGACTCCCAAGCTTGAATAAAGGAAATTTTTTCTCTTGTGAAGCTTGCCAGTTTGGGAAAACATCAACAGCCTACTTATCTTAGTTTGTACTGTGCCCTTCACAGCTTTTAACATTTTAGGAAATACACTTTGACATAATTTCAAAATCAGTAGAAAATTTTTTTGCCCCCAGTCCCCATTTACTTCAAGCTCTGGTAATGAGCATAACAACAGAGGGTGGGAGAAAAAGTAAGAAAACTATACAGCGTTTACAATTGCCCACCTCTTTTTCAGAACTTGTTGTAATTGTTTTCCTTTAGGATATGGGAATTGTTGCAGACCAAGTAGAAGATGAGGTACAACCAAATTCACTGCAATTAAGCAATCAAGATGTAGAACCTTTTTCTGGAGAACTTCAACAGCCTAAAGGTGATTCTGTGGAGCAAAGTTTGAAGGTTAATAACAGAAAGTTGTCCGATGAGAGTAATGAAGAGAATAAAGTATTGCACATATGTGGCGTGGAAGATGAAACAGACATTCGGTTTCAGCTACCAAGCTCGTCTTCAGGTATGTCTCTTCAACAACAACAACAACAGCATTTATTTAGACACGATAAAATATTCAGCAAAAACAGCAATGTGGTCTTCTTAATTAAGGACCTATCTGAGCTGTAATATGGGATTTCCAAGTCTTACATCCAACAACATTTACTATGCATTGCCTTTAAATCAAGTTACAGAATTTAGTGTTACATCAAACACCCTCTTAATTGATGATTTTTTCTGTCTTCTCAATGTCTTTTTGCTAGACTTTGTGGGGCTATTGTAGAAAAGAATTATATGTGAATCACTTGTAATGGTCAGAGGTTTCAAATTTTTCCACAGAAGTCAAAATAGGAAAATTTTCAGTTCATTTTTATTTGTGAATGGTTTTATCCTCCTTGTGAAAGGGAGACGAAGATTTTATTGGAAGTTTTTTGGAACCTCTATCAAGGGTTAGGACTTTTCTACCCAGTTAAACTTACACACCACCCCCCAAAAAAATTAATCCAATAATGAAATAAAATGCTCTGATAACCTATCCACCATCCTTTTATCAAATCTGGAACAATGATATACAAGAACAATGATAATTTTTTGTTTTTGTTTGCTTTTTTTTTTCAGAGCTCTGCTCTCCTTGTTTCTTTACCACTCCACCTTACAGATACCACCAGCATGATGATGTCATCACATTCATTATTGATGTCCAAAATATTGCACTTGACTCAGTCTCATTGGGATTCAAAAAGAATAAGGTCAGTACCCTAAGTATTCTTGTTTGTTATGTACTGTAGAACAAAGCTGTCTTTTGGTCAGGAGTTGAAACCAGGCAACTTGAAAAAAACTCATTATCAGCCATGGTATATATTGACCTAAACTTGCTAACACCCTATCAAAGGGAGTGGTTGTGTCAAGTGTGAGAAAGAAGGAAAAATTGAAGTTTTAACAGACCCCTAATATCGTTTCACTATGTCAGGTTAAACAACTTTGAAGGTCAGAAAATAGGGAATTACCTGTATATTTTGATTCATTAGTTTGATTCATATAAATACTGAAAAAGTTACTCCTACTTTGAATGCTGATGTCAGGGACAGGCACTCAAATACTCTAGCAACATATCCAAGGGACTACCAACATCCATGGTAGCTTTTGAATTATGTTTTAGGAATAAACAGGTTTTCATTAAGGATTGTGGGGTCTGGAAAATAGTGTGTAGTGACAGGCAAATATTCTTCATGTCTGAATCCAAAATAGCTGAGGCCTCCAAAATTGAGCAGGAGAATTTTGTGTTTAGCTGGAGAATTCTCCATTTCAGATGGAGAAATCCTTATTCCTGATTCCTAATGAACTCTCTGAAATAGGATAATACCGGTTTTTTTTTTCCACAATCCCCATGTATGACTAGGAATGTGACAACTTAAAGTTTTCAACTTTATTGACTTATTACCTTGTTTAGGCATACATAAGCTTCCCATCTGGTAAGTCTCACCCAGGAGAGCTACCTGCACCAGAGTACGCCTTGTATCTGCAGTTTCCAGATGATCATAACCTTGATTCAGATCTCTGTAACATTGACGTCAATGAGGAGAACCTCGTTTTGAACCTTTACAAACAGGAATCCTGCAAGGGGATGTGGGATAGTTTTGAGGCAGGTTCAGGAGAAGAAAGTTTAAAAGTGAGTATATCAACTGATTCTATTTAATTCATTTTATGGGCTGCAAAGATATATTAAATACCTAGGGGTCTATATTGGCAAGCATCTTAACTGGCAGTCTCAAATACAACATATAAACAATAAGATGATAAAAAATATTGGAATACTTACAAAACTAAGGTATAACTTGAACCTCAGAATACTCAAACAAATGATTATACTATGCATTAATCTATCCATATCTAAGTTATGGTAAAATAGTATGGGGCTGTGCTTATGAAACCCAATTGAATTACCTCCAAGTTAATCAGAACAAATGCCTCCGAAGAATCTTCTTTGCACATACTAGGGAGTGTCCTGATCCATACTATAAACTCTTAGAAATTCTTAAACTAGAAAACATATATGAACTCAGATTGTGCTGCATTATACATAAAATTGTGAATAAAGCTGATAGCATTCCAGATATCATCTCTGATGTCCTAACCTCAGCATCTAGCATACATAGATATGATACAAGATTCACAAATGAATTCAATTTTTTTAGAATGCACATATCAACTAATTCTGGCAAAATGTCTTTCATGTATGCTGGACCCAAGATATGGGAATCTGTGCCACTTGAAATTAAGTGTCTCTCTTTTACTTCCTTTAAAAAAGAATGGAAGCGTCATCTCTTGGTTGGTCAAAGTTGAATTCACTACTGGTTTGATGCTAGATAAAGTAACTCAGTTCTCTTGCTCCTAAACTGTAGGAATTAAACAACAAATCTTAACTCACTTTATTTACCCTACATAATTTGCATTAATCGCCTCATTCTTTCTTTTTATTTCTCATTTTTTTTCCTTCTTTTAACTTAATTGAATTTTTATTTACTTATTTACTTATTTCTCTTTTCTCTTTGTTTACAATATTAATAGTGTATAAATACCTTGGTTAGTGTAAATATAGAATTTAAGTGAAGTAAGTCTTGTGTAAATGTTCACATACACCAGTTAATTACACGTGACAGTGGCCAACTTGAAAGCTTAAGCTCCTTTGGTCACTGTGCACATTTTATATATAATTTACTGTTCATATAATTATATTCTGACTTTTGTAATCTATAGCAATCTCTACTGTAACCTCTCGAAATAGTGCGAATAAAAATGAATGAATGAATTGGCTAGGTTTGCTAACCAATTGCTGGATGGCACTGAAACACTCCATAAGCTCATTGGTCACTAGGCTTTTTTTCATTTTTGAACTTTCGTTTCTATTTTTGATTTTGTTTTTGTTTTTGTGGTGTGGGTTGGTATGTCATTAATCTGATTGTTAGTACAGTCCACTGCTTTGTCAATGTGGGTAGTCACATTTTGGCACAAGTGGGTGTGGCTTTCACCCAGCCAGTTAATTTTAATTTTTGATCAGATGGTGGCCTTGCAATTACCTTGCTCATTGTTGGCTTAGAAATGTTAGTTTCAAGGTGATTCAATGTAGTGGCAACTAGTTTTGAGCAGTTTCAATGGTAGTATTCATTAATTGCTGTAAATGAAAGTGTAGGTACTTCATCTGGGATATTTGGGTGGTGCAGGAAATTATATTTTGTCTCTACCGTCTACAAAAACTACTACTAATGGTCTTCACTCCTTTTCATATAATTATGGCTTCAAAACTATGGAACTCTCTTCTGGACTCTTTTAGAACGTCTGACTTTTCTGATTTCAAGCGCAAGATTCTACAGTATGACTCTTTCTCATAGTTAAATTTTAGAATGTTACAATTTTACATTTTACATTTTAGTTGTATTTAGAATTATACTTGTAACTCGAAGATACCAGCTTATTCTTTAGCTACTCCAAATTCGAGATTAAATAAAGTATATGACTTTGTGTGTGTGTGTGTGTGTGTGTGTGTGTGTGTGTATGTGTGTATGTATGTATGTATGTATGTGCAGTGAGGGTGCATTCTTACAAGATTTGTGGCCTATAAGTGCTATAGGGTTATCCTGGTTTCCAAAGCATAATGCCAACCATAAAGGGGTTAAGTTTCTAAAGAAACTGTGGTGCTGTGTCGGTGGGGGTAACAAGGTAATTTGATTATATCAACTAAGTTGAAATTGTAAATCGGACACCGTAAAGAGTTAAGTAGCTGACGTTTCGAGCGTTATCCCTTGTCAGCCCTTGGCTCTGAAAAAGGGCTAACGCTCGAAACGTCAGCTATTTAACTCCTTACGGTGGCCGATTTTACAATTTCAACTTGATAAAACCAAATTATAATGCCAACCAGTTATTTCCTTACATGGACTGTTAGTCTATTGCAAGGACAAACCCCCCTCTCCCGCTCGATGCATTTCATAAGTTTCCCTCGAAAGCTTGAGGTAAGTGTCTTACTCGAGAACATTAGCGTTTATCCACTAAATCTTCCATTTGTTTCTCTACTAATTGGCTTTAAATTACGCCACAGTCCCATAAGTAAAGTGTATCCTTTATTTTGTAGACTCAGTTCTTCGTTTCTGAAAAAATGGTTGATAAGATGATGGAGGAAGTTGCTGAGCAGGATCCGTGGGTATGTTATTTATTTGTCTGACACAATGGCCAAAATGATAAACTCGCATTACACGGCAGGTTTTTCTATGACAAGTTTACCTTGGCAGTCTGGATGGAAAAACATTGAGTCCTGTTTCCAAACACTGACATGCCAGGTTTTAAACAGGGAGACTTGTTAGGGACAAAATTTGTACGTGACGTAAAAAAAAGGTGCCAGGGAAACAGCAAGGGATTTTAAGGAATTTCTACCACAGCAAATCCTGATTCGATGCATTTACTGTTATGACTCAAGCATTGTCTTACTATCTGTAATCACAGAAGCTCCATGAAAGGTTTTTTTTTTTTTTTTTTTTTTTTCATATAAAAGAAAAATGATGCATAGCTTCTTAAAGCTCAACCACATCAAGAGTTGAAAATGACAGTTTTTTTTTAACTGCAGTTTCACTGGCTAGACGGTGTTGAAATATAAACACTACGTGTCTAAAAAGCTTCCTCCCCTCAGTGAACTAAGACAATGTACCACTGGCAGCTTTAACACGTGGGAGCTGCAGGCCCATCAACCTGTGCTGCCTCGGTGTTGACTTTGTCTAGTGTTATTTACTTTTTCATTTTCCATTTTCCTGTCTGTTTTAGTCCACTGCTGCTCCTAATGGTGAAGCACATGCGAAAGTTTCTTCCCTTACCGATGACTGCCTTACCATTCGAACAGACAGAACTGATCAAGGAAAGAGTCTTGGAAACGGTGAATTCTTGGAATCTCACATTGATGCTAAGAACGAGAAGCTAGACAAAAGGCGAATGGGAGACAACATCAGTTCTTACGAGGAAGTTAAAGTGACTAAGGTAGTGAAAGATCTTGAAAGAATCCAACTAGAGGAAAGCCAACATATAACTAAATCAAACGGAGAAAGGAATGGAAACACTGTGATGTCGGACTCAGAGGACCCTGACAGCAAAGAAGCGATTGCGGAAAAGGGTGACAGCTTCGTACCAATTGATGTTATAAGCAACGCTGTAAGGAGCAGGAGATCGATTTTGAGGAGGACTTCAAGTACTTCCACCGATGATTCGCAAGGTGACGAGAATGAGTCGAACGGAGTACCCGATTCCCCGAGCAAGAAAAATGTACGATTTAATCTTAACCCTAATGTTCGTGTTTTTAGCAACAAGAAAGATAAAAAGAAAAGGAAATTAGAGGCAAGACTGAAAGCTGAAGCGCGTAAACATTCTTTTGAAAGTGAATCAAGTGGGTCTGAATATAGCAATGGGACGTCACCCGTTGATAGCGGAACGGGATGGGACGCGTTTGATGATCAATCCCGCAGGACAGGAACTTATTCCGAAAATGGAGATACGGTATCTAAAGTGAATGATGTACACTGTGAAGATGATAGTGTAAGTAAACAAGCCGGTGTCGAAGCTTTTGGGATGGCCAACCATTTGATTTTTGAACTCGATGACTAACCATTTGTTGGCGCGCAAATCTTGGTGTTTGTAAATATCAAATAGATCGTTTTTAAAGAAGGTTGTAGGTACATAGGCAGGGTATGTGTCTGAATTCAATTCACACGAAGTAGCCTCACAAAACAGCAAATAAAATTAACGTTTACCTTTATTCAAATGCTTATGTCCGTTATGTACTCTCTGGCAACGTGGAGAAGAGGTCGCCCGATTTGGACTTGCTTTTGTAATTACCTCTTTTAAATCATTAGCCATGACTTTCAGAACATGAAGGCCCCGAACCACTTGAAAAGATTTTGAACTATTTACATTTATTGTTTCTTTTAGACTTTACGTATTTATTGTAGATTATTAGCACTATTAATTAGTTACTCTATATCTCCCAGCGTTAGCCCAGCTTTTTGGGAGTATAAGTTCCAAGTTCCAAGTCCAATATTCAGTGGATAACAAATACCAAAGAGATGAGAAAAATCCATTACATGATAAATATGCGTTAGGATGGATAAGAGTAAGAGAGGATTACAAATGAAAAACCTTTAAATTTTAAAAATTCGAAAATTTTTAGTCTCAGATACACAAATGGTAACGTAACTTCTTTTTTTCTTCCTTTTTTTAATTATGAAGCTAATAAAATGTCCCACAAATGAATATTAACCTGATAATTGCATAATTGATGATTAATTAAGCATTGAACAATAGACCTCAGTGGCCATTTGTACTTAACCAGAGTGGCTATTTGTACTTAACCAGAGTATTGAGGGGTTTTATTCTTTGGGGCCTCGTAGTGTGTCTATTGTTTTGCGTAGAATCGGATTTTTACCCCAATTGGCAAAAATGTCGCAGTCTGATTGGCTAGTTTGTTGATAAAGACAGAGCTGTTTGCATCAACGTGTCACGTAACGTGTCACGCACTGAAAGAATCGTTTTATTCGACGTAGATGCTAAAAAACAAATCGACTGTGATTTTTCGTGGTCTGCACTAGCTGTTATCGACATCAAAGTGTTCAAAATTTGTTGCGGACTCACCAACATTCTTGACCACTGATAAGAGTACAGACCGCGCTAAACCACTGTCGATAAAATGCCACTAAAGTGAAAATTGAAAGACAGAATAACGGGAAGAGAGCACTCAAATTTGATTGACGCCCCAGATTTCTTTGAAATACAATATGCAAGTTTCTGAAACCATTTTTGGTGCGCTCTGATTTTTTTAACTTCTAAATGCAATACACAAACCGTCAAACAAAAATTCTCAAATTTTAAATCGATTTCTTAATATATATCAGCTCGGAAATCGCTTGTAACCAATGATTCCTTAACTGTCTCACAAGCAACTACTGTTTCGTCGTATATTTCTACGTTTCGGTAAATAATATTCTGTGGTTGCTCCGGAGACCCTGTGTTGAAATTTTTTTTTTACATCGTCTGGGGGTATATGAAAATCTTATTACACGACTCGGGCAGTCAGAGGGCCAATAACTAAAATCAACCAATCAAAATGCTCTATTGCCAGTCAATATTTTCTCAGTATTGGACCGGGCGCTGTCCCGAATGGTCCCGAATGATACCTCACTTGTGTCCCTTTGAACTTCAGTCGTATAATAAATCTCTTGTTAACCAAGCTTTCTCGGGATCGTACTGGAAGAATATCGTCCTTGGTCTTTTTTGTATGGACCTCGCTGCACTCGGTCGGTACTGTCAAGACTTTGGGCCGATATTCTCCCAGTACGGCCCTCGCGCTTGGTTAATAAGATACATTTACTGTTTTCCTTCTTTCGAAAATTCCACACCACCCTCCCCTCCCCCTTCTGGCCTCCTTTTACATCTATGGTTACCAGTCTTCAAATTGTAGCCGAGAAACTCTATTCTCATCTAGGCCGGATATGCGGTTGTTTACAGGATTTGGACCATAAGGTGTTTGTTTTCCACCAACGGATGTCTTTGTTCGATACACTACTCCATATGGAGGTTACCTTGTCTCAAACTTCACGGTATTTCGTGTAGTTATTGGGACGCACTCGGGGAACAATTTTTTTCGAGGGAATACGCTATCTGTTTTCTTTGCCACGCGCAAAAGGACTACAACCGAGAGCTTGCCTTTTCAAAATTTTTTCCCAGTTCAGCTGAAGAAATATGTCCCAACAAATTGGAGTGTCTGTGCCAGATTCTGAGACACTGAGTTCTGATAAGTCCAAACGTTTCACGGTAAGTTTAATCTGCGAAAATTTTTTTCTGACTAGTTCCCTTTTATTTGCCGCTCTTGAGGAGTTTATTTTCTACGGGTACTTGATATCTGTCAGCTTACAGCGTAAAAGCACGATAATCCTGTTGTTTACAAACTATTTTCAATAAGGGATTGAATCTTTAATGGTTACATCAGTTAAAAATTTTTTGTCGGGCTCACTTTTTTCCTGAGTCTATCAAAATTAATCTCCAACGAAAATAAGCTTACTACCTTTGATCTACTAACAACATGTTGGGCTTACTTCAATTGAATTCTCGATCGTATATTTAACACCGCAGAATGACAAAACTTTTCTTCTTAGGATGAGATACATGGCAAAAAAAATGAGGCTTGATGGTTAATTTGTTCATTGATATGTCTGAATTAGGTAAATTACAGTTCATTATCACTTGGTGAAGTTAAAACAATCGAAAACCAGTGTGTTCTTATATGAAGTATGTTCCGTTTTCAATTTTATCCAGTTCCCGTTTCACTTTTTCCCTTACTGACGATGGTTTTGGCTTTTAACCAAGTCTACATTTTAGACCGATGGAAAATATTAATGATCACAAGTTGTGAGGGGAGAGGGACTGATATATTTGAGTCTGAATGAAGAGGAAAGGTGAAGGTTTTAATTAACATCACCAAGGGTGGGTACGGAAGGGGGCTTGAAGACACCAAGTGTGATGGCACTTAAAATTTGGGAAAAACCTCTCTTTTTTGAGTGCACAATGGAAAGAAACTTTCAATAGCTTCTTAAGCATTAAATGACAGACCCAAGCATGTATCTCCCCCAAATATTGAAACACAAACATACCCCTTTAGCTAACTAGTACTTGTTACTCTAGAACACCTCACAATTTGTTACCAAGTGTGTGAAAATATTGATATTTTACCAAGTATAATCATCTGATTTTATTCCAACTTGAGATTTCAAAAGATTTTTTAATGCATTTCTTTTTTTTTTTTTTTAACATATTCTGCTCTCTCCTTAGGTATATAAAGTGTTAGTCAAGCTTCCTGACGGACGAAGTTATTTCATCTTCAGGAGATACAATGAGTTTTACAACTTATATGAAAAGGTGACATATATTATGGTTTTTTGAGTAGTAATATCGGAACTGTGGAGAAAATAGCAGGGGATGCAGTGTTATTTAGAAGTAGCCTGACCCATTACAAGTGAAATTAAGTTAAAGGCTATTTTGCATAACTCACACATGAGAGAATCATGGACAACTGTGCTCATTTCAAGTAATTTACAAGGTAGAATAAAACAGCTTGAAGGTAGAACTAGATCTCTGGGATAAAATGATAACACAATCAATCTTTTAACTCCAATAACATTAGCCTCCCACACAGTTGTTCTTCTGTGAGTCATATTTCCTCCTTAAACACACAATTACTACATTACCCAACAGTTACTGTTTCTGCAACCAGTGTTAGTAGTAAAATGCGATCAGAACTGAACATGTCTGGTTGTGTGCACTGATACTTCTTCCTGTTGAAAACAAGAAAGCTCACAGAGAGCTCCCTTTGTTGTCCAGGCTAAGTCTGTTTATTATTCTTAATTTCAGATAAAGAAAGTTTTCCCTGACCTTAACATTAAGTTACCTGGGAAACGAAGACTAGGAAATAACTTTGATCCAGGTGAGTTATGACAAATAGGGTTAAAGCCATGAAACATACCAAGTCTAGTATGAAGTCTATAATTAACTGTCTAATGGAGACCTAATATGCTATTGGTCCTTTGCATCATGGGGTTAAGTTTGAGCCCTGTTGAACATCATAGTCTTATGTTCTTAACCAGGATACTTTCAGCCCCTTTTCTGGTTTAAGTTGGTATCACTGAAATTGTGGACTAACATCCTTCTCAGGAAGGGTAGCAACAATCCTATATGCTTTGTCCGCTGTTACGGGTCTCTTGGCTTGTGTGAAAGACTTTTCAGGGAGTTATTTGAAGTCTATTGCATCTCTTTCCACATCATCCTATTACATTGGATCACCCGGGAAAATGACTCTGTGGAGTATATGGTACTGCTAATAGCTTCGTGAATACTCCCAACTTATCTGGCTCTATAATGAATATAACTCACTATTTCATGAACCCAGTAACCTTCATATTTTTGTTATAATTGTATTTCTTAAATAAATGTAAAAAGTCCTCCCAGAAGAAACCATAATGCTTCATGATATGAAGGTTTGGATGTACCTGCTATAGAAATTATTCTCACAAAGAGGACAACATTATTCAAGTCACCATTGTTAGTGTGGCACATTGATATTCAAAGCCATGTATGACTGATAGAATATGGCATTATGTCTTGTGAAAAAATCTTTTGCTATAATAGAAAGATGTTTTTTTGTCTACTCATGAGCATGGGACAAAGAAAAAAAATTGAGTCCCTGGGAGGAATTAAACCTCAGACCTTTGGATTCCATCTTGTTTTATAAAGAATAGGAAAGATCTTAAGTTTTGAGCTCAGTAAAGAAATGTAGAAAGATGTTTTTTCTTCTAGTACAAAGAACAAGTTCTGAAAAAAAACTTATTACATCTTTTAACAAGGAAGGGCTTTTTTAGAATTGTATGTATGATCTGTGACTCTGAAAACATCAGGCTTGAATCATTTATCAAAGAAAGCTGTGTAATAGTTAGGAATTTTTAGGAATATCTTCAGGAGTGACCCATCACTGACTGGAATGTTTTGTTTCATTTTATTCTTTGTCAGAGTTTATAAGAATGAGAAGAGAGGGGCTCAATGAGTTTACAAGCAAGATAATTAGCCATCCCAGTGCCATTGAGCAGTGAGTTTAGATTCCTGCTTTTTTTACTTTAAATATTATTGTTATTGAATACAGAGTTAGTAATTTTAATTCAAGCCCACTTTTAAAATTTTTAATTTAGGCAGCAAACATTTATAATAAATTTTGAAATTTGGTATTGGCTGATTGCATCATGGAGGGAAGACGTGTTCTTACGACTTCCTACTATTTAGCTTTATTTTGTCTACTTTTCTAAGCACCACCAACTATTATCAGGTTCTCTGAAAGTCCTCTAACATCGCTAACTTCGAGCATCTCCGTACATTTACATACACTATCTAAATGGCAATGTGGTGGCAAACTTTTCATACTTTCATCTGGTCTCCGTGGCAGCCATCTTGTTTTGGAGAGACAGCTTCGAGGAATTAGGTACTTTACCATTTGAATTGGCTATCATATGAATGGAATTTCTACTTTTAATCCATCTACTTTAAAAGTTATTGCAGTGGGGATGTTGAATCTAACCCAGGCGGTGAAATTGTCAATAATTCGCTTTGCAATACAAGATCTTCAACTAATAATCTTTAATGTTTGTTACTTAATGCTAGAAGTTTAAGGAACAAGGTCTTTGAATTACAAGCCCTGTTGCTAGAAGATTATTTTCCAGTCATAGCTATCAGCGAAACATGGCTGGATCCTAGCTTCATGGACTTCGAATTAGGTTTGAATAACTACTACATACGCTGCAAAGACAGAAAAGATCGTAGAGGAGGGGTGTCCTTTTGGCAGTACACATGGATTTGATCTCGGTTAGGAGAATGATGACAATATTGAAATCGTAATGGTGGAAATTTGTCAAACCTTGAAGGATAACATTTTATTTGGAGTGTGCTAGTCAGATCCCCTAGTGCTGATGTGGGATATTCGCTCAAATTACGTCAATGTTTGGAAAGAATTGAAATGACTAGATTTGCCACCTGCTACCTTGTGGGCGACTTTAACTTCCCATGCATAGACTGGCATAGCTTAACTGCTACCTCAAGTGATAAATGTACTGCTGATTTTTGTGATATGCTTAATAATCATTTATTGGTTCAATGTAATATCAATCCAACAAGAATGCTAAATGAAGCTGATGGCAATATACTTGATTTAATCCTGGCTAAAACTCCTGATATGGTCAGTAATGTTGAAGTACCGAGTGATCATTTTAATTCTAATCATTTTCCTGTTAGTTTCAATATCAAACTCCTATCTGGTCATCCTCGTAAGTCTGTCTCAAGGACAAACTACAACTTTAAAAAGGTAAACGTTATTGAACTGAATGAATTATTGAAGTACATCCCATGGAATTGTGCTTTTTTGGAAGAGGATGTGGATATTTGTACTGAAAGAATCAACGACTTAGTACTAGCTGCAGCAGATATGTGCATTCCAACCTTTACTGTGAAAAAGAAAACTAATCCCCCATGGATCACCAGTGATATTCTTAAGAAGGTCAACAAGATAAAAAGGTTATGGAGAAAACTAAAAGCTCGTCCATCAGAAGCCCTTAGCCAAAAGTTTAAGGAGTTAAGAAGATCTGTCAAACAGTTAATAAGATCTCAATACAAACGATATCTGCAGCATCTGTCCAGTCAACTTAAGATAAACCCGAAACGATTTTGGAGCTACCACTCGATCAAGTCAAAATCAAAACGGCTTCCAGATGTAAAGACTTACAACAGAAGATCTGTGACAAAATCTCAGGAGCAAGCTCACTTATTTAATAGTCACTTTCACTCAGTTTTTTGTAAACAGAGTACAGGGATACCAGCCCCAATACAAACTAACTAACAAGATCCAAGTACTGATGTCATTACCAACTATGTGGCTTGTGACACTAAAGAAGTTGGAAAACTTCTCAAAGGTATTAATGCTAATAAGTCTTGTGGGATTGACATTTATATAACTGCTCATTTACTTAAAGAGACTGCTGATACATCTGCAGTTCCTCTGAGTATGCTTTTCAATTTATCTTTCAAACAGTGCTGTCTACTAAATTATGGAAATCAGCTAATATCACACCTATTCATAAAGATGGTGATCATGAGCCTGTAGAAAATTATAGAGGCATTTTGCTTCTATCCATCATTGGGAAATGCCAGGAAAGAATTGTGTACAATGCTATTTACAATCAAGTTATCAGTTTTGTGCACGATTCCCATCACGGATTCCTCACCGATCGTAGCTGCACTACTCAACTACTCTTGGTACATTATGATTGGTTCAAGGTTTTGGATAAGAGTGGCCAAGTCAATGTAGTGTTTATAGACTTTTCAAAGGCCTTTGACCTTGTCTGTCATGACATTCTTTTAGCCAAGCTTTACAGATATGGTGACCACGGGGACTTCCTCAACTGTTGTAAGCATTATTTGACAGAACGTCAGCAGTGTGTAGTAGTCAAAGGAGAGGCTTCCAATTGGTTAACCGTAACCTCTGGTGTCCGTCAGGGTTCTTTGTTGTCACCATTATTCTTCACAATATACATCAATGATTTACCAGGAGTAATTAGTAAGAACAGCTCAATTGCATTATATGCTGATGATGGCAAAATGTATAGGGTTATTAATACTCAAGAAGATTTGTTGTCTTTTCTAAGTGACATAGATAAAATATCAGATTGGTGTGAGATGAACAGGATGACAATTAATACTAAGAAATGTAAGATCATGCAAATAACCAGGAAAAAGGCACCCTTAGCTGGGGAGTATAACATTGAGGGTCAACCTTTGGAATGTGTTAATGTTTATAAAGATTTAGGTTTGTTTACTGCTAGTGGTCTCTCATGGAACCAGCATATAGATAGAATAACTGCTGAGGCCAATAGGGTTTTAGGGTTGGTAAAAAGGACTTGTAGGGACTTAATGATGTTGAAACCATCAGAACACTTTATTGTAGTCTTGTGAGACCCTTATTGGAATATTCCTGTGAAACTTGGAACCCTTATACTAAACATAACATTGGCAAATTAGAGGCTGTACAGAGAAGAGCTACCAGATGGATCACTTGGTCTGATGATAATTATGGTAGTAGCCTATCTAAATTGAAATTGTTGCTATTATCTGATAGGAGGTTCATTAGGGATGTTACATTTTTGTTCGATGTAATTAATGGCCATTGTGACATAGACATTTCCAATAAGCTCATATTTTGTAAGGACAGAAGCATGGCTTATAATTTGTGGAAAAATGACACACAGGACCTTGTCCCAAGTTTTAGCAGAACTAACGGTCTGAAATATAGTCTTTTTAACCGTATCGTTGGTGAATGGAATAGCTTACCTAATCACATTAGAGAATCAGTGTTGAAACTTTTAAAAAGAATGTTATAAGTTTTGTTAAGGATAAGGATAATTAGGGCATCTACTTTTATATTTCTATATAGTTTTGCTGTATTAAATTTTTTTTTCAATTAGAGGGGGCATTCCTTGTATGGTGTGTCAGCGCTTTTGGTTGTCTCCTTCTCCACAGTTTTTCTTTTTATGGTTTTTATCAAGTTAGACCTTAATTGTAATTAATACTAATTGTTTGTGTATTTTTGTGGAGTGAATTTGTAATAAATAAAATAAATAAATATAGAGCTATGTGCTAGCAAGCACCAAATGGACCCTTACCAACCAGTATTCAATGGTACCAGTTATAAACACAAATTTCTCAGGTAAATTGCAAGAAACCATTAAAATAACCTCTTAGAATAAACCACTGATACTTTCAGAATACTGCCATAATCTACGTCCTCAGTATATTTAAATTGCTTGGATGCACATGGATGATTCACCACAACGAAAATTTTACAAATTTAGATGGCATAGAAAATGGTGGACTAAGCATTCAATGTCTTCTGGTTGAGTAGGATCCTTAAACACTCATTTAAATTTTTTTCTAGCCCTGACATTCGTCTGTTTTTATCACTGGATAATCCAAAAAATGCCCAAGTTAACAATGACAATGAACAGTTTGGAGCTGATGAGGATGACTCACTGGTATGGTTGATGGAAAATTAATTTTGTTTTGATACAATAATAGTTGCTGTTAAAATGTAGCTGTTCTTTATAGTTATATAGATAAATAAATGTTTAATTATTTGTTTCATGATGTAAGAGTCAAAATAGAGTTACTGTAATGAATAAACCTCAGAAATGTCAAATATAATTACCCCTTGAGTCTGTTTTTCATAAATATGTACTTGGAAATGTTGCTGCAGAAATTAACTCTGCACATTTACTTTAATTGCTTTCATTAGGTACAAAAAGAATAACAAATGACCCTTTTTTCATTTCAAAATTATAGATTGAACTACAATAATTGTCTTGTATCCCTTTGTTACCTACTCCTTTTCCCTAAGCCTGATGGGATTTATATTACAATATTTTTACTTTTCTTATTGGATATGTTTTAAGTACTTGTAATGAGACTTCAAACTAAGGTAAATCAATGGAAAGCTTAGGGATGGAAAACTTAATTTTGCTTAATTTCCTTGAGTTACAAATGTTTTTGGTGCCAGAACCAAATCTTCAGCTATTTACAGCCCAAGTATAATTACAACAACAGGATGCTCGCCCAATCCCCCCCTGTTGGAAATTTTAGGTTCAGCTGAATAACTAAAGGTTATCTGATAGATCAGTCTTACCTTTCCATTAACTATCAGTAGAATATTTAAGGCTTATTTAGATTGGGAATTTGAAATCATTATGATTATCAATGTCAAATGTAATTTTTTTTATAACAAAGGCTAAGGATCTGAACAGAATTGATCTTGGAGACTCGTATAATCAAAAGTAAGTAGGAGTTTTGCATTCCTCAACATTCTTTGAAGATCTGTCCTCTGCAAAAATATCTTGTTGAATATTTTTGTTATCACCCTCTAAAAAGGACTTGAAATTGACTGATTAATACACCCTTAAATGCAATTTTTTTCATTATTTTTAACAGGGCGAAGCCAAGTGATTTTCTGTTTCTTAAGGTTATTGGGAAAGGAAGTTTTGGAAAGGTTAGTGAGTCATCTCTAATTTAATGAGCATCAAGGTTCTAGTTATTCCTATTGACCTAACCCAGGGGTTTCAATTATAGCTTTCTCTGTGAGTGGCTGTCAATAGTGTCAGAGGCAGCTGCATCCAGAAATGGGGCTGAAAGGAAAATCAATAGCTTAGGGTGAGAATCTTATTTCAAGTCCCATTGCTGGCTTGTAACTCACTGGTGTGAGAGGGAACACAAAATCTAGACTCAGGAGTTTGTTTGCAGACAAAACAGATGGTTTTAAATGGTCTTATAAGTGAGGGTAGACCAACAGTAACTGGCTTTGTTGAAACTCTTGACTAAACTCATAAAATAATATTTTAAAAGCTTTAATTTTTGTAGTGACACTCTTGACAAACTCAAAAAAACTTATGAACTTGGAATCATGTTTGACTGTTCATAATTTAAATATTCCTATTTCAATCCAGGTTTTCCTCGCCAAAAATAAACAAGAAGATCAATTCTATGCCATTAAGGTTTTAAACAAAGCTGCCATTAGAAAAAGAAATGAGGTTTGTGAAACTGTTAAGTGTGGAATTAGATAGAAATTGGTCATCTATAAGAAAACAATCCAGCAGTGAAGTGTCAGCTTCTAGAGGTGATTCTGACCTTATGATTATGATATGTCACTCTCTATATGCAAAATATTCATTTAGAAATGAAGCTGGCTTTGCTTATCTCTCCAGTAGCCAATCAGCTAACCACTACTGATCTTTACTTGTCTGCTTAGAATGTTTTGTTTAGGGTTAGCCCTATAACTCCAAGATCTGATTGTTGATTCTCTCCTTTAGCTGTTGGAATTTGATTTAAAATTATATTAGTGACAAGAATTTCATTTGAGATCAAGATAACAAATTCTATCTGATGAGTTTGAGTATTCTCATTCTCTATTTGTTGAAAAATGTATTGATGGATATTATGGGGAAAAGTCACATGTGAACCACTTCTGAGAGTTAAAAAGGTTAAACAAGTGAATAACAATAATCAAAATTATTTTGGTTTCATAATATATCAGAACTGATGTAGTTTAGTTAGGGATTGCTGGTAGAAGTTATAGTTTACAGCAAATGGAAAACAACACTTGTGCTGATAATGATAAGGCCTTACATACTTCTTTGGAGCTCAAACCCATGCTTTTATAAAAACCATAGAATTCATATCAGTATAAACTTAAATAGCTTTTTTAAACTTTTTAGGCAAAGCATATCATGGCTGAAAGGAATGTTTTGTTGATGAATGTTAAGCATCCTTTCCTAGTGGTAGGTAACCCTTCATCTGATGTGACAGGCGATCAAATTGGAGTTTCAAAGGGATTCTCCTTTATTACACTCAAAAACTAGGTTTTTTTATTGGCTTAGAAAAGTAAATGCACTCTCACTCAGGAGAAATTCTTACATTCACTTCACCACTAAATCCACTTGCTTAAGGGGTTGAAATCGACTATAAACTGAACTGGAAACCCCAAGTTAAAGCACTGCACACTAATACCCCATTCACACCAGAAAACTTGTTTAGTTAAACCGGGTTTAACTGAATAGAAATCAGAAGCAGAGAACTGAAAAACTAAATTTTCCACAAGATTCAAGCAATTGCTAAATTGTATTTTCAATGTGCCACATTTGAAGTCAACCAAATATTGATTTGAGCAGCTTCTATGGAGCTGTTGTGTTAAACCATGTTTAACAAAACAGCTTTAAAGCATGTTTAGGCTTTGGTGTGAATGGGGTATAAGTTTGGAGGAAAGCTAAAATTCCTGAAAAAGTTCCAAGCCCTTCCCTCAAGTGCTTTAGAAGAAATATATTTCAAAGGGATTGTCCCAAGCATCGCTTACTGCATCACTATCTGGGAATCTTGTTCATTATCTACATTTAATATATTGGAACACTTGCATCTAAAAGCAGCCAAACTAATTCATGAACTGCCTAGCGAAACTTCTGACACTGATGTTCTCGACCTTGTAAAATGGAAACCACTAGTCTATATTTACAAGCAAAGGCTTGCTTCCATAATGTACCGGGTCTATCATAATATAGCTTACCTGATCAATTTGCAGCACTATTTGAAACACGCAACAGCAATAATTGTTATAACTAAGGTGTACAAATCATTTCTCACTTGTGCAGTAGTACAATAGCAACATTGGCAGAAATAGTGTAAGGTACAGAGGACCCATTGCTTGGAATTGAATCCTTAAAGCCATCAATGTGCTTCCTCCCATCAAATTTTTAAACAAAAACTTAGACAGGCCTCGCAGATAACAGAACAAATTCAATTTGAAAAAGAGGCCTGTATGGTGACATGAAAACAATTACATTTCTTATACTTTTAGTTTTTATTTTTAGAAATTTCATTAATTAGATTTAAGGTTTTTATATTTAAGATTGCATGTGCATAAATATGGATTTTAATTGAGTTACTGGCAGGTCCACACCAGCCTTTAGGTTGCCGCAAACTGACCTGCCTTATCAAAAAGTACATGTATATATGTATGTATGTGTGCAGGCATGCTCCAAACAAGCCAGTTCCTGTTGCAGCATTCTATCATTTTAAATCATACAGAAAAATTACTTTAAAAATTCATTTGGAAAGAATGTTAATTGGAATATCTTGTTGCTAAACATTTCAGGGATTGCATTACTCCTTTCAAACACGTGACAAACTCTACTTTGTTTTGGATTATGTAAATGGAGGAGAGGTAAGATCTGGAGCCTCTTCAGCTTCAATTTGACTTTCGCTTAGACTTGAAGCAGTACCTTAAACTGTTTCTTCATATTTTCAGTTATTCTTTCACTTACAAAAGGAAAGGTATTTTCCAGAAGCAAGGTTAGTACTCAGACAGCTTATTTAGATCTAGTACGCGATGTGTAGTCAGCCTTTAGGTTAGTGTTGAAGGTCTTGTGCCTGTTATTTCAAGTGTTGGTATTGTCCAGTGTTGCCCAAATTAATCTTAGATCTCTCAATTAAGTACTGGTTAAGTAAGAGTTTGGCTTAGGAGGAGGGGAGGGAGAACTTCTATAAAAAATGCAATCCTCTTTGTCAAGAGAACATAAATTAAAGTAAGATATTGTAAGTTTTGTTATGGACAATGTAAAAATATCCATGAGGACTCGGATGTTTGATCTTTCTTGTCCTGTACCTCAACAGTAATGGGCTACCGGGCTAAACATTCACACTCCAGGCTTACACAAAGAACTGATACATAACAGTGACACAGAACAGATACAGCCTACTTATTTACAGTTTTTGTGCACTTTGTGACACATCTATTAAAAAAATCTATAAAGTTTTTTTGCTCTAATAATGGCAATTATTATTTTTTTGTCAGGGCAAGATTCTATGCAGCAGAAATAGCATCAGCAATTGGATATCTTCATTCTCTTCAAATAATTTACAGGTTTGTTAGAATTTTTTGGTAAATAAATTAACTTTCACAACGGATTGTTTCTTTGTTTATTCAAAAGAAATATTTATGCGCATTTTTTTTGTATCTAGTTCATTGAAATCTCTTCGAAATGGAGTTCTATATCCCATTCAGTAATTTAATTGTGAATGATCCATTTAAAATTATGTACTAAATTGCAATTATATGCAATTATAAAAATAGTAGAGAAAGAGAACCATTGAGTGGGTTTTAATACATTTGCTGTACATTGGTTAGTGAGGTTTATGATTTTTCCTGTAAAATATAGACCTGGAAAAGGTATTACAGGTCTTTGCCCTTTCACTGAAAAGGAATCATAAAACATTTGAACTTAGCAAGGGGTTATGGTAGCTGGTCCTAACTTTGAATCTCAGAACTGTGCATACATTAGAGGTGTGCCTTACTTATGGTGAAGGTGGTGCAAGGCTTTTAATGTGTGTAATCAAATTCTTAGATAAATGTTTTGTATTAGGCGGAACACTTTTTTTGTTTTGACAGAGATTTAAAGCCTGAAAACATTCTTCTAGATCATAAAGTAAGTGGCCTGTGCCTGCTGGACAATGTTGTGGGAATAACAAGAATATGCACTAAAATTGGCTAAAACGTTTTTATGTTTGGTTTAAATCTATCATTCAAAATGTATGTTACTGGGACTTTAAACAGATTTCCTCTTCCTCTTACAAAATTTGAGTTGACCTCCTGATTGTAAAGATAGTCTATGGGCTCTATTTATGAAGCCAAAATGATTATTGACCAGTCATTGTTAGTCCTAATGAAAATCTCTTTGTGTACTTTGTTGAGGAGTCAGAGGTCTTAGGTCTAGTGTACAAGTATTGTTTTCCCATATCATATAAAGTAACAAATTGTTGATCCTTTCTGTAGGGGCACGTAGTTTTAACAGACTTTGGACTTTGCAAGGAAGGCATAGAACCTTCTGGTACAACGTCAACATTCTGTGGAACACCAGAGGTAATTTGCTTGTTATTGTTGAGGTAGTAGATCTAATTTTAAAGTACTTTTAGAGAATTGCTGTCAATTTTTGCTGTTGCAGCAATATGAATAATTTGACAGTTTAATCTCCTCTGGAACTACTGTTTAACCCTTTCACTGTCATGAGCGACCAAGACAGAATTTCTCCTTGCAATGTCAATACAATATCAAGCAGACAAGTGTCGAAAAAACAGAAAAATACCAAGTGGGACTTTTAGTGGATCCAATACCAAATTCTCCAGACTTACACGAGAAGAATTGTATGGCAAACACAAAGGAGAATTACTAATGAGATCTTGGCAGTGAAAGGGCTGAAGTCCTGTTCTTCCTCAATCATGGTAATTTCTGTTAAAATGTTACCTTGGCCTGTAGTGAGTGAAAACATATGAGATACTGCTTTATTTTGCAGTTCACAAATCTCATGCTAAACTATGTGTACAACAGCTTATGTTTGAAAACTGCGCAAAGCTCAACTACCATACAACCCTCTTTTTCAGTGGCAGACAGTCTCCATTGTCTAATTGTTTTGGAACAGGCTTAATACCTTGCTTGACATCTTGAAATGTGTACTCTATTAGGATTGAGAGCAGGATTTTTCAGCACTAGGATTCCACTATCATCTCATAGTAAACTGGTAGAAAGCCAGGTATCTGACATTTTGGTTAAATAAGGGGGTCGCACGTACCTTTATTTTATTTATCCTGACCCCGCCCCTCAAAATTTCATTTTGTTGTGTTAGGCCTGCTTGACTCTGAAATGTTTTTGTTTTGTTGAAAGGGTTGGACAACTGCTACAAAACAGGGCCATTGCATATTTGTCGCTATCAGTTTGTTCATTCTTTGATAAATAAAGTGAAGTTTGTCTGTTTATCATTGTACAGTACTTAGCACCAGAAGTTCTTCGAAAGCAGGAGTATGACAAAACAGTTGATTGGTGGTGCCTTGGTGCAGTGTTATATGAAATGATGTATGGTTTGGTATGGAAACTTTTTGTTCTGTCGATTTTTTTGGGTATTGATTCAGATTTAGTACACGATTGACATGATTGACATTTCTTCAATTATCTCTGTCTTACTTTAATTTAAAACTCACCATCAAAGTGACATTTTAAGATGAAACTATATATTGAAAGTTTCATGTAGTTTGTGGGTTAATTGGCAGTAAACTTTGTATTTCCTTCAAAGCCACCGTTTTATAGTCGAGATACCGCAGAAATGTATGACAACATTCTTCACAAGCCTCTTCGACTCAGAACAAATATATCAGCCAGTGCAAGAAATGTTCTTGAAAAAGTAAGTGTTTTTACTGTGGAAAAAGTTCCAGTTGAATGTTAAAAATTACCCTGGATAACCCCTCTTTAGGTTTGATTTACTGTGCCTTGTGAAAGGTTTGGAAAACTTGAACCACCCTCTGGGCCAGTAAGACACAAAACTAAAATCAATGGTGACTTGCTACCATTTTCCAGCAGCTTAGTCAGTTTGTTTCATTTCACCTACAGTTCTCTTTGGCTCCCCATGAAATATTCCTTTGTTCTGATCGGCCATTTTGATTGTTTACATCTTAGTTTTTCTTCTTTCAGTGAAAGCACTCTTTTACTGGGATCTTTAAAAAAAAGATAGATGCTTTGTTGAAATTAGATACTGAAATAAAGTGTTGTAAATATTTGTTGACAGCTACTTCAGAAAGATCGTTCAAAACGACTGGGTGTAGGAGAGAATGACTTTGTAAGTCAGTGCAATAATCTATGCTTGTTAATTGTGATCTTCTTAAAAGATAAATAAATGATAAATAACTCATTAAAACTCGTAAACCACAGAGTTATGGTTGGCCATGACTTTGTTGAGGACAATGATTGTCGTTCACAGTTTTTTAATGACAGAATTAAATTTCTTTTGACAAGAGGATGAAAATCAAGCAAAGAAGTGACCCTCCCAGGTTGACTGCATTGCAGAAAATAAGCTCGACAAAATTCAGGTTTACAAGGGATTCAAATCCATTCCTCTTAGATACTAATTGGGCACTACTATTTACTGACTTATAAAGTCACAGTTGAAAGTCAAGGCAAATTTTGGAGAGTTTAACTATCCTGTAAAGGAAATATCTGATCACAATCATTCAACAAAATAAATTTCATTTAACCTGTGGGTGAAAAATCAGATGGACTGTAATTCCAGGAAAGAGGTCTCAAAGGATTTAGGCTTCAACTGTTGTGTTGTGAAAGGTCAGTTTTGGGGGAGGACGTGATTTTCAGTGAGATGTTGTGGTACTGTTTAAACTGACATAGCTAGTGTCAGTCTCAGTTATTGAAAATTATGTTAAAAGTGGGCATCAGAGAAAAAAGGCAGGGATGCGCTTGCTCTTGCCTGCTCTTTGGCTCATCTGCACTAACTGGAAGCCTGAAACAGGCTACTATTGGCTGTAAGGGAAACATGCAGAGAGTCTACTGAAATTTACAAGGTCCATAAGAGTAATATGTTTCTTGTGTATGCTAATTAAAGGAAGAAGTCAAGAATCATCCATTTTTTCAAAGTATCGACTGGCAACTGCTCTATGACAAAAAGATCGAACCACCATATAACCCTAATGTGGTAAGTTAAGCCAGTTTTAATGGACATTATGGTGTTAGACTCAACAATTATGTATCACACAGATGCAGAATGCTAGACACTTACTTTGCTGCAATGAGGATTGATTTATCCATGGGTAAATCTTTTACTGCACTGTTTTGTGAAGGGTTCACTTTGATTTGTGAAGGGTTCATTTGATGAGCAAAAGTTGAATACTGATATGCTGTACATATTGCTGATAGAATAATTTATCCAAGTTACTTTTCTCATCTGTTACGGGTTCTGACTCTTCTCAACAGACAGGTCAACTTGACTTGAGACACTTTGATCCTGAGTTTGTTCGAGAACCTGTACCAGGTATGTGAAAGGTCATTTGCTTTGAAAGCCTCCATCCATTCATTACATCAGTGTGATGAGCAACTTTTTCCTATTCCTCTGATACAGCGTGCTTTCATATCCCAAAACAATAATTAGCATGAAATGACTTATGAAAATACAATATTGGAATTTGGCTGGGGCACTTCTAGGGGATGGCTCTTTGTCAAATGGTTCAAGTGCAAAGACATTCCTATGAAGAGGACAGAAGACACTGCAAACCTTATCGTTACACTTTCATTCTTTAGCAAAGTACTGGAACTACTAGTCAGTACATGTATATCAGCCACACTCGTTTCTGGAAAAAAAGTTGTTCGTCTTACACTGTATAAATCTATACTACGTGAAACTAGGAAAGGCCACTATACTAAGTAAGCTACTGTTAACATGAAAATAGCGATTGATAACAAGCAAATTACTCGTGGTCTATTTCGAGACTTTTCAAAAGCATTTTAGACAGTCAACAGCTAAATCGTATACCCGGTATATGTATGTTCACATGATAGTGACCAACTTTTAAGCTAGTGCGCAGTACAGTATTAAATATTTCTTGATGTTTTTACTTTTGTTCAAACAAAATTGTATCTTCTTGTTCCTTTGCTTAGTGTTATTTTTTGTGATCAATTCACTTGAATTTTACATAAGTTTTCACTCTTAGGAGATTCCATCTGCTCAAGAGCAGGGACCTAAAATAGTTGGCGATATGGGCCAAAAGGCCTGGGTTGGAGCCCTGACTGGGTTGTTGTGTTGTTTTGGCCAATGTCTTTTTTCCCCAGTATCTTATTGAGTTCCTCTGAGTTGTCAAGGAAACTTGGGACGGGTTAGGTGTGATGGACCAGCGTCTCATTTAGGGAGAAGTAGTAGTGCTTCGGAGCGTCATGGTCATAGTCAGTCATAAAACTTAAACTTGTTTGTTTCACTCACAACAGGTTCTGTCGGCAAATCAGCTGATTCGGCATTTCTAAGCGCGAGTGTTGATGATCCAGACGATGCATTCGTTGGTTTCACGTACGTTGCTCCTATGGAAGAGGTACTTCATGAATGAGTCACATGGTCTTATCGAAAAGTAATTTTCGGCTCTTAAGACAAGATTTGTCCTCCTCAGCAAAGAAGTAAACCTTAGTAAACAAACCTCTTACTGTATGCTTTAACATAAATTAATTAATCTACTTTGTCATACTTTAACATAAATTAATTAATCTACTTTATCAAAAAAGAGAGCAGACGTTCCCTCTATAAAGCTTTGGGGCGGATCCAGGATTTAGTCAAGGGGGGTTCGGAGAATTGTTCGCCTTCTGAAGGGTCCGAGATTTTGAAAATTAGGTCTCTGCAAACATGATTTCCAGCGGTCTGAGGGAAAATTTAGGGGTTCGACCGAACCACCCGAACCACCCCTGGATCCGCCCCAGAAGCTACGGTAACATATTTAATGACTATCGTCAAAAATAGGTGGAAAGTGAAGAAAGCTCGCCAGGTAACTGTTCCAAGACAATTAAAGTCATTGTCTTGCGGAAGTGCGCCTGTTTTACTTACACTATCATTTTAAAATTCATCAGCATCATTTCTATCATCGATTAGCCATCTAACAGTTATTAACAAACTTCAACAACATTAATGACGAGGTAAGAAATGGAAAAAATACAAGTTAGCCGGAGTAAACTCGACTCACTCCTGAGCTTGTGCTAAAGTTAACACTCTCGCGCGCTTTCCACATTTTCCCATGAATTAACTATGCCTGGTTAATCCACATCGATTGAGTTGCGTACTTTATTGCCATTCATGATAAATTCATTATAAATTGTGTTCCAATTTAATTTATTGATAATTATGCTTTGTTTGCATGAATATAATAGGATGTAGAGACCGAAAAAATACGTTGTATTTAAGTGCTAGTCATACTGAGTTGTATAAAGTGATGCAGTGATGTCTATTAAAATTCCTTGGTTCACTTGTGAATCTCCATTCACTGCTAGGTCATTGATCCGTGTGCGACAGAGCTGAATAACGTATACGCATGCGCTAGGTTTTGCTGCGGAAACTCGGATTTTCAGTCGTTCGCATGGTTGATTTCATATTCTGTGGCTTCGAGGCGTCGTTTTCCTTGCTGCTTTTGTTTTACAGAACAACCTCCAAAAACTTGGTACAAATTTTTCAAATATTAATTGTCTCCCTAAAACATCTGGAAACCTCTGGAAATAGGAAAGTGCCTTCGACGAAAACAGAGTTCCTCGATCTTAAAAGTCAGCCCTTATTATTTTCCACTAATTTCGCTAAATTTTTGACCTAGGACACTCGAGCCCGCGTTGTTGACCGCATACCCTCTGACCTAACATTGCATTATTGAACTCTGTCTCCGTGTGCTTTACTGGACGTTTGCGTAGGCGCACTCAGGTATGCGAAACGGTCAGCGAGGAACAAAGTGATTACAACGCCTAAGTTAACGTTATTTAGCCAGAATTTTGTAAGTTTACGCGGAAACAGACTTTATTGAAGTTTCTTTTTTAGTGTTTTATACCGCGCCTTCTAATTTTCTCACGCCTGAAATGTTTGATAGTCATTCTTAATGATATAGGTATCGGCAGCTACAGCTGACCTCGGAACGATACCATTGGCTTTTGATGATAAAATTAGCATTCTTACGACGCCGTGTAATATCTCCCCTGTACTTGTCGTTTACTTCCTGTTTAGTTCAGAGGATTGGTTCTGCCACAAAGTCACACTAGTGTACCTTAGTACCCAGGAAAAACCTTTAAATCAGTTTCAAAGCAAACATTGTGTTTTCTGCGCAGAAGATGAATTTTTTTCCATCATTCCGGTTTTAAAACTCTTGTTTTCTTTTCTGTAACCTCTTAGCTCCCCTCACATTCGTAATAGCCTTCTCACTCTATATTTTCAGTTCTTTTGATTTAATAGAATAGTGTATTATTCTTACTACCTTGATGCCGCAGCAATGACAATCTTCTTTTCCCCTCTTATTTTGCTGTAGCCGCCGTAAGTGACGAGCGATCTGAGAACTTTCTGAGTTACTCTAGGATCGCTAACTACCACAGTTGACTATTTCAGATAAGAATGCTGAAAATTGTCAAATTTATTTTGCATGTGTGTGTGTATATATATATATATATATAAGTTTGAGCACTCTGGCATGGCTTAAGATTATATATATATTTATATTTACAACCCACTCATTAATTTTGGCGCGATTTTATTGGTTACTTTACGTCACGTGGTGCAAAATCACAGGACAGTTAATACGCAATAACCCCGTTCGCGTCGATATTTGTCCTCCGATTTTTTCCGTGAAAAAGAAACATAGTCAACACAAGAGTTTCAACTTTTCCGTTCTCCAATGTACATGGAAGGAAACAAACTCCGATATGTATGCATAGATATGTACATATGATGTATATATGATGTCCAAATTGAGCACTGCGGGATGAGTCATTGCAGCCAGCATTGTGCATAGCTCACTAGGCTCTTCTAGTCTGAGCACTCTGGCATGGCTTAGACGATAACCACAAGTGTGGATCGTTTAAGGATCCATATTGGTTCTCCCCCATCCTAGCATCAGCACTGCACTGATAAGGCCCGGAAGGCCGAAACAGTACTGTCTGCAGTTATATATGACGCATATATCTATGTATAGATATATACATATATATCTATTTATTGCACGACTCGGGCAGTCAGAGGGCCAATAACTAAAATCAACCAATCAAAATGCTCTATTGCCGGTCCAATATTCTCTAAGTATTGGACCGGGCACTGTCCCGAATGGTCCCGAATGATACCGCACTTGTGTCCCTTTGAACTTCAGTCGTATAATAAATCTCTTATTAACCAAGCTTGCTCGGGACCGTACTGGAAGAATATCGGCCCTCGGTCTTTTTTGTACGGACCTCGCTGCGCTCGGTCCGTACTGTCAAGACCTCGGGCCGATATTCTCCCAGTACGGCCCTCGCGCTTGGTTAATAAGATATATATATTAATAATTTTCGAACTGTTCAATAACGGTGCAAGTTGCAAACGGTCTGGCATGTTTGTCTTCAACCCCATGGGACCAATACAGGAAAAATTGAAGCACTCATCGACTTTTCGCAAAAATGTACCTATTTTTTATTTTNAGGCTTGTCAGGAAATGTAGTTACGTCCTTTTTTCCTCTCATAATATTTATATATGTATATATATATGTGTGTGTGTGTGTGTGTGTGTGTGTGTGTGTGTGTATGTGTGTGTATGTGTGATACACATCTTGAATAAATATCTCGTATTGTGATCAACCAATTTGCCCTTTCCCTTTTACCTCAATATTTTCTGTCAAGCATAACACCTGTTTTCTTCTTCGTTCATTTTTCTGAGGAAAACTTAAAAAAGTAGGAAGAGGAATTAGAAGAATGAATTGCCAAAAATATTTAATAGAATAAGGAGTTATGATCAAACCCGAAATTCTCCCGACCGTCGCAAGCCCGGTGTGACATGTTGACCCCAGTCCCCGCAGATCCTAGTAATGTAGTTTCGCATTCGAAAACTATTTCCCAGGGTAGCACCGTAGTTTATTCCGCCCATTGTTTCTTTGACGCTCATTGTACTTTAGTTTGAGAAAATTACCTGTAGTAGGCTGTGCTGAGTGATAAAAGGTGTACCTTCCCACGCATTTTCCTTTTCAAGAAAAAAGTGTCAGGAGTTGTGACGACCGCGATCTTCCGCGAAGAGCAAAGCCTGTAGACTTAGCCATCTGTCACGAAGTTTACGTTAAATTACTGAGGAGGGCAGGAGTGCACTTTCCAGCAAATGAGATGTCCAAGCAGATAGACGTAACGGTGCCTGACTCTGAAACACTGAGCTCAGAGAAATCCAAGCGATTTACGGTAAGCTTTAAAATTGTCCTCGCTAAATATCCCTAAATTGCTATTGCCCGCACGCTTACTCGTGTTCTCCTCTCCTCTGTTTGCTCCCGATCATTCTCAAATGAAAACAAACAGGTATGCATGGATTATATCACAATAGTCGTCGTTATTTACCGGTGAACGACACAATTTTTTGAAAAAGGCTGTACGGACTTTCTAAGGGCAAACATGATTTGGAGTTACCTTGAGAATAACATTGAAGGAGACCTTTCTCTGCACTGTGTTTGGTTTGCGGCGATCGAATTTCACATTTCTGTAAGCGTTTCGTCGTTACGTACAAAAATACATGTAATGCAGCTGTGCTTGATCAAAAAGAAGTAATTGTAAGAATTATCCCTTTATTTTAATTTAAGAATTCTACGAGTCATGGTTTGGGATTTATGTTGAAAGGAAGAAGCACAGGAAGACAGTTAAAGCGCTTCGTCCTACCCTAGCCGGAGTTTTACCACCAATTAGCTTACATGTTTCCGATGTCATGTTTATCCCGTAATTGCCCAGAGGTATCCATTCATTAAGAGTTGATTAGGAAGGGACATTTTTGCCATTATTCGCTCATCCCCAATTGTGGAAAACCTCTCTGAGCCTTTTTTTTATCGACTTTAGACGAATGCCTGATTTGTACAATTGGCAATCTGTAACTCTTCTTATCTCACTTTAGACACGAACTGATATATTTCTTAGAATTGCAGTAGTCTCTGGGCTTAATTATCAGTTGCACTCATACGGCCTTTGTATCAAAAGAAATCCCCGAGTTAATTTGATATTCAGTAAAATCTTTTATGCTTTTTTGACTGTCGAGGGAATTTTAATTTGCCATATAATCGTGTTTGTCTTACCAAAAACCATTTAGTTTTGAGGACTGTTTTATTCACGGTGTATGGCCAGGCTCGTCGAATCACATGCCACATATTGGTTATATAAATATTGAACAGAACTTATCTCAAAATCTCTCACCTTGTCAGAAGTCACAGTAATTTATTTAAGCTTTTTCCAGAGTAAAACTTTATGATCGTAATATTCCTGGTTTGACAGTGAAATGTGATAGAGTAAACTATGGTCTCGCCAATTTGGATATGCATTTGTTGATCAGGACGTTGTCACTGTAAAAGTTTTACAACAGAATTGTACTTTCCTAAGGAAAATGTAGCCTTCATCAATGAAAAAATATCTTCAATCACTTTCTGCCAAATTATGAACTGCGTGTTCCCAATGTTCAGATAATATAGAACATAGTGCAAATAGCTTTTTGACGTTTCTCCTTCCTTTTGGTGCCTTTGGTAATATATGCTATTTTATAATTAGCGTTTCCTGACTGTTGTTTTATATCACCTGTGGCTCAAAAGTGTTTCCTTTTTATTTTTGAAAATGTGTTGTCATGAATAAAGTTAACTTTGTTTTGTATCAAGGAAACCAAAGGTACCTTCAAAGTCTTTCTGATGTTTGTTTTTCCTATGAAGATGTCACTGAACTTGGCTGGCATTACATTGTTATATGCACAATCGTTGTCTCATAAGCTAAAAGAATGAACTGAAAAGATAAGACCAGGCATCTAGGTTTCCAAGTGGTTGAAAGGGAACATTCACTCTTTGTTTTAAATTGTTTAATATATTATTGAGTTGGTTGACATAATTATTCAAGAGATTTTAGTGGAGAATGAGCCAAAAATGAAGAAAGCTTTGTTTGCAAACATTATGATTACCCTTCTCGGGAATTATCTATGTCAAATATGTGTTGTGATATAAATTGTTCCTCTGTTTGAATATTTCAAGCCAGTTGTTTTTTCTGTTTCTGTTTGTATTTCTCAGATACTTAAGAAGTTACATGACAAAACAAGAAGTTGAGACTGAGACTAGTTTGAAAAAGTTTCAATCCAAGAACAAATTTTGCACAAATTATTCTCATGTCTATATGCATGTATCTTTGATAAGTAGAGAATATTTTATAGTTCATGAGCATTTCAAATCAATTTTTATTTTGTTATTATTAGTAGACCTCAGTGATATGTTTTTTTACATTTGCAGTAAACTTACAGCTTGCTCAAATCATTTGCTTGGTCAAGTGCAAGCAATAAGACTTAAATTTTGGACTTGGGAAGAAATGTTCTTTTGCCAGATCCAGCATTAGGCTGGAATCAGAAAACATTAGCTTTCCTTCAGATGCTTATTGTCTATAAGACCACTTGTAGATCTCTTGCTGGTTAGCATCGCTCAAAAATTCTCATAGGCAAAGAATGCTTTAATGATGAGTTCTGATGAGGGCCTGCTTGAAAGCTACCACCCTTAATGAGCAGCAAATAAGGGCTGTTAACAAACAAATCAGACTGTGAAAATGTGGATTTTTAAAAGGCAAATTATAAATGTTACTCACATTTTTTTCTCTCCTCTTACAAAAGTGACCCACCTCAGTAAAGGTGCACACCTCATTTATATGCAACATGCAATTTAGACTCGTTTCTACAACAAAATATATTTCTGAAATAAATTTTCTTATTTTAGGTGTACAAAGTACTGATCAAACTACCAGATGGAAGGAGCTACTTCATTTTCAGAAGATACAATGAATTTCATCAGATGTGTGATAAGGTAAAAGGATTTTTTTTTTTGGCTATGTCATGGAGAGTGCTTTAAGTAGAGTTAGTTTTTGACAACTCCAGTCAAGTGTACATCATATGAAATGTAGTGTGGTAGCACCTTTAAGTTCAGAAATTGCTGACAACTTTTGTCCAAACTGTCATTGTCTTTCCCTTTTTCATATTCACCACTTTGAGTTTTATCAAATTATTTATTAATGATTTATTTACTTATTAGTATTAGACTTCAAACACTGTAAGAGGTAATGGAGTTTTTGAATGAGTCATCAACTTGTTTGGGAAGTGATGAATAACTAAGATGTTTGAAAATGACTACCAACTCATGTTTCACATTTATATGTAGCCTTGAGTTTGGTTTCCCAGAGATTAAACTTGAAAATTGTTGTAGTGCTCTGTAGTGAGATGATGTAGCTGTTCTTCTCTTCACTTTGCCTCTTTTCTTCCAGCTTAAAAAGCTGTATCCTGACTTGCATCTTAAACTACCTGGCAAGAGACTATTAGGAAATAACTTTGACCCTGGTAAGCATAAGAAAAAGTACATTGGATGAGAGAGTCCCGTTTGGTGCATGAGATGTGCTTTTTCTTTCGGAAAATGGATGTGTTGGCCAACACAAGAGAAGCAAATTTTTGACGACAACTAAAAGTTTTGCAAATGAAGTCAGACTATGAAGCAAGACTACATTTATGGACAAGCCTTGAATTGTTTTATCCAATGTAGTCATACTGTCCAAGTACTTATTGTAAACTGAAATATGAAAATTCTAAGGAAGAAGATAAGCTAAATTCTAAAACACACTTTAACATTCCAATCATTCTGACCTAAAGACAAAATAAAAAAACTTGCTAGAACTAAAAACAAACTCGCAAAAAGAGAGTCTTTGAAAGGATAAAAGAGAACTGCTTGAAAATAAACTCTAGCAGAAGCTAATAGCCAAGTGGGAAAAAACCATGTAGTGCTCTAATGTAACATGAACAATGTAAACTACATGTTTCAAGGTTGCAAAAGTGAGCGATAAAAAACTAAGAGTAAAAACTAGGTGGAACTTAAAACATCACATCCATAGTGGACAAACAGTAATGTCTTTATTGCGGTTTAACACAAATCAAACTTAGAGTGAAGGAATGTCCAGTGACAAAGGTGTGGCAGCTGTTACACTGGGGATTTATTTGGTTTGCAGTAAATTAAAAAAAAGAAAACATCTTTTTTCGAAGTTGCTCAAATGTGAACTGAGGAAATTAAGGCAAATAAATGGGCCATGAAATGTTTTACCATTCATTTTCTAGGAACTAATGGTAATTATTTTGGTTCTCTATAGAGTTTATCAAGATCAGAAGAGAAGGTCTTAATGATGTCACACAAAAGATCATCAATCACCCAAAAGCCATTGAAAAGTAAGCTGTTTATGATAAGTTTGACACTGCAGTTTCCTAAGTTGTCTTTTACATCAACGTTTTGCTATTTTTTCACTCATTATTGGGTTGGAATGATGTGATTTTCAGCCCTGAGGTGAGGGAATTCTTCTCACTTGATAATCCCAAGAATACTGAGAACAATGATGATGATGACCATCCTGGAGCTGATGAGTCTGAAACTCAGGTAACTTTTTAATGATTCATCGTACTCTAGATAACAAATTATCAAGTCAGACAGCCCAAGTTTTGTCCTAAGGCTATGCAAGATAATTTGGTTTTATCAACTTAGTCAACAATGTAAATTGACCACTGTATAAAGTTTCAAAGCTGACATTTTGAGCATTAGCCCTTCAAATAAGCAAATAAGGGGCTTTATAAAGGCTTTAATTTAAATCGTTTAAATAATTTTTAACAATTAATTTTAATGAGGCTTAAATTTTAAATCTGTTTCAATCACCCATCAGTTACTCCATTCCTTAGTGGTGGACCCTCTCCTAAGAAAAATTCCTGTATCTGCCCCTGTACCCTTTGTTACCTTAAATTGTCATTTCCTTTCTTAAGAGTAGAATCTACTTGTTCTAACTTCCTCCTTTCACTGCCTTTGCTCATTTTTGGTGTTCATATCCAGTTTTAGAGGTGTCTATTCACACAGAGTGTTTTTTCTTAACATGGTATTCCCTAGCATTCTATTTTTTTTCAATTTTTACAACAGGCAAAGGATATGGATGTTGACTTAGCAGGAACCAACAATCCAAAGTAAGTTAATTTTCTCTCGCCTTACAAGCTAAAATGTAGAGATACTAAATAAGAGCAGTTTTATAAATTTAATTTTGTTTGAAATAATTAAAAGTGTGTATGCAATGAAAGAATTCTGTTTTTTTCTGTACTCGAGTTTAATTTTAGGTTAGACTTAATCATTAGGCTTTAATTTCCAAAACCAGGGACATTCTGCCTTTCTTGTCTGTTTTTGTGTTTGAACTGTAAATTTGGGTGAACATAAACTGTCCCTGGGATATTGGGCTTGTTGAAGCCAAGGAAGTATTATTGCTTGTCATGGATGGAATATTGTATCAACCAGTAAGTTGTTGTAGACAAAAGTATTTTTAGAAATTGCAATATTAGTTTTAATTAGTGTATTCGAAGTAACTAAAAATCAGTATTTTCCTCTTTAAGGGGAGTATCAATTGTATTTTCTTTTTTATTCCAGGGCAAAACCCAGTGATTTCTTATTCTTAAAGGTGATTGGAAAAGGGAGCTTTGGAAAGGTGAGCAACTCATTGTGAGTATTCTTCTCATACATCTCAATGGCCAGAGCTATAATTTGTTCAGATTTGTAGTGGTAATTCTTGTTCCAGGTGATTTTTTAGACACAAGCATTGGAAAGGCAAAGGTTTTTTTTTTCCAGACATGATTATGTATTTTTTTTTTTTTTACACATAAACAGATCCATCAATAAGAAAAAAATCAATTATGTTCTGTAGGATTTGAACTCACAGTCTCTTGCTTTCAGGGCCACTAGCCAGTCCACTGCACCACATTTGCACATATTCAATTAGTGTTAAAAGAATTATAACTTAGATTACAAATTTCTCTAGATGTGGATCCCCTGAGTTATGAACAGAGTTCGCACAAGTCCTGGAAAACCTGGAAAGTCCTGGGATTTTATTTTGACATTTTCCAGGACTAAAAAGTCCTGGAAAAAGACTACACTTAGTCCTGGAAAGTCCTGGAAATCTACTTAAATGAAGCAATAATAAAAGTTTTCAGAATCAGTGTTGTAATAAATGTATGTTGACCGTAAGGGGAATTGATTTTGAAATCTTGGGAATGAAAGGGTTTAATGTGAAATTTGGAGTGCTGGAAAAATCAATCTGAGTCCTGGAAAAGTCCTTGAAGTCTGTTCTGAAAAAAGGGGATGAACCATGTGGTATCCAGTCAAGTCGCTGATAGTTCAACTCACCAATGCCAACTCACTGATGTAGAAAATTGAGTAGAGATGTCTGTAAGTTTATCCTCAATCCAGTAGAACTTATTAGAAGTTAAACATATAGAAAAGGTAACGATCTTTAGTAAAAAAAAAAAATTTTTTTTTCTTCCAACAAAGTTTATAAGGATCTCAAGGCAATTAAAGCAAGATAAACATCGCCAATTTCTGTAACAGTTTCAGATGTGAATGAGTTGTGTGACAACAGCACCATTCTGACTCTTCATGTCAATTTGTCAGATTTTTTAAAGAAAACTTGGCTTTCTTGACAAGGGCTTTAGTAAAAAGCAATTCTTTTTATTTCCAACAAAGTTTATAAGGATCTCAAGGGGATTAAAGCAAGATAAACATCACCAATTAATAACAGCTCCAGATGTGAACGAAGTATTGTGTGACAGCAACAGTGTAAAGACTCATCATGTTAGTGTTGTTGTCACACACTAACTCGTTCGCAACTGAAGCTTTTATAAAGTCATTGCCGATGTTTCTCTTGTTTTATTTGCCTTGAGATCCTTATAAACTTTGTTCGAAATAAAAATAATTATTTTTGATAAATATCTTGACTATAAAACCAAGTTTTCTTAAAAAAATCTGACTGATTGGCGTGATGAGTCTTTACGGCGTTGTTGTCACACAATAACTCATTCGCATCTGAAGCTGTTAGAGTCATTGGTGATGTTTACCTTTTTTTGTTTGCCATGAGATCCTTATAAACTTTGTTGGAAAAAAAAAAAGTTGGTTTTTTACTAAAGATCACTTACTTTTCTATATGTTTGACTTCTTTTAAGTTCTGCTGGGTTGAAGACCAACTTGCCGACATCTCTACTCAATTTTATACATCGGTGAGTTGGCATTGGCGAGTTGAACTGTGGGCGACTTGACTGAAATTCAACCCTGTATGAATAAATACAAAAAGTCCATTCTCAGCTTTTTAATAATCATTATCCAAGTTCAGTGGCTCACAGCCACTTTGATTTGTCTACTAGGTATTCCTGTCAAAGAACAAGGCAGAGGATAAATTCTATGCCATCAAAGTTCTCAACAAGGCTGCTATCAGAAAAAGAAATGAGGTAAGTTCATCACTGGGTACACTTTGCGCAGAATTCTTTTCATCTTTCCCTGAAACAGTTAAGACAACATAATGTTTGCTGATTTTCTTTTATGATTTGGGGCTCTTGGATATTTAGTATCTGCTTGAATTTTTTTTTATTTCAGGCAAAACATATCATGGCAGAACGGAATGTTCTGTTGAAGAATATCAAGCATCCATTTTTGGTGGTAAGTTTACTGGTTGCCAGTTCGTTATTAACAACTTATTTCAAAACTCTGAGTAAGCTGTAATAGCCTAACCTTTGACAGACGAACCCTCCTTGCCAATCCAGGCCAGGCTAAGACAGCTCAGGCGCATTACTATGCCATTAGCTGCCTAGAACTTTTCCCAATTGAATCTTTGCAGTTGTTTCTGGTTCCACTGTGCCCCTATCATTTTCATTCAATTCTGTTTAACTAAAATGAATCAAAGACACATGTATTTTGATCCAAAACAGGGTCTCCACTATTCTTTCCAAACAAGGGACAAGCTATACTTTGTCTTAGATTATGTCAATGGTGGTGAGGTAGGTTTGATAGGAAGAAGGTAGAAACTGGTAAACAAAACATAATGAATCCAAAACCATTTAAAACTGTGGAGTTTAGGTTATGATTTTTTGTCTTTGCATACTGAAACAATTTTTGGATCTATCTAAATATTTTGTCAAATGATATGTAATTACATGTACCCTTTATTTGGGTTTTTTATCATATGTTTCATCAGTACCACAATCAAAATGGTGAATAGGATGTGGGTCCAAATTTTGAATAATTTATTGTAACCGTGTTATTTTCTAATGGATAACTAGAAATGTTTTTTTTTTGTACAACACTTTCATCTGTTAACCCTGTAAACCCCAAGAGTGAGCAGCAGCAGATCATAAGAGAAAAAAGGAAGTGATTGCCAACCTCAGGTGCTTTTATTGTCAGACAAACTTTCCTTGTGAGTGCTAAAAGAAACTTAAGAAAAGAGCATGGAGAATAATTATGGATGCTGTTATTATGGTGTGCAGGGTTACATTGCCAGATGATTTTTGTTAGCGTGATGGTCCTGCATTATTTCCTTGTAGCTTTTCTTTCATTTGCAAAGAGAGAGATATTTCCCTGAACCAAGGTGGGTTATGTTCTTATTTTAAAATAGCATCCGGCAGAAGTCTGTTAAAAATTATCCACATTAAGTCATGGTAGTTGTTCATCCTGGTGGGGGTTGATTTTGTAATCTAGGTTCTATTGTCTTTATTTTTTTACTCATCTCCTCATGATACTAAAACACATTCGGGTCACTCTTGGCAATTTGAACCCACAACCAGTTTCTTTCTTTTCCTTGGGTGCTTTATTAACTGAGTGAAAAAGAACTAGATGGAGGCTTTGGTCATATAATAGGTTCATTATGTGATTTCTTAGAGTACTGCGTACTGCTAGAATCGGGTGTCTCCAAAACTAAGACCTAAGACCCCTCGAAATCTAAGACCCATCGAAAAACTTCTGTGTAAGGAATATTTTAAAGGAAAGAAGAAGTCAAGGTGATCTCTACAACCTGGAAATAGTTAATAGAGTGAACTATGACCCTGAGGAGCTACAACTTGGGAGATCGTGAATTTTACTTGGGGTGTTTACATGCAGGCTACCGAGCGGCAAAATTAAACATTGCATATTGATAAGTAAACTTTTTGCTGCTTGATTTACACTGTCTATTTGATTCATAGAGAACAAGCGATTTTCAATTTTCCATTTCTGTCGGCAAACAAATGCCTCGTGAAAAAAATTTTTTCTTGCAAGTGACTTCAGCATTTTTCATTAAAAGACGGGAAAAACTTCTGCAAAAAAGTTAAACTAGTCATGGCAACAAGCGCACAAGTTGATGAAGATCTGCCTACTTTTCCTTTGGGAATGGATTTTTAACTCCCGAGAAAGAACCCAGAAAAAGGGAAAACAAAACAATCAACACCGGTTTCATCTTGTTTCGCAACTCTAACTTCATTTCCACGCAGTTTTTGACCAATCTGAGACAAGGTCATTGAAGCATAGTGAAATACTTTTCTGAAACAAAATAAATAAACAACGCATTGAAGCATAGGAGAGGGAATATCTGCCCTTTACACATAACTACAGCGATGAAAATGTTATAAAACAATTGGTTCATACGTCAGGTGTACCTTCATTGAGATATGAAGCACTTGGGAAGCTAGAGTTGCTCTCGGCTACGCCTCGAGCAACTCTTATGCATCTTTCGTGCTCTCCAAACTTCCCACGTGCTTCACATCTCGATGAATGCACGCTGATGTATGAACCAATTGTTAAGTGAAAAGCGAAATGGAAAGCTCACTTTTTCTTTCTAAATTAAATAGACAGTGTAAATCTAGCAGCGAAAAGTTTACTTATCTATATCCAACGTTTAATTTTGCAGCTCAGTAGCCTGCATGTAAACACCCCAAGTAAAGTTCACGATCTCCCAGGTTGTAGCTCCTCCACATCATCATAGTTTGCTCCATTAACTAATAATAATAATAGTTAATCTTTATTGAGGATGTAAACATCACAAAAAAGTGGTTTACAGAGGGGTCCTCTAACTATGTCCAAGTTGTAAAGCTCACCTTGACGTCTTCTTTCTTTTAAAATATTCCATACCCAAAAGTTTTTCGATTGGTCTTAGTTTTTGAGGGGTCTTAGGTATTAGGTCTTAGTTTTCGTGACACCCGCTAGAATCAGCAATGTCAGAAGCCTCCTGTGTGGAAATACCATAAAAAGATGGTGAATTTCTAGTTTACCAGAATTGTTTAACATACAGATGACATATGCAGTAAATCAGTTGACTCAGTTTTCAGTAAAATCGAAGAACAGCTCCCCAAAATATCTGTCGGTCAACTGTTGGCTGACTGTTCACCAACAGTTGGCCAACATAATGAAAACAAATTCAGAAAAGAGTAAATAGACTGTCTTCTTGGTAAGTTTGAACTTTCACAATTACCTCAAAATAAATTTTGATGAACACCATGCAATAGAGGTAAATTTCAAGTGCGAGGCATTATTGGCCATATCAATCTTCATTTATGTGAACTTGGTGTATAGTATCTGACTCACACATTTTGTTCCGCTGAAATTGGAAGAGTTTAGTTACTTAGATTTAGCAATACAAGTACTTAAGTTTTTTCAAAGACTCACAAAATTGCACGAGCCCATGTTTTTGTTGTGTTTCTGTTGTGTTTTCATCGTGTTTCTGTTGTGTTTTCGTCATGTTTTCTGTGTTTTGTTCGCCAACAGTCAGCCGACAGTTGGCCAACAGAGATTTTGGGGAGCTGTTTTTCAATTTTACCCAATTTTCTGTCATGCTTTCAGGGCAAAGTTCTATGCTGCAGAAATTGCATCAGCAATTGGGTATCTACACTCTCTTAAAATCATTTATAGGTGGGTGAATTAATCATGTAGATTAAAAGCTTAAGATGTACCTATTCTGTAACACAAGCAGGCTGTCATTCACAGATTCAAAACTTGGTTCTTTGTGATATTAACTTTTAAATGCTGCTTATTGTTCAGAATACAAATACAGTCTCTTGTAGTGTAGGATGATGTCAATTACTTGAAAGTACTATGTTCTGATTGTTTCATCAGTTGTGGGCTTTTGGTTCACTGTTATCAAACATCTTTATTGACGACTTTACCACCAGACAATCAAAGAACTGCGTTCGAATCCTAAATGGAAGTCACATTGTTATGAAATGCTCAGATAATAAAGTATACAAAACGATTTGATATTTACCCAGTGAGTCGGCTAGGTCCACAGCTGACAAAATGATTTACATTAGTATCATGACATCACTATAATGTATCTCATCAGTGGATAAATTTACTTAATGATCAATAATAGAATTTTTCAATGAAACACTGATTGCTACCATATGTCTACTTTTACAAAGCTGCAAAGTGTTCTTATACTGTATTTTGTTTTCAGGGACTTGAAACCAGAAAACATTCTCTTAGATTATAAGGTTTGAATTGTTAGATGTGTTTTTGTGTTGTTAGTTTGTAAAAGCTTTTCCTGTCATTGGTGTAAGACAAGCAGCAGATTAGTCTTTTCCTTCGTAATTGCACTAATTACAACCAAAAAGAGAAATCAATCCAGTTTGTGGTGGCTGTATAAGATGATTGCAATCAATATTGTGGTGACCACTGAGCTAGCTTGAATCTTTTAGCAATAACTTAATTTATTCTATTACATCGAGTAATCATCTTAAACAGGGAAATAAAAAAATATCTTTTCCCTCATAACTCTCAAAGTTTTTTTGCAATCTTTGGTGAGTTTTGGCAACTAGGGTAAGAATTTTTATCAAGTATTGTTCTCTTTGTAGGGGCATATAGTTTTAACAGACTTTGGACTTTGCAAGGAGGGAATAGAAACATCTGGTACTACATCAACTTTCTGTGGCACACCAGAGGTTTGCAACACACTTATTGCTACACTTGTTTCTAGCTCCTATTTTTTACAGTTGTGAATGGATTCTAACTTTTTTGCTATTATTCAGTGGTGCTGTAGGCTGCCTAATGAATGCACATTTATGTTTGGAAATTGCTAAAACCTCTGTTAACCCTGTAGTTACAAAGATCTGAGAGTTGATTATTCCAACACACATGGCAGCACATTTCTTTGTTGACTTTTTCAGAATGTTTTGTTCTTTCTGAAAAATAATTTATTGTTGATCATTTTTTCATTCTTGGTTGGTTGTGTTGCACTTGTTACAAGAATGAAGGTAGTGGTCATTCCTGAAAGCATGGCCTAAGGGCTCAACAAACTGTTAGAAAATTCTAACCCCCTCCTAATTAGATAAAACAGGCTAAAAAAAACCAGTTTTTCAAAGGTGAATTTGTCCACCTCCATTGTAAAAGTTGCTGCTAGAGAAAGAAAGACTTGAAACAAATAATTAATTTTGATTGTATACGATTTACAGTACCTTGCACCTGAAGTTCTTAAGAAACAGGAATATGACAATTCTGTTGATTGGTGGTGCCTTGGCGCAGTCTTATATGAAATGATGTATGGTTTGGTAAGGCATAATTTTTGCTTGGAATTTTTTTTTACTTTTTTTGTCGAAACGTAGTTGTCATTATTTACCTCAAAAGTACCAAGGCCTGTCAAAGGGGGGGGGGGGGATTCCAGTGTTACACATTTTTATTTCATTTATCCTGGCTTTTACACAAACTTAAACAAACAGTGAGTGCCAGATGGCTGGCTTAACATAGTGGAAGCCCTTAGACAGAATACCCCTCCCTTGTATGGTAGATCCTTTCAACCCAGTTGCAAGTTCCCATTCTAGGCACTAATCAGCACTTATTAGATTGGTACAGTGTAATGCAAGAGCATGGGCTGGGTGGTGGAATGCTTGGCACAACTGCTTAGAACAACCACTTGAGAACAACCAGTATGAAAACTCTTCTTGAACATTGAAATTGAACTTCAATGGTAGTCCCAGTGTTTAGGTGAGCATGCATCTGTCATGGTGACTGCTGACAACAAATGTCTGCTAAGGTCCTAGCAAATGAATAAAGGGGGTTAGTTTCTAATGAAACTGTGGTGCTTCATCAGTTGGGGGTTTAATCATCCTCGGAGACCCAAGGGCTGTGAGTCGATTTCAAGTTCAGGGCAGAAGAGCCCCTGGGGACATTGTCTTACAAGACTAGTTCCAAACGGTTGCAGTCGTTCTGGCATCTGATTGGTGCCAGAAAATGTTTGTGTTTTTCTGCCCAATCAGAGTGAAGTGTGCTTTGGAGTCCTTTCATGTGTTTTAACACGCACATATACAACAAGCTCTGTTGCTCGCTATGTTTGTTTGGGCCGTGCTACAAAGCTTTGCCCGAGGTGAAAAGTTTCAGTCTCAGCACACAATGTAAGAGAAATCCATTAGATTGTCCGCGATATCTTACCGGAAATTATACTGAATACTTTCGCAGGTATCACAAGAGAACATAATGGTTGCAGGCTTTGATATGTTGCTTTAAACGTTAGATGAGGTGTAAGCTTAAATCTTTCTTGATTTTTTGTACAATTTTTTGTGACTGAAACTTTTCCAATCCCGTGAAGTTATTTTGCCGCATGGGCCACGCAGGTATGTCAAGTAACAGGCACTTATGCTTTCGTAGCTTTCTGTGCGTGCCAAATTCTAATGGTTGCTTTGTAGTAAAGTCTTTCACAATATGGCCAAGGTTGCAGAGAATGGTACGTACGTGGACGACCTCCAGCAAACGCTTAAAGAAAGCTTAGCTGTGTTTCCAGTTAGCTAATTAAAATCTGAACAAAAACTAATCATCGAGAACATCATGGAAAGGAGATATGTTTTTGGACAGCTACCAGAGGGGTTTGGAAAAAGTTTAATCTTTCAACTGCTGTGTAGAGTGTTCAAATTCTTCAGCTCGAAAGGCCATGGATTCTCGTCCCTTCTAGTCCCTTGGTCATTGTCATTTCACCTCTTTTGTCCATTGTTGAAGACCAAGCTAATTACCTTTGATCATTGGGAATCGATGCTGCTTTCATTGGGGAAAACAAAACCAAAGACAAAGAATTATTAGATGGAAAGGGCGGGCTTTCTTTACTGAAAATGTCAGCTTAGTACAGGGTTATCTACCCACATCTAATAAACAAAAGTTTCCACATTTAGCTTTTCTTTTTTTCAAACAAAGATTAGATTAGATTTTGGCCGGGCGCGCACAGAAAGTTGCGTAAGCACCAGTTGCTCGACATACCTGCATAGCCCGTGCGATGAAATAGCTTCACGGGATTGGAAAAGTTTCAGTTACAGCATATTATACAAAAAATCTGGAAAGATTTAGGCTTACATCTCATCTAACTTTTAAAGCGACATATCAATGCTTGCAACCATTACGTTTTATACAAACCTTGCAAACTTTTAAGCATGTTCTCTTGTGATACCTGCGAAAGTATTCAATATAATTTCCGGTAAGATCTCGCGGACAATCTGATTGATTTCTCTTACATTGTGTGCTGAGACTGAAACTTTTCACCTCGGGCAAAGCTTCGTCGCACGGCCTGAACAAACATAGCGAGCAACAGAGCTTGTTGTATTTGTGCGTGTTAAAACACACGAAGGACTCCAAAGCACACTTCACTCTGATTGGACAGAAAAACAAAGATTTTCTGGCACCAATCAGATGCCAGAACGACTGCAATCGTTTGGAACTAGTCTTGTGAGACAATGTCCCCAGGGGCTCTTCTGCCCTGAACTTGAAATCGATTCACAGCCCCTGGGTCTCTGAGGATGGGGTTTAATAAGATAGTCTGGTATTATCAACTGAGGTAATGATGTAAACTGGTAACTGTAAAGAGTTTCTAAAGCTGACGTTTTGAGCAGAGCAAATCAAAGAAGGTCTAAGGCTTGGAACATCAGCCATGACTAGAAACTCTCTACAATGGCCAGTGGCCAATTAACCCTTTCAACTCAGTTGAAGAAACAAATTATCATGAGCTCCTAGCTGTTAACTTTGTTAAATCTTAATTTACATGTGACAAATGATGCAGTTTATATTGTAATCAGACATGACATGACACTTAGCATAATAATGCACTACCCACAAATAGGAGGGCTAGTCTCGGCGGGTAGTGTGTGGACGCTAAAACATCTAAAATAAAATTCAGCACAACAAAAGATTCAATAAATATACAAGAAACAGAAATTAGATATTAAATTAGTAAAGCACAAATGACAGTATAAGATAAAAATACAGAAACAGAAACACAGAATACTTAAGTTATACATTACTATTAACTGGATTTAATTTTCGACACATTGACTATTCATTCTACGTCAACATAACTATCCTGAACTTGGAAGATTTTGAAATAATATGGTTGTTATCTTTTCCTTGAAAATATGTTTTGGAAGATTCCTAAAGTTTCTTGGGATGCTATTCCAAATTTTACAACCAATCCTTGAGAATGAGTTTTTATGTTGATTTATCTAGAACAGTTTATGTAATAGTTACTGGCAGGTGAAGATCGGGTATTATGATTGTGTATTTGGTGGGAAAGAGTGAACATACCAGAAAGATTAGGTGGGGTTAAATTGTTATGAACATCATGCATTAAGAGAGAAGAGAGTTTAACGTAAAGCATATTAATTGGCATAATATTAGCCGATATAAAATAAGGAATGGCGCGTGAATTATAGTTGGCAAAGTTCATTAATTGCACAACCCTTTTCTGGAGTATCAATATTTTTTCCATATGAGACTTTGGTGCTTGGCCCCAAGTGACAAGGCCATAATTATGATAAATAGGGATAAATGAGTGATTTATATATATTTAATAATGTCGAATATGGTACAAGATGCCTTAAGTAGTCTACAAATTATACCAATGCCTTTACTTATTTTTGATGCAATATGACTGATATGATGTTTCCAGGTAAGGTTACTGTCAATAAGTATGCCTAAATATTTCACATAGTCTTTATGCTCCAGGCAAATGAAATGTTTTCTATGTATGATGCATGATCCTCCCAGTAGAGAGCGCTATTTATGCAGTAGCGAAAATCAGACCTGAAAAAAATCAGGCCTGTATGGGATTCGAACCACTGAGCTCTGCGATACTAGTGCAGTGCTCTACCAATTGAGCTAACAAGCCAACTGGGAGCAGGCCATATTTTTAGATTTACTTTGTAATTAAGTCATTTCTGGCTGGGATGGAAGATGACAAAATTGGTTTTCTTCACATTTGAAGAGAGTTTTTTTGAGGCTAGCCAATGATAAACATTCATTAGTTCCACATTCACCACTGTTTCAAGAGATTTAAGGTTTCTGTCGGCAAATAGCAGATTTGTATCATCAGCGAACAAATTAAATGCTAATTTATCTGAAGCATTTTAAATGTCATTGATATAAATAACAGTAATGGCCCTAACATGGGCCCCTGTGGGACCCAACACAGGGTTTTTTTCTTTTTGGGATATGTAGGATCCTATTTGTGTGGTTTGGACCCTTCCAGACAAGTACGATGAAAACCAGTCATTTACAACTCCGCGAAATCCATCGTGATTGAGTTTATGTAACAGGATCGAGTGGTCAACCACGTCGAATGCTTTTTGCAGATCAATAAAAATTCCACATGAGAACATATCCCAGGTCCATGTTAGCCTGGATTTTGCTGACTATGTCGAGGATTGTATGCTCAGTGGAGCATTGCTTACGAAAACCGTATTGTGACTTGTAAAATATGTCATGCTTGTTCAAAAATACTTTCAATCCATTGCTTGTAATCTTTTCAAAAATTCTCTTAAATATTGAGAGGAGCGATATAGGACGATAGTTACAAGGATCAGTTTTATCTCCGTCTTTGAACACAGGAACAATTTTGGCATGTTTTAGTCTCGATGGGAAGCGACCATTCTGAACAGAGACATTTATTAGAATCATTAGGGGTTTGGCAATTATGTCACGCGAGCACTTCAGTATACTGACAACTTGGGCAAGAGTACAATCCATGTGCTTTACCTGAAGGTGCTAACATTATTTCAAGCTCAACTTCAGAAAAAAGGAGTGGTTCAAATAAAAAGGAACAGCTATAGGCTATCGTCGGCAGAAAATCTGAAAAATGTTTATTACCAGGTGGAATTTCGGAAGCAAGTTTTTTCCCAATAGATGCTAAATGGTAGTTTAGTATATTAGTTCGTAGGGGTTATGAGATAGTCCTTGATTGTCCAAGCTCTTTAATATATTTATTGCTTTCCTGTTTTTCTTTTTCTTATTAGGAAGATAGTTAATGCCTTCCCAAGTTTTTTTCATATCTTTAATGTTTACTTGAAAAAAGTTTTGATAATGTAGCTTTTTACTCAGATGCCTAAGTGTCCGAATTTTATTTCGGTAGTATTTGTATTGATCTTTATTTCCTAATGATAGAAGTTTAGTTTTTATTCTGATAGATTTCCTTATCCCTCTAGTTATCCATGGCTCTGCAAAAATTTTAGACTTGCGTTTTGAGAGTGGCTTAAGAGGGACATGTTTATTGATTAATTTATTCAATTTGTTGTAAAACCTAGAGAAGATTGTCGACGTCTGTTTCCACTTTGGGAACCACTCGAGCCCAATCAACTTGCAATAGATTGTTTGAGTAATTTTCTTCTGAAAAATGAGAATAGTTGCGGATAAGATGACTGCCAATTTGCCCTTTTTCTATAACTGATCGTGTAATACAAAATTGCATAAAGTGATCGCTAATGTCAGAAATTCTATTGCTGCTAATAATTTCTTCCTGCCCAGTATTGGTGAAAATATTATCTATTAAGGTGGCAGAGTTGTTATGAACACGGGTGGGTTTATCAATAGTTGGTATTAAACTAAAACTTTGAAGGGAAAAAAGACAGTTTGGGCATAAGTGCAGGATGAGGCATGGAGAAGATTAATGTTTGTATCAGACATTATATGAATCACCTTGCCAGAGTAGTGCTCAGCTTTTCTATAGTTTCTTCAAAACAATTCTGGAACTGTTGAGGAGAGTTGTGTTGACAGTAGATAACGCCACAGATTATATTGGCTTTGTTCATGAAGTGGATCTCAGTACAGAGAACCTGAAATGCTTCATTTGAACTCTTTTTAATTATCGTATACCTTAAGTCGCAGGCTATGTACATACCAACACCTCCTGCTGAAAGAGGTGTTGGGACATATTCAAAATTTTATCCTGCTAATGAGGGATTAAAATCAACAAAATCTGCATTTCTAATTATAGTTTCTATAACACCAGTAATGCTAAAAGGAAAATCAAGCCTGTTCAACAGATGAGTTTAGAAGTCCTTGAAATTACGCTTCAGGCTACTTATATTGTTTTGAATCAAGGAAAACGTTTTTGGATCCGAACGCTGACATCTTCCAGCTTTAAGCTGATTAAAACTATCTGGTGAACAATACTTACAGCGAATAGGATGAAATAAAGGAGATTCCGACTTGGAGTTGAAGTTTAAATCAATATTTAAGCTAAAGAGATCAATGTCGTGGAAGCTAGCTATTGTATAATATTTTGTGACAGATGGTTGTAATTTCTTTATAACAGCCCCCATTTTACAGTCGTAATACAGCAGAAATGTATGACAACATTTTGCACAAACCACTACGTCTGAGGAGCAATATTTCTGAGAGTGCAAGGACCCTTCTTGCAGGGGTGAGTGAGTCTGTGAGTTATAATGTATTATTTAACACTTATTATTATTATTTAACACTTATATTTATGTATTATTTAACATTTAAATGCATGTTCCTCAGTTTGGATTTAAAATGACTAATCAATTTATTTGTAGCAATAACAGCTACCAGAATGTCTGTCATTTCACCCATGCTCATGAGTCACCCACACCTCTAATTCAAGGCTAGAATTAGGAGAAAAAAATTGATTTAGAAGTGTTTCTAAATAAATACTAATTTAATTCAGACTTGAATGGTTCTCAAGGAGTTAAATGAATTTGGTATGGCCTTTGTGAAGTCATGATCATTGTGTTGAATGTAATTTGAAATGCACTGAAATTTGGGAAAAAGTATTTATTGGACATGATGGAAAAAATTGGCATATGTATTGTTATGGTGTGTAGGCAGTTTTAAGATCTTTTAGTAATATATATAACCATGTTAACTTTTTTGTAACATTTCTCTCCTGTAGCTCCTGCAGAAGGATCGTACTAAGAGATTTGGACGAGATCACGATTTTGTAAGTGAACTCAATGTGAAGGTTGAGTATGTAATCAAACCAACTTGTCATTGCATTGTAGGTTGTTGGACAAAACATTTTTTCCCTGCAGATGCTGAACTGTGTTAATTATTCAGAGAGAAAAAGATCCACATGCAGATGCTACTATCTAAGTGGAATATAGACATTTTAAGGAGAGATAATGAAGAAGTGGTATACAATAGGTCGTGGTATATAATGGGTCAATTGATATAAATCCTAAAATTAATGTTGGACCATAAGTTGCATCCAAATACAGTGCATTGATTTTATTTCTGAACAGGATGAAATAAAGAATCATGAATTCTTTAGATCCATCGACTGGCAGTTGTTATATGACAAGAAGGTAGACCCACCTTACAATCCAAATGTGGTGAGTTGTTTAGCTCTTTTGTTCATACTTTGTTCCCAGTCTCACCATTAGTTCTTACCTTTTAACTCCAAAGAGTTGAAAGTCAATTTCCCCAGCCTATGTTACCTAATCCGGAGAATTTGGTGTCACACCCAAATAGTATCCCCTTATTCTTGTTGTAGATCAAGTAAATGTGTAAGAAAACTGTAATTAGAATTTCCATTCAGACTGTTCAAAGGATTAGTGCTTATATCATATAAAGATCAGGAAAGTGAGGCGGGGANATACGTTTCTCGTACGCCTGGCTATTCAAGGATCTGATAAGAGGAGTTAATTTGATTTGGGTGTCTATTAGGTCATTTACAGTGCAGTGTCATTCACTGCACCCTTATTTTCAAGTGACAATCTTGAGAGAGTGACAACTCTAGAGTACCTTTTCTCAGCATTTTGATTGAACCTGAAAAACCTTATGTAATCAAATAAGTATATGTTTTTGTGCCTACTTAACTTATAAAACAGATTTTGCCAAAGAATATGAAAGCCAGTAATAGCTTAAACTCCTTCAAACTTTTCTTTCTGTCATTTTAAGAGTTTTTCAGTTGCTACAGACTTTTAATTCATGACTTTTGTTTGTATTGATAACAATTATCAATACCGGGTTAAGAACTTTTTTCTACTTATCAGGATGTGCTGTAAGATTTCACTATTTTAACCATCACTTACTTTTCCATTAGATGCAAAATCCCAACTTAGTGTTATAAAAATAGGTTTATAAACACTCAAGGTAGTCGTTTCTATGTTGTATTAACAGAGTGGTCAACTTGATCTAAAGCATTTTGATCCTGAATTTGTACGAGAACCTGTACCAGGTGTGTTCTTTTTTTTCTGATGTCACAACTTAATGATGTGCAACCAAGATGTACTGAAATACATTGGACTATTTTTTTTCATGGAACTAGTCCTTTAATTATTTGCAAATAAACAGACTAAGCTAACTTTTGAGGTTTTAGGGCCAAGTACTAGCTATGTTATCATGTGTCTCAAGTTCAGATTGAAAACTGGGATGGTACTAAATGTGGACCCCCCATTCTGGACCCCCTCTTGGACCCCCTAATTAGATTAAGAAAGGATGAAAACAATAAATACCTGTTGTAGCTTAGGAGGTCATCATCAAAGTGGCATTTCATGCTACATACATTTGCCTGAATCTTCAAAAAGTGCTTCTAGAAATGTTAATTCTCCAGTGTGCTATGGTGGGTGCCATTTTTTTTGTAAGTTAGAGTGGGGACCTTGGCACAAGGCTACAAAACTTCCGGTGTTTTCTCTGATCGGCTGCTCCGATCAGATTTTTTCCACCATTTTAATTGCATCATCTTATGTCCTTGGCTACCACCGCTGACCAAGAAAATTGTGGTCATCCATATACGGAGGTAGATGTGTGATTTCTTCGCATTTTGTATGCAATCTCTACATTCCTGAATCAAAGCCATCGATAAATGATCATGACATTGTCTTGTCAAGAACATTATCATACAGATCTTTGCAGAAGCTATATTTGTTGCATATTGCATGCCAGGAGCCCATTGCATGCTTAAAACCACAATATTTGCATCACACGGAGTCACTTTGCGATAAGCTTCATATGTGATGAAAAAATTATAGCCATTGTTTTCCAACAGTCTTCTTCATTAAACATTCTACCATAGCGGACTATAGCTTTGATTTGATCATAGAGCTCTGTGTATGAATGATCACAATGTTTTTGGTCAGCGGTGGTAGCCAAGGACATAAGATGATGCAATCAAAATGGCAGAAAAAATCTGATCAGAGCAGCCGATCGGAGGAAACACCGGAAGTTTTGTAGCCTTGTGCTGAGGTCCCCACTCTAACTTATAAACAGAGTGGCACCCACGATAGCACACGCGAGAATTAACATTTCTAGTAGCACTTTTTGAAGATTCAGGCAAATGTTTGTGGCATGAAATGCCACTTTGATGACAACCTCCTAAGTTCACACCAGGTATTAATTGTTTTCATCCTTTCTTAATCTAATTAGGGGGTCCAAAAGGGGGTCCAAAAGGGGGTCCAGAAGGGGGTCCAGAAAGGGGGGTCCACATTTTGTACCATCCCTTGAAAACTGTGTTTTTCCAGCAACAAAACGAATTCCTATCATCCAAGGCAATAGACTGTGTACTTGTGGAAGTCTTTTCCATCAGGGATTAAACACTGTTGAAACAGTCCTCTTGATTCACAAACTGACCACCAAATTTAAGGGCAGAGTTGAACTCAACTTTTTTTTCAGAAAATGTCATCTCAGTCCTCTTTAAGGGAAATCAATTACCATAACTTGTCTCCCAATAGAGATTATGGCTTACTCTTTCATTCCTCTAAGTTTCTCATGCCTCTTTGTAATCAATTTTCAGTTTTTATAAAGGAAAACACTGCTTGAACCTCTAATCCCGTTTTGGGCAAAAATTGTACCCTTGCTCCTGGTTGGCCAGATAATAGATCTAGCTTGTTTTTAGACAATACAGGGGAAATTCAATTGCAGTGGATTGATTGCTCATCACAGATCTCTTTCACAGCTTTCAGCTAGGGTGCCAAGCAGAAAGCAAATATCCCTAGGTTTGATTCTATTAATGAATACTTTGATGATACTGGTAACTAACATATTTTTACTTGAATCCACAGGATCAGTTGGTAAATCTGCTGACTCCTCTTTCTTGAGCGCCAGTGTCGATGACCCAGATGATGCATTTGTAGGCTTCACCTATGTTCCCCCAACAGATCTTACTGAATGAGTTGAACAAGGAATTTAACTTAAATGTAAATTTTCAAACAAAGTGCAATAATCATAAGTTTATCATCACCAAGCTCATCGCCTTTTTTGTTCCAGCATTCTCTCTGCACCTTTTCCCTTCTATAGTTAGCTTGTACTCAGTAGGAATCAACAACTCTTCCTCCCAAGTCTCATAAAAAGCAAAAACCTAGATGATCACAGAGGCCAATCAACAGAAAGGAGAACATCAGAATGAGACAAGGAGAAACAGTAGATACCTATGGTGAAACTTAAGTGCCAAAAGCATGAGTGGCAAAATCATAGTTGGTCTAAGTCTTGAGAGGGTGATACATGATTTTTAAACCTACCTTAGAGCATAGTGAAGCAGAACCAACACAAATTTTCATCCTCTTTTGAATTAAGTAATAACTTTCTCTGTGTCAGGTAATTCCCAATGAAGAAAAAGAAAAATTTGTTGGAAACGTGGTAGAAACAAGCACTTATGAAAATGATAATGATTATATTATAAGAATTACAATGTACATATACAATTTGATATGTTCTTGAATGGCATTGGGTTTCTTATGAATGAATGCCCAATGTGTGAAGAGATTGCCAAAAAATCTAAGTGTAAGAACTGTACAGGGAAATGACCCTAAAGTGATTTGTATGGCCTACTCCAGACTTGAAGATTCTTGTTAACATCCATTAAAATAAGAAAGTGAAGTGCATGACTTTACATACTTAGCCTTTCTCCCTTTTTCTTCCTTCTTTTTTTCTAATTCTTTTGTCATTTTTTGAAATTTCAGAGGCTTGTGTAGTTTGCTATTCTTGTTCTTTGAGTAGTTTTGTTCGCAATATTTACTTTTAGGTTAATTTGAAATGTTATTTTATTCTATTAGAGAATCCCTCATCAATCCTTATTTGTTAACTGGGAAAATCACTGATTATGTGATATGAAATTTAGGTTAAATAAACCTCCGATTTCTTCACAATGAAGGTGTGAGTTCCAAGTTAAGTTGAATGCTCCACTGAAAAAAGTGCTAAGTCAGTCAGTTGATCTCCCATTGATTTCACCATTGTGGAAAAGTTTCTTGCCAAACAGCAGCAGTTTTCAACTGCTTTCTGTGTATATTCTGCTGGATTTTTTCTTTAAATTTTTTATCCATGACGTGCCATTTTAACATTCACAACATTTTACAACACCAAAGTCAGTTGTATTTACTTTTTCAGCTATGATATTCTTTCAGTTTTGTTCAGATACTTCCCTTGAAATTTTGTTTGGCAATAACAATATCCATTTTCACAACCACAATACTTGACTTAAAATTGTCAGAAAACTAAATGTTTCAGTGTGATACAAAAATAAAGTCAAGTTTAAATCATGTTCTAGACTTTTTTCCTCTTGCATGCGGTTACCAAGGCACCAGCTTATGATGCACTGCTTACAATAAACTGTTCAAGAGGTACAGGGAAACAGCTAGCTGTGAGTGTGAGGTGTGAGCTGGTGCCCTTTGCTCTTTATACAGTTAAGGGTTGGCTGCAGCTTACCCTTAATTATAACTGTTTAAAGAGCACAGGGCACCAGCTAACATTAAACTGTAGAGAAGGTACAGGGTGCCAGCTAACATTAAACTGTAGAGAAGGTACAGGGTGCCAGCTAACATTAAACTGTACAAAGGGCATAGAGCACCAGCTCACATTAAATTGTAGAGAAGGTACAAGAGGCTAGATTGCTTGTTCAGCCCTTCGAACTAGTTAAAAAAAATAAACATGTACAATTGTATCGAATCATACCAGGTTAGATGTAAAAAGATTAGATCCTTCTATTTACTGATTGGTTATTTGTAATTTTATTTGGATGCATATAGCTAGTATCATCTGAACAATGTCTACGAAGAGAAAATGCAAGCAATAAATACGTTTCTCGTACGCCTGGCTATTCAACAGAGTGAGCATGGGAAGGAATCATTCTCTCCGAGGAAGCCTGGTGCAAAATTAAGATCAAAGATGGCGGAAGGACCTTGTGGGTATAGCATTGCTTCCACGCCGTTTAACAGGTTCATCACATCATTTACATAGTAACAACTTTGCTGTACAAATGGTGTTTCCGGAGNTGAAATTTAGGTTAAATAAACCTCCGATTTCTTCACAATGAAGGTGTGAGTTCCAAGTTAAGTTGAATGCTCCACTGAAAAAAGTGCTAAGTCAGTCAGTTGATCTCCCATTGATTTCACCATTGTGGAAAAGTTTCTTGCCAAACAGCAGCAGTTTTCAACTGCTTTCTGTGTATATTCTGCTGGATTTTTTCTTTAAATTTTTTATCCATGACGTGCCATTTTAACATTCACAACATTTTACAACACCAAAGTCAGTTGTATTTACTTTTTCAGCTATGATATTCTTTCAGTTTTGTTCAGATACTTCCCTTGAAATTTTGTTTGGCAATAACAATATCCATTTTCACAACCACAATACTTGACTTAAAATTGTCAGAAAACTAAATGTTTCAGTGTGATACAAAAATAAAGTCAAGTTTAAATCATGTTCTAGACTTTTTTCCTCTTGCATGCGGTTACCAAGGCACCAGCTTATGATGCACTGCTTACAATAAACTGTTCAAGAGGTACAGGGAAACAGCTAGCTGTGAGTGTGAGGTGTGAGCTGGTGCCCTTTGCTCTTTATACAGTTAAGGGTTGGCTGCAGCTTACCCTTAATTATAACTGTTTAAAGAGCACAGGGCACCAGCTAACATTAAACTGTAGAGAAGGTACAGGGTGCCAGCTAACATTAAACTGTACAAAGGGCATAGAGCACCAGCTCACATTAAATTGTAGAGAAGGTACAAGAGGCTAGATTGCTTGTTCAGCCCTTCGAACTAGTTAAAAAAAATAAACATGTACAATTGTATCGAATCATACCAGGTTAGATGTAAAAAGATTAGATCCTTCTATTTACTGATTGGTTATTTGTAATTTTATTTGGATGCATATAGCTAGTATCATCTGAACAATGTCTACGAAGAGAAAATGCAAGCAATAAATACGTTTCTCGTACGCCTGGCTATTCAACAGAGTGAGCATGGGAAGGAATCATTCTCTCCGAGGAAGCCTGGTGCAAAATTAAGATCAAAGATGGCGGAAGGACCTTGTGGGTATAGCATTGCTTCCACGCCGTTTAACAGGTTCATCACATCATTTACATAGTAACAACTTGGCTGTACAAATGGTGTTTCCGGAGATACCATCTGCACGAGCTTTCCAGGCGATACGCACGGTAAGCGTGAGTGAACTTTCAGGTTTGAGAGAGGAAGATCTAAGGCCTCTGCTGCCATGTTTGGTCCGAATGGCTCTCTGCTCTCCAGTAGACGAAAGTGCAAAGTGGACAGATGCCCGCAAGGAAGTACAGAAACTCTTGTCTGGCTTAGAAGTAGTGAACTCCATAGTTGCACTGCTGTCTGTGGATTTTAGTCTCCTTGAGCAAGATGCATTGAAAGAGCAGCAGCTGAGAAAAAAGATTGGCGGTAGTACAAGCTCCAGTGTTCTAGTTGAGTCCTTACAAAACAGTCTTGCTTTAGAGTTTGAACGCAGTGAACCATCAAGGCGTCTTAGATTGGTACTGAGTGAGATCCTTCGTATTATGAGCCAGGTAATTTCCTTATAGTTTTTAGTGTTAAGTTGACATTGATTTTTTTTTCACCTCAGAAAGAATCATTTCATGAAAAATAACCCTTTAACTCCTTTAAGTGACAAAACAGAATTCCTCTTTACAATGTCAATACAATATCAAGCAGACAAGTGATGAGAGTAAGGAGAATTATGACTAAAGGGATTATAATAAATGAACTTTTAATGGTTTGTCTTGGGATGTAAGAGTCAGGCCAATCAATTGCAGTGTTCTAACCTCTCTACTGTTAGTCTTTGTTAGGCGACAAGGTGGAAAGTTTGCATATCGCCATTTGTAGCACTTTGGTTAGCTCTTGAGTATTAAATGATGTTCCCTCATAGGTCATTTTTGTGATTGATCATTTGTAGTGCTTTTTGATAGTCAGAGCTAGACACTAACGGTAGCCCACTAGCCACAGACTAGTAGAAATTCAGTTTTGGCTAGTGGTTTTCAATTCCACTAGCCAGTTTGGCTAGTCAACAAATTGAAATTGACCGAACTAGTTTTCTCTTCTCAAGGAAGACAAACTCAAACACTTTTCTCGGAAATTCATTACAGGTGTATTGTGTTACCAGGCGCGTATGCTAATTTAGGTCTGATTACTTTTGGCTCAGTGACACGTAAACGGGTATTATGTTGAAAGAAATATTTGACCAACAAGTAAGCATTTTCTTTTTGTTACAAAATTACTTGAAGAAAACATCAGCTTCCTGATAAATCACGCGCAAAATCGTGCAGCACTGTAAAGGGATAACATTTCATTTAGTGTGACAACACGTGGGTAACTTCTCGTTGTATACTTACTTACAAAACTTACCACTACAGAAATAGTTAGATGAGAGATATTTAATTCCTTTGACGTTTAAATCAGCTGTTTTTAGCAGTTGAATTTTGTCAATGACAGTTTGCTAGTTCGTTCAGAAAGATAGAATGGTTTTGAAACATTTCTTGGCGCCCATAAGTGAACAAGTCTCAACAGTTTTTAGAGTGACATCTCGGGGTATTGAAATTCTTCCAAGGAAGTTTCAAAGCAAAAAAGAGTCCTGAAAGTCTTCACAGGAAAATCGCTGCATTTTTCTTTGTAATTTGTCAGCCTGAGAGAATTGATGTGAGGAAAATCTAAGGCCATTGAACAAAAATAAAATTGGCGCAATTCATTGCGATAATAACTGTTTTTGCTGTTTAATCAAACCAGTCAAATGCGACAGAAGGTATGCGGACCATGTGTCAAGCAGTCTCAGATGCAAATTCGCTGTTTTGTTTTTTCTCAAAATTCCATAATGTATATTAGAGGATTTTTTTACCGGCGGTAAAAAAGAAATAGGCAAAGACAATAGTTCTAAAAAGAAGAGATCTGCTTATTAAAAGAAGGTGTAAATCTAACACCTCCACCGCCAAGGCGGAAATTCCAACAATCATGTAAATCCAACATTCCATGGGTTGTTCGCTGAGATGGAGCAATGTTTTGCACGTGGTGTGAAGAAAAAAGTCTCTGTCCGATTCCTCATCAGCGTTCGTCTCAAGTAGCTGTTCTAATTTTCGCTTAGAATCTCTTAGGAGCCATGCAAGATCTGCTGGTCATAAAAGAACTGAAGATTGTATTCGTATTCCAGCCAATCCACAAGAAGCAGCTATTCCTCGAGCCTTGAGACATTTAAAAGAAGAGGCCGTTTCAAAGTTAGAAAAGCTATTTGACATTGTGTATTTTGTAGCGAAACTGGAGATGCCATTCACAACATACCCTTGTCTCTGTCAACTTGAACAGAAGCATGGTATTTAGCTTAGGCAAACTTACAGAACTGATAAGGCTTGCAAAAATTTTAACGCGGCAATATCCGAAGAGTTTAAGGGTGAACTTGGGGAGCAAATACAGATGGCACGTTTTTCAAGTGTCATGATGGACAGTGGTACAGATGTGGGTGTTTGCGTGGTTGAAGAGGTGTATGTTCGCATTTTGAAAGATGGAGAAGCAGTCAATACATTTGTAGGGCTCAAATCCTGCTCTGATGCTAAACCTCTAGGTATTACTGAAGCTGTTAACAGTACTATGACTGGTGTCTGTGAAAATTGGAAAGAAAAAGCTGTTGCCTTAGGCTCTGATGGTGCCTCTGTAATGGTTGGAGACATGGGTGGAAATGCTGGTCATCAAGGTCTGCCTTGTTATACCTGTTCAAACTGCTTGTTGTGAAGGAGGCAACTCCTGTCAGGTTAATTCTTGATATTGTAAGAAATATACAACTTTTTTTAGAGAAATGTTTCGGCATCCTTGTGCCATTTTTAATCAATGAGTAACTGAATGTGAGTAATTAAACAAATCTAAGAATATGAATATAAATCTACAAATCTAAGAAATGTTAAAAAAACGTGGGAGGGGATTAATGAACTATTGAACAGACAGCGTAACAAAAAAACAGTATCAGCCCTTCAACGCTCTAACAACTCTGGAGTAACACAAAATCCGTCTGAAATAACCAATATCTTTAATCAGTACTTTGCGTCTATTGGACCGCGGCTTGCACGCAATATATCACCTTCCAGGATAAATTTCCAGGACTACCTTGTCGGCACTAATCACTTTAAGTCTTTCTTTTTTGATCCCGTCGTTCCATCCGAGGTGGACTTGGAAATCTTGGCTATACCCAGTAATAAAGTATATGGCCTATATTCTTGCCCGGTTCATCTTCTAAAATCTGGGCGCCATATCCTTTCTTCACTCTTAGCTGCCATGATGAATAAGTCTATCTCAACGGGTATTTATCCCCATCTTTTGAAGCATGCCAAAGTAATTCCTATCTACAAATCGGGAGACGAAACTGATCCATGTAATTACCGCCCAATTTCCCTCCTTTCTGTCTTCAATCGATTATTTGAGAAATTGATGGCTAAACGTCTTAAATCACATTGCGAAAAAAATGGTATCTTTTTTACTTCTCAATATGGATTTAGAGACAAGTGTTCAACCCAACATGCAATTTTAGATATCTTAAGCAAAATTCAAACTAATATTGATGCAAAGTTATTCTCTTGTGGTATTTTTATTGACCTAAAAAAGGCATTTGATACGGTGGATCACTCAATCTTACTGCACAAATTATATCATTATGGAGTCAGAGGAATAATTAATAACTGGTTCTCTTCGTACTTGTTGAACAGGAACCAGTCGACTCAAATTGGTTCAACCGTATCGAATATAGAAGAGATAGTTTGTGGTGTCCCTCAAGGGTCTGTACTTGGCCCCCTTCTCTTTTTGATTTATGTTAACGACATTTACCGTTGCTCCCAGATTTTTGAGTTTTACCTATTTGCTGACGATACTAACTTGCTTTATTCAAACAAAGATCTTAAGGATCTTGAAAAAGTTGTTAATGATGAACTCGCAAAAGTGGGTGACTGGTTGGACGCAAACAAACTTTCTCTTAACACTAGTAAATCTAACTTTGTTATTTTCCATCCTTACCAACGCAAATTGGACTACATAGTTCACTTGAAAATTTATAATAACGATCTTAAAAAAAGTGTATCTCTAGAACAAAAAACTTTTGTGAAATATCTAGGAATTCTGATAGATAATAACCTCTCTTGGAAGTATCATATTGATTATATCTCATCTAAAGTTAGTAAAGGAATTGGTATAATTGCCAGGTTAAGACATCTTGTCCCATTTGCCACACTTCTTAACATCTACCGCTCCTTAATTGAACCCTATATCTCTTATGGTCTTATTGCCTGGGGACAAGCTGCTAACACTCATTTAAATAAGGTTCTCATTTTACAAAAACGTGCTCTACGACTAATGTATTTTGCGGATAGCAAAACTCATAGTGCCCCGCTATTTGTTAACTCCAGAATCTTACCAATAACTATGCTCTATTCTCATTTGGTTTCCTCTTTGATGCATGACATTGATNGAGGAGATGAATGTTGATATACGCTGCTCAGAAATTTGTAAATATCTCTTGATAAAGTAACTCTTCGTTTAAGTCTTGTTTCAATTGTATTATATATCTTGATAACTTTGCAATTGATTATTTAATTATTCAACGGACTTAATTTTATTTTATTTTATTTAACAATTGTATTTTTATTTAATGATTATCTTTGTTTAATTGTATCGGTATGTGATCATTAGCAGAGACAGCACTTGTTTTAGAAGGGTGGCCCGCCTAGAATAGCTTGCTAATTGCGGGTCACCTAGGACTGTGATAATATTGTATTGCTAACAAATAAATAAATTGAAAATTGAAAAATTGAATTGAAATTGAAGATGAATAAAATATTTACAGTATGATGTAATACAAAAGCGGGTACTAATTACAGTGTGACAACAAACATGAAATTAAAGGTGTGAACTAAAATGCTAGAAAAGTGTTATAATGCTGTAATTGTTTGTTAAGTTCAGGTTTGATCTTATTTATTTAAAAAGCTTCTTTGAGTTTTAAATCAATTGAGTTGTTGGCAGAATCCAGAATACTAAAGCAAGAAAGGGAGTATTTGTTCTTACAAGAAGGAGATGTGTTAAAATGCTTAAAAATATGCGAGTTTTTATCACTTTCCGTGTGTTCCTTTATCCTAGTAGAGAAGTGGTGACTAGTTTCGCCAATATAACGATGTTGAGACTGTTGAAGCCCTTCTGAGAATCTCTCTTAATAGACCAAACCCATCAGAGTATCACTCTTCATTAGCTGTTGCAAGATGGCTTGACTCTGGCGAGAGGGCTAAGCACCAAACTTTCATCGATAATTTCATCATTAATTTCTTGCCATAATTATGGATGATGGAATATCAGTATCAACTAGTTTAATCATGTGACATCTCATATTTAATACTGTTGTTGTCATTATATTATTGGAACTGGTTTAAAGATGGCATCTGGACAATCAAATCTCTGAACCTTAATTGCAGCCTAACTGATTTCTCTCTCTGGTAACAAAACATCTTAACTATGTTGCATTTCACAAAATAATTGTTTTTCCTTTGGAACTGGTTTAAGTAAAGTGTAATTACTGGAACCAACATTATGTATGAAAAGGTGTTGTGTGTATTGTGCTTTCAAGTCTTGCTGGTAATTCTGCTGTTATTAGACCCAGCCAACATCAAAGCTTGGCTAGTAAAAAAAAAAAAATTGTGCTAGTAACATCTACGTTGTCACTAGCCACCAGGCTAGTAAGTTGAAAAGTTAATGCTGAGCCCTGATAGTGTTAAAAATGTGAAAAAGCTGTACCATGCTTTCTTATTATGTCATGCTTTATTAACTTGATTTTAAGATTCTGTTACAATGTGTACCAACTGTATGTAAAATTTTCTGAAGGTGGAGGTGAGGCAGGAGTTTATTCCTGAGAAGTGTGAACTTTTTGAAAGTGAAGTTTACCTGGAGGAAGTATCAGATGTAATTTGCATCGGGCAAGCTGAGCTGCCATCACTTCTTGCTTTAAACCAGCTAGCAGAGGCTCTCCTCAGGGTCAAGCATGGTCCTTGGTTATTGTGTCGACTGGTGGCTAATGCTCCTGACAGCTTTGAACAAGGTGGGACCTGTATCAAGATTAATGAAGTTTTATCTGGACAAAGATATCCTGGCTTACAACATTGAAACATTTAGATATCACTGCCAAAAAATTGTAAGCAGGTAGTTAACACAGAATTTAAGACATGTTGATTAAACTGTGTTCATATGCTTTTGTTTCAGTGTGCAGTTCTCTGCTTGAGCATGGTGAAGTACAAGATGAAGGTAGTCTAGGTGGCCTGGTGCGAACTCAAGCCTTACGGCAGCTTTGTGCAATGAACCCCAGCTCTGCGTTTGCTATGCATTCTGAGGCACTCAGACTGTGTCATATGCCCGGTCTTGCTGTGGCTCTTATCCTTGACTTTGGTGTTGACAGCGGTGGTAAGCACTTATCTGAAGGGAATTCATTTTAAACTTGAGAATATAAACTGATGAAAATTCACCTTCAGAGTCAAGTGATAATGATTTCTGCTGTAGATATAAAACCATTAGTCATTACCCTCAGCAATAGTCCTGTTAAGGACTATCTTTACCTGTACGATCACACCACATGATCAACAATTAAATTAACATGTTGAAATTTTGATATGATGTCTTTTTTGTGTTGTTGAGGTTCTTTGAGTTCAAGTGATCTTGTGGCATTCCTCAGTGGCCTTCTTTTGGGAGGAGATACAAAAGCCAGGAACTGGTTTTCTTCATTTGTTAGGATTGGACAGAAGGTATGGAAACCAAATAAGACATGTCTTTGAAACATTTACTTCAACTCGTGTGGAAAAAGGGTCATAAACTTTCTTAAACTAGTGTCTCATTTATATGAGATATCAGCTTATGCTGATCCTATTTGTGAAAACTTTTTGCTTATATTTGTTTTTGTGGCTTTTTATTAGTCTAATACATCAATCTTGGCCTCTCTGAGAAGTCAGTTACTGAAGGAGATGTCATCTTTAGTTCCAAGTGGAACGACAAAAGGAGCAAGGTCACAGAACAGCAGATCTGGGGTAAAGGATTTAGTCACAGAAGGTGATGTCAGACAAGAGGATGAAGAAACATTAGAAATACTTCAAGGTGACTCCATTCATTATACTTTAAATGTTATCAGCTAGGAGAGGGTCAGATGCAGTGGTCCAGTGGTTGGCAATATGGACTCTGGATGAAGCAGACCTGTTTCACACAGTAGCAAAGTCATCTTACTGTGTTCTTGGGCAAGATACTGAACTCTCACAGTGTTCCTCTCTCCCTAGCACTGGTAATAAACGTGGCTATTGGAAAAACTGTCAGAGAAACTTGATGACTTTTTGATGAGTCGACAATGGTCAACTAGCATTTAGTTTAGGAGCTATTATTATAGCAATACTGTAATTGATGTATGCTAAGGAGGGGTTAGCTCAAGCAGTAGTGAGCTGTAAAGCTTATAAATATGTTTTGATTTGTGATTAATTTTTTGATGAATTTACTCATATTTCAGCAATGGAGGTCAGCACAGATTATGAAATCACTGAAGAGAGTTCTGAAACCTCCCACATAAACTTTGAAACAGTAGAAATTAGTGATGAAGGTGTGATCCACGGGACAGCACTCCTGAGACTGTACTGTGCTCTTAAAAGATTGGCAGGTATGAAACTAACCTCACAAGAATCAGAAGCATTGCTTCGGCTGATAACGTGCCACCCTCCACCTACTGCCGCAGGGGTGAGGTTTGTTGTGGTTGGCCTGTGTACCCTTCTGGTCTGTACCAACATAATGAGGTGAGTTACTTGCATCAACTGTATTTAGCACCTCTATGCTGATGTTTGAAAACTGTAGTTTGATTTTTAAAAAGGCACGTAGATTAGAGTTATCTGAAGGCAAGCCAGTGTGCTATTGTTAAGGTGCAGAGAAAAAGTTTAAGTTGAACCAAGAAAATATATTATTGAAGGACAGAGCGGAGGATTTGAGCCTGGGAAATCCAGATATACATCCAGGTCCCTGAAACACCTGTCCATCTGCCTTGAGTTCACTTAATTAGTAACTAATATAGAGGATGGTACAAAGCCCATCTGTTTAAAATTCTTTTACCAATCTTAGCAGTCTGACCAGGGCAGGGAATAGTTGATCTTTTGTGCATACTTTACGTAATTTAAGTGGAGCCTTGCAAAATCTGTAATAACTCCAATAGGAGTGATCAGTGTCACATGTAACCTGATCACTGGTGCCATTAGTTTACAGTTGCTATTAATAATAATATGTAGATTTAGCCAAGCTGAAAAGCGGAACTCCCAAGTTCGTAATATTAATGACAACATTAAAGATGTGTATTTGCCAAGACTTGTCTAAGACATCCCTCCCTTCGTTTTGATAGTCTCCCCTATCCTACCTGTGTAATCTGATGCTTGGTCAGTCACATGGCAACCAAACGAAAAGAGGTTGACCATATTCCATGGGTATGGGGCTCTGCCCCACTTGCGCAAAGCGCGCATGGGAGTCCGACTAAAAATGAAATGTTTTAATTAGTTCACCAGAGCATGAACAGATTGCTACCCACTGGATAAAGTGGCTGTCCAAAGAGGAAGCTCACTATGAAGCAGCGAGTGGTATACATGCATCCTTTGGAGAGATCCTTCTGCTAATAGCCATTCACTTTCATGCCAGTCAAGTGGAAGCCATTGCTGATCTTGTGTGTTCTGTTCTTGGGATGAATATCAGGCTGGGTTCGCTAACAAGAATGAAAACACTTTTCACACAGGAAATATTTCCTGAGAAGGTGTTCAATTGATTTTTTCTCAAGCATTCCCAGGGTGGGGAATCTTAAATCCTCAAATCTGATTGTCTAATCCTGTGCTTGTAACTGGTCTAGCTTTTTACATTTTATAGACAGTCATCTAGAGCAAAATGCCTTGGCCTTTGGTCTTAAACAGTACTCAAGAACTTGTGCACAATTTTTTCCCATGCAGACCTCCTGCTCAGTAAACAACCTACAATGTTTACAACTTTTCATGGATTGTAACTTTGTTGTGTGACAGCAGACAATGCCAGCAGGTTCTATGTAGAAAAGAAAATCACATCCTAGTTAGTAGTAGAGAGAGTGTACACTAAACGGCGTAATTCACAGAAGCCTGAAGTCCTTAATGGACAGTTGTAGAACACAGCACAGCCATATTACAAATATATAATGAACAAATGGTGTTAGCTGTCAAATACGTTTAAACACAGACAATCAGGAAGACATTGTACATAAGATTATAACATAGACTGCATTCTACTGTGATAGGTTGTGACAGCCCATGCTGTAATAGTTCCTGTCACACCTCGGCTGAGTTCAGAGGATACAGGATTCCTTCCAATTCATTGCATTCATCAGTTGCTACGGTCGCGAGCATTCACCAAGCATGCAGTTCCTGTTAAGGTCAGGCCTAAATTATTATTTGAATTAGTAAACAGTCATGGCACACTGGGGTAACTGTTACTATGCTGGATCAAACATTGAAGGGTTGAGGTCTGATTAGGTCATTATGTTGTGTTCTTGGGTAAGATCCTTATAGTACTTCTCTCTTTCAATGCCCTAAGTATGAATGGGAGGCTTGCCATGTCTTGATTATGGTAAAGAAGGAAACCACATAGGGATAATTGAGTGTATGTAATTCAAAATTAATAACTTTTTCAGGAATGGGTGTATAAGCAGATCTGTTGTTGTACCACTCCTCTCCACCCTCTAGTTGTACCTCTTCTTGAAGCTTTTGTACATTCTGTCATCAATCCCACATCCAAGTCAAGTAAGAACAAAGAAGCTGTTTTCACTCTGCGTGGATTTACTGATGCTGAAGTCATGTCAGTCTTTGCTGCAGAATCACAGGCATGTGATAAACTTGTTATTTTTTTAGTTGATTCACTAATTAAAGACTTAAAGTTAGTATCAGTTTTGAAAATTATAATAACTGCTTTCACTCCAAAGATAAATTAATTTATTTAATGAAAGATTTACTTTTTACCATTTCTGGAACCTTCTAATGATTTAAAAGGTTTTTGAATTTAATGAACAAATTAGTGAATTCAAACACTTAATCGCTGACATACTTTGAAGCTGATTAAGCTGATTAAGCAGTTTCTTAGTTTGTGGTGTCTTTTTGTATAGTCTGATTACTTTTCTTGTAGAGTTTGGGCTCAGCTGTGTCCCTAGTGACAGTTGCTGAACACATAATAAAAGGTTCATTTGTTGTTAATTGACATTTCCACACATGACTGAAAGTAATCATCTGTTTAGAGGGAAATCCTGCTGATGACTAACTTCTTGAGTTGTCACCATCACTGATAACAGTCCTGTTAAGATGAAGTACTATCGCCCAAACTTTTCCATTACATTTTCCATTGAAAATCTCCAGGAAGAAGGAGCTGCATTCAGAATCCATGGACTTCTCTTAGAACCCATGAGGAGAAGTTCTGTGTATGTGGCCACAGAACTGTCATCTCATCTCACGTCTCAGATTCTGATGTTATATTATGTTTTAACATACCAAGACTGTCTTCTTTCAAATATGAAGGCTTTAGGTAAGGCATTGAGTTCGAAGTTTTCTAGCTATGATGAGCTCTAACCCTTATTGTTCATATGACCTGTAAGACTTACCCTCTTTGGTAAAGATTGAGAAATTGGTCCTAGTTATGTCAAGACCCCATCACACAATATTGTTTTGGAACATGCTGGAATAAGTTATAGGCATTTAAAATTATCTGTGAGAGTGGGTCAGAATACCAATGTAATGCTAATACTTTCAGTTGCCAACAATATTCAGCCTCAGTGGCTGTCACCCATGTTGCTGTCACAACTACCTATCAAGCATCTGTTGGAGCAAGCCAGGAGTCGTCGTCGTGAATTTCGGGGTCTGTATGCTCCCCTACTGCAGCTGATCAACACTCACTTGCCACACCTGTGTTTAGTGGATGACTGGCTGCGACAGGAAGAAGTATTCACTGCTCCACACTTGTCAGCAGCCTCACCACTGCTTCATGTCCAATGTTCACCTCCTCATTTAAAAGAAGGTATACTTGAAACATTGAAATTAACTTGGCTGATTCCTTTGACTATCAGGACTATTTTAAATTCATGGTCAGCCACAAGGGCCATGACAACAATTTTTCTTGTAATTCAGTACAAAAAATCTGGAAGATAGTTAATAAGGAAAAAAGGTTTGATACCCATCTGGGGATTACAGGGCTCTACAAGAAGAGAACAAAATGTAAGTTTTCATATGCATGTGAAGTTTAAAACCTAGTTAATGAAATCGATGTCCAATCAACAACATGCATGTTTACTATTTCAGTAATAAGGTTAGTTTGAGGCAAGATTTTTGCAGGACAGTATTTGAATCAAAGGGGAACTGGTTGGCAATATGTGGTGGAAGGTCCCTCTTGAAGGAAAGCTGTTGTCAGATTTTTCATTAGGGTCAAAGGTGATACTAATGAAGTTTAAGAGTGCTTTTGGCCTTTCTCTTTGCTCTTTGTCACAGAAAATGACAATAGTGGAACAACCCTGCATTGTGCCAAATATAGGACCTTCCCATTGGAAAATCTTGCCTAAATTCAAAGTGTGTTTAGTGGGCCATCAATGCATTGATGTTTTTTTTTTATTAATAGCATTAGACTTGCTGCCAGATAATCCCTGTTCTGCTCTTCTGCTGCTTAAAAGACTGTTACAACTAGAGCCTAGTGCTCTGATTCCTCATATGGATGTACTTGTTGAAGCCTTACCTGGTTTATTGGAGCCTGGGGTCCCCCGGCGGGTGCAAACACTATGTTGTGAACTTTGGACAAAAATTAACACTGTTGTACCTCGCAAGTAAGGTTTCTCTGGATTACAGTACCTTCACTTCTCCTTTAATTACATATTGATGTGACACTATACAGAACTGATGTGCTAAGAGACCCTGTCTGTGCTATAAGTTCTTGATCTTCCCAGAGATCTTCTTTCTACTTTTAATGTGCAGTGTGTTTATGCTGTAAAAAAAATTCAGTTTTTCAAGCGGGATCTAAGTATACAACTTACCACAGTACTTAGTTATGCTTTCTTTTTCTATTTTAATCTACCACTGGTTTTAAATGTGGCAGAAAAATTTAGAGGGACTTCTTTTCAGGTCTTTTGAAATAAGAGCTAAGTTGGTTAGGGAGGAAAACAATTTTTCATCACAAATTGTTAATAGACTACTTCTGGAGAAATTCTAGCATGAATGGACCACAAAATATTAGTTTGGTGAGAGGTAGAATGAGGGGGAGTATGTGAGTTGCGATGGTAACCTCATCATGATTATGATTTCCTCAACAACAGATTGTGGTTAGCCACTGTCAATACGCTGTGTCCAGCAGAGACTCCCATCCTTCATCTTACTCCTCAACTGTACACGGATGAAGACATCATGAAAGATCCTTTGACTGTGCTTAGATGTGACAGAAGAGTGTTCAGGTACTTAGCTGTAAGAAAAGAATAATAACAGAATGGAAAAAATACTACTTAATCAAGAACAACACTTAGCCACAAGTACATTTTTCATGTTACTGAAATTCATGTTATTATGACAGATGCCCACCATTATTTGATCTTTTGGTGAGGGTCCTCATGGGGTACCTGGTAGGCTCAAGGGCCCTTTTAAGTCAATACCTCCAAGCACATCCTGCATCAAGAACTGAAGGATTAGCTGTTGAACAAGAGCGAGAGGAGCTCAGGGCTGCTCTGGTGACAGCACAAGAAAGTGCAGCCATACAGATTTTACTAGAAGTTTGTGTCAAAACACCTAAGGATCAGGTCTGTTGGGATCTCAATTATTTTAGTTTGAAGAACAAATAGTCTGATCAACTAACCAAAGCAAGCACTAAATACCCCAGGGCCATTATTTCTCAGGATTTTAGGAGTGCTTCTGCAGGTGTGACTGGATAAAATGTGTGCAACATCACAAGCTTTTCTTGACCGTGGTGGTTTTTGTTTTGTGTTGTTTTTTTCTGGTGTTGTTGTAACAGTTCACCCTTAACTCAGCAGATGTTACTTTGTAACTTCTCACAATATTATTACATTACTTAGCAAGTAGAACTGATGTGAAGAGAAAAAGTTATCAGCACAAGGTTAACTAATTCATAAGGAAGTGAATTCAATGATATTGTCTCCACCTCCGAAGGATCAACCAGGCTGCAGTGGATCAGCAGTGCTGCGTGAAGTCCAGTGCCGTGTCTGCTCACAGCTACATCAGATGTTTATTGCTGTTCCTGACCTTGCAAAACTTGTGCATTTCCAGGTACGAGATATACTCAAAGGTGATTCACAATGGCTTTCACGTCACTCTGATGTTTTCATAATTAAACATTATAACAGTTCTAAATGCATTGTTAAAAACTTTTTTAATAAAATCATGAAATAAGGGAGGATGACTTTGGATTGAAAAGCACTTGTTTTTCCTGCAGGGTTACCCTGTAGAACTTCTCCCAGTGACAGTGGCTGGCATCCCCTCTATGCACATCTGTTTAGATTTTATTCCAGAGCTCATAAACCAGCCACAACTGGAAAAACAGGTATGACTGTTTAACAGCCAGAGTATATATTGTTCTGCAATAGATTGAAAAGATTTAGAATAATTTTGAACCTTTCTAAAGTTGTTGTTACTTTTGTTGTTGTAGTTGTTTGCGGTTCAGCTTGCCTCATACCTGTGCCTACAGTTCCCACTCCCTAAAGCCATGGGTGTGGCCAAATACATTCTCAGTCGGCTCAGCTCTCTTCTAGCCACACTCCCGTCAAGCAAGCGTGTACCATTTTTCACACCTGCCCTCCCAGCTTTGGTGAGATTTTGCCATGCATTCCCACCTCTGTGTGATGAGGCCACTGGGTTTCTATTAGAACTTGGTCGTGTGGCAGTTTCTCATGCATCAGCATCTGCTGCCTTCATTCTGGGTAAGAATTACACACTCCTACATTTCTGTAAAAGTGATTTTTGCACATCAGGAACCACCTATGATAACCTTAGTTGTTCATAAGTTTTTACAAACATGCACTGAAAGCCAAACATCACCTGCTATAAAAAAAAAAAAAAACCTTCAGCAACCAGCCAACTGTCAGGCCAATGTAAGGGGAACAATGTGAGGGGAATAAAGTCAATTATTATTATTATTATTATTATTATTATTATTATTATTATTATTATTAACCTCTACTCTAAGGTATGGAGGACCCATAGAGCTCTTAGTGCTCAGAAAGGAAGTGGGATGTTATATTACTTGTTACATGATCTTTTTGAGAGGCAAAGTGATTCAGTGAGTACTGTGTTGTAATCTAGATTGAGAGGTCCTGGTTTCAAACCTGGCCAGTCACAAGGTTGGTTTTGTTTGGCACGACACATACCTCTCACAGTGCCTCCCTCCTCCAAGGTTTATGGATTGATACCAGTTTAGGAAACTTGACAAAATGGGAAGGGGGGTGATGGATCAACACACCAGACCATGAGCATGCTCTGGGTATCAGGATAAACTCCAGCACATTTCCTACCCATTTTCATGCCACTGTTTCTCATCTTTCATTCAAGGTACTCCTGGATCACTCTTAAATCAATTGTCTTTGGAGCAACTGCAAGAAACTGCTGACCAAGTGGATCATGGGTTCACAGATGACTCCTGGTTGCCAAACAACTTGACCCAGGAACATGAAAAAGGTACATTAGAGGGTACAGTTGACAACACTGATACTGCCCTTTGTCAAGCCATTGAAAAAACATTTCTTGATGTAACAAATGTTGCTTTAGTAAAGCAACATAACTGTGAACAGTAACAGCAAAAACAGGGACAAGATGAATGAATCAACACTGAAGAAGCTCCAGCAGGAATACTGCATTAGGCAACAAGCCAAGTTGGGACATAGGGTCAAATGATACTCTTTCTTAACTCACCCTCTTACAGCTAGTGCATTTGTTTTGTAGATTAATCATCAGTCAGTTTTGTTAAAAGAAAGTCAGTGCTTGGCTTGCATGTGAAATGGAATTTTGAGAGGAAGTTTTTGTGAGTGAGCTAGTGCCATGGCAAGAGCTTTAAATTTCCTTTATTTCTGTTAAAAACTATTGAACAGTTCTGCTTCTGATAGATAAGACAAATGTGTTCACTTTTATTTCATTTGAAGCTCACAATAAATAGCTTTCTACGAAGACTAACATCTCTATTTACAAACTATCCAAGTTGGATTATATAGAACTTTCAAAAAAGTAATATTGGAAGCTTCCAGTGTAATATGAAATGTTCTGAAATACATTTTAGCCATTTGTGGCATCATAGTTTACCTATCAACAGACAGTCACATTCAGTTGTCAAGGTAAAGGACTTGGAGGTTGATGTAAAGGCCATTATGCCAAAAAAAAACAACAAACAAAGAAATGGACATTGAAACATTTACATGTGAATGTAAAAATTCTTTGATTGTAGTTGTTATTTCATGTATTAAATAATTTTACATAACTAATAAATAGTAACTATAAACTTTAATTAAAATAGCGTATTTACACAGGCTTTACATGGTCCAATGAAAGCTAAATCTTAAGAAAATGAGGAAATGAGAAATTACTGTCAGGATGATGATAATACTGAAAAACTTTCATCCAGCCTTGTTTAAGTACGAACAAATCCTTCTCTAAAATGGCAGCAAAAAATTAGGTTGCTAAAATTACTAGTACCATAATTAAGTACTAGAGATTGCAAGCTTTTCCATGGATTTTGAGCAGTTTCACACCAGACTACTTCATGATATTAAATCATATTGCAAAACTACATATCAAAATTTGTATACTGCATGTCTCATCCAATTTGTTTGCTAGACATTTTAGCTTCCAGAAATGTAATAAACTGGTCATAACAATACTAAGAAACACATTATGTGTGTTCATGCCAAGTTAAAAACCTCTGTGCTTTATTGATCTATGAACTGTATTTAAAGTGCACCTAAAACCCCCAATTTTTTTCGCCAAAATAAACATATTTTTTTGGAGTATTTCTGTGCAAAATGTTTTTTATTTGCTCAAATCTTCAATTTTCTGTGCCCAGTCAAATATATGGAAAATCGACCGCCTTCTTGGCTCACGACCAAGTTTAAAGAGGAATGGTTCTAGCAGGTAATATGACGTCAAATCGAGAACACGAAAGTCGGCATTTCACACATTTTCACTTGTTTGAGAAGGTTGTAGTAGATATTGTCCGAAAAATATGCCGACTAAGTGTGTTGTAGGAGGATGTAGCAAAGTGCGAAATTTGCAAGAGGGTATTGTGCTTCATACATTCCTAATACAACACACCTAGTTGGCATATTTCAGACAATATCGACTACAACCTTCCCAAACAAGTGAAAATGTGTGAAATGCAGACTTTCCTGTTCTCCATTTGACGTCACATTACCCGCTAGAACCATTTCTCTTTAAACTTGGTCATGAGCCAAGATGGCGGCCGATTTTCCGTATTTTGACAGGGCACAGAAAATTAAAGATTTGAGCAAATAAAAAAATTTTTGCACAAATACTTCAAAAAGTACGCTTATTTCGTTAAGCGAAAAAAAAAATTGGGCTTTGCATGCACTTTAACCCTAACCCTAAAGGATACCCTAACCCTAACTTTTTCACCTGAGTTTACATTTAATAGACCTATTTGATTGCTTAATCCCGAAAAATGGATTTTTCCAAAAAAACTTGGTTCTTTTAACCATGTTTTACAACCACATTACACTAAGTTATCAAGATTCATCATCAAAAAGAGTTTGACTATTGTTCATAATCTGCTGATTCATATCAGTCATTGCTCTTCCTTGATTGTTAGAAAACAATACTCTTTTGAAACCTGGTGCATCTCAGATCCAGGAAAAAGGACATCACCTGCCTATCTACAGTCTGGCATCTCTTCCACCATTTGCCAAATCATACATCTCCTTGGCAACATCCTCAATGTCACCAAAGTAACTGCTGCTGCCAGTACTTGAGCTGTCCCCATGGCTATGGTATCCATTTCTCTTGGGTGATAACTCACCATTCTCATATATTCCTGCCTGACCTTTGTCACAAGAATTGGAATGGGAAAAATTATCATTTGTGTCAGCATGCTGATGACCATTCATTACCCCATTTTGTATGTGATTGTCAAGCTTTACATGTCGTAGTTGTTGTCGTACTTCATCTATCTCATGTGCTGAATTGTTTACAGGACCATTGCTTAGAGGGGGGTCTGGTCTTGAACTTTTGCGCAGTCTTGCTCTCTGCTCTCGTAGCTTGCCATCAGACTGAGGATCTTTATCAACTTTATTCACATGTATCACTGCTTCTTTTGCAAAATTTTCTTTTGCTTTACTCTCAGTCCTGTTAACAGCACGTCCAACCAAAGATGCTGTGTTTTTGGGATTATTTGAAGATTGAGAAAAGTCATTCTTGTCATCTATCCCAGCACCAGGTTCACCTGAAACAGAGACAGATACTGTCTGAAGAAATCCCATGAAAACAGGCTATTGATATCAATTAAAACCAACACATGACTTATGTTTAGTATGTGAAACCAGAGGTGGTTATTTGGCATGTGCACGCGCGCGCGCGCGCGCACACACACACACACACACACACACACACACACACACACACACACACACACTCACTCACTCTCTCACTCACTCACTCACACACACACACACACACACACACACACACACACACACTCTCTTCAATTTTTGTCTTTTTGTACTGCTGGTCCCACAGTAGTTTGTCACTTACTAAGCATTCTCTGCATAACTTTACGGGTGTACTTCTTCCATAGTGTAGCACCATAATTTATTGCAGCTTCATTTTGATCTTCAATAGGAAGTGCATCAACCTCAGTAAGAGATACATCCAGTGAAGACAAAATAATGTCTTTGTCACGAGCACCTGTGGCCAATAGGGTCCCATCTGGGGACAGAGAAAGGGCCTCCACCTTCAACATAATAAGGAAACATTGTAGCTGCCCTCTTTGACTGAATTAGACCTTTGTGTTGACAGCAAAGGGGGCCCATTTAAACCCCTATGCACTGGACCCAGCACCCTCTGCTATTACCTTGTTGTTAGACTGGTATTAAGAGGTATCCACAGAAATAGTAATGGGAACATCCAATCACAAATTTTACTCTTTAGTCTCAGACATTACCTCTGATCCTACCCTGTGCTGTTTGATCATCTGGAGCTGTTTACCACGCTTCCTCAATGGGTGCCATGCACGGCATGAATTGTCTCCAACAGAAAAGATCAGTGGAACTGATTTGCTGCTGATAACAGGATAAAACTGCAACTTATTTACAGCATCTTCATGTCCTCTGATTTTGATCAGCAATGTTCCACTTCTTGGTTCCCATAAAGAAATCTAGCAGATGATGGAGGTTTAATTAAACAGTTAATTTTTTTTTAGAGAAAGTGGGCCAGGGGTCTAGAAAGGGAGCCATGTAATTCTGGTACAGATGTGCATTTAACTAGCGTTTGAGAAGCATCCCAGGGTGTTAAGGTGGTACATGTTAACTTTCTTTATGAAAGAAGAGAGTCCACACATTTCTCTGAACTTAAAGTTTGCTAAAGAGAGAAAGTTAGATTTTTCAGTCCAGTGTTCCAACATTTTTCCATTTTGAAAATCATGATGGGAATCTAAATATTCTCTTCCACACAGGGCCTCTCTTTTGAAGAAATCTGATGTTCCCAGACCTATGGTGCAGGTCTTAAATTATTTATCATAATTAAGAGTTCCACTCAACTATCACTTGAAGTCGGCTTCTATTGTACGCTTCAATGCAGAAGAAAAGGGGCGGCTCACAATGTTAATGAATGCCAAACAAATAAGTCATATCTATCTCACACAGTAATATCAAACTCTTTCAGGCTTTACTTCCTCAAATGTTTGCTTTGTTCTATGATACAAAACGCGAAACGCAACAAATTGTGAAATGGAATGCCCTGACGAAAAACGATGAATTAAAAAAATAAAACCCCACTAAAAAGAATAAATGCATAGCAATCAAGAAACAGTTCATCAGACCCGCAGTAATTTGACGCCACTGTAATTGACAAGTCATTCAAGATGACACGGAACTTCAGAGTAGCTTTTAAGACTTAAAACCATTTCATATTAAACGCCCAATTTCTTCATTTAAATGAAAAAATAGTTATTATTATGGTTGAACTTGAAATGGTAGGAAATATAACATTCTAGGTACGAAAGGTTCTCACATTTATTCAACTAAACGGAAATGTCAACAAATTCCTGAAAAAAATTCTGCACCTTACTCCTGTGGCGTGCCGGAGCGCAAAAAGATTATCGAGCAAAAGTCGATCCCAAACCAAAACCTTTCTCTTTAGATAAGAAATAACTCCCATCATTTCTGTATTGAGTTGAAAGTTTGAAAAATAATTTTTACCTTGCTATCAGTAGCACCAGAAGCGATGTAACCCCCATCTGGAGACCAAGCACAACATTTCACGCTATCTTCGTGTCCACCTACCAAACTCATAACCGAGCTTGCAATTCGCGTGTCCCAAATCTTTAAAGAACCATCATCAGCGCCTGAACAAAGTAGACCCGAACCGATGCTCGTCTGGAAGGCACACGTCCATACACCAGTCGAATGCCCTGTCAGTTTCTGCAACATTTGTCCCGTACGCGCATCGGACAGACAAACAGTTTTGTCCCAAGCAGCAGAAGCTAGTAAAGTGCCATTGCTTGAGAAGGAAGTACCCAACACCCATCCTGTATGAGGTGAAAGTGACTGCAGAAGTTTTCCTGTCTCTCCGCTCCACAAAGCTACAGTACTATCTGCAGAACCCGAAGCAAGTACGCCAAGACAACCCGCGGTCTCCACTCCTGGTTGCCAAGAAAGACAGGTCACAGGGCTACGATGATGCCTCAAGACAAACACTGATTCTAGCGTACTAAGATCCCATATCCGCACAGTTTTATCCCAACTACTAGATGCGAGATGTAACCCTCCAGGACTGAATTCAAGTTCTGAAATGTGCCACTTATGGCCGCTCAGATGAGTCTGCTTTTCCGCAGACACACTCATTTCCGAGAAGTAAGGGAACTTATGATCGACGCTAGATATCAACAAAAATTCACTACATCTTATCTCCCAGGAAAAAAAAACCAGTTATTCTTCTAAATTCAGAATTATCTGTTTCCTAAGTTTTTAACCAACTCAGGATGATTGCTATTACCGATGTAGTTTTACCCGTCAATATATTCTTGTCCCTGTTTGTCTTGGTTTTGACTTGAAAACAGCTGAAGTCCCTAAGTTAAGAGATCATCGAAGAAAATTGCAGAATAGATCGTACAACTTGTTGGAAAGCTTGGAGAAAATTCTGTCTCTTTGAAATTTTAAAATATGCAAAACTGGATATATTTTCTCACGTCAGCCTTAGCGATGATAAGTAAACTGAGACAGATTAGTGTTATTTATAATGATAGTCACGTGACAACTGACAAAGGCTGCTTTAGGTTCCTCTGAATTCTTTGAAAAGTCATGAAATTTATTTCAGACACTACGGCCAATTTCGACCAAAAAGGACCCTTCAATACCAATTTAGTGGTACTCAAACTAAACTACGGTGTTTCGTATGAATTTAAATACTAGTGAGGGTCTAGAGTCAATTTGCATGCAAACCACCCACACATATTATCATTAAGTTACCAAGTAATTTTGAATGAACCAAACAAAATAGTACTTCATTACTTGAGTAGTTAACGGCATCAGAACAATATCAAGGAAATTTCACCCCTATGTCTTTAGATTTGCAAAAACAGGGAAATCTTACACAGCTATATCATTTTAAGCCAACATTTAATACACTTAAGAATTTTCTACTGATAACATCATGGTATGTTATGATATCTTAATGCAGCAAAGCTAGTTTGATATTCTGAGTAAAGAGAATGTGTCCTTCTTTCAACCAAGGGAAGAAAATTGATATTCAAATATGTCAATCTGTGAAACACCTGTTCACAATCCAGTGTCAGCTGCCAGTGATGCTGCCGCTGAGACGTGACTTGACATATTGAAAAAAAAATTAACAACAATCATAAGAAATGAAAAGGATTGTGACAATAGTCTCTTTATTACAACCCTTAGGAGAGCTGCATATTTTCCAACATTAAATAACAATGACAGATCAAAGTTTTGTCAAATTATAAATCCAACATCAAAAGTTTAGTTTAATATCTTGCTTATAAGATACCCAGTTAATAACCATGGAATGTTGTATTACATCTTATTGCAAGAAATTGTACCGCTCAATCATAACTAGTCTCTTTACAACCATTTATTTTTATCAGGCCATGGAATATCTAAAAAGTTAAAACATGGGCCTGCTGTGCCAGCAACAACCAGAAAATTAACTTTTTTTGATAGTTATTTTTAGGGTTCATCTCAAATAACTGGTGCTAGAAAGTGCACCGTGGCAGGAAATATAAAAGATGAACGATAGACCGAGTAAATTCACGGTGTCTTTAAATTTGACAACAAATGAACAGAAAACCAAGATGTTAAATGACAGTTATTTTTCGGTATAAACTATACCATCATCAGCAGGAACATAGGATTGATTAGCACATAGAACAGACTGGTTACATTGCACTGGGAAATGTGATTTTAGATTTGAATTACTATTATTTCTTGTTATTTTCAGTACTTGTAATAACAAGTACGGAGCAAACCCTGTTGATTATGGCTTTTAACCTGGATTGTTGGATACATGATAACCTGTTAGAAATAAACACTTAAATTGTTTAGTAAGATGTTGAACAACCCCCCCCCCTCCCCCATCTACATGAAATGGTAAATGCTTCTTATGTCTTCCTTGAATTTGCTTCAGTCCTTTCTCTCCATAATGACCTATCTACTTCCTCAAATTAATTCAAACAGTGCCTAATGGAGATTAGTTGACTGTTTCAAGAATTATGGCAACTGTTTTCATCAGCAAACATTTATTAAAATCACTTGCTCCTTGCTTTTTCAGAGTGTTGCACCTTGTAATTGCTGCTGTTTACTGTTTGTATTTTAGTATATAATATCCTATTACAAAAAGGGGAGGGAGCTAGTAGGATGGTCATGCTTCTTTCATTTTGTCAATATTCTGGCCCCGGTTGTTCGAATGATGGATAACGCTATACAATGGATAAATCTCTATCCGGTGGATAGCACAGTACGTTTTGGCAACACTTATCTGCTGGATAGCGATTTATCCGCTGGATAGCGTTATCCGCTCTTTAAACAACCGGAGCCTGATCTTTAACAGAACAAAAACGGGTAAGTATCCCCTCCCCCAAGAAAATGCATTTATATAGACATGCAAAGATTGAAATTGTCCGTTGTCACCATTCAAGTTGTCTGTGGGGGGGGAAGGAGGGTGCGAGGTCATTTACTTCCATTTTCTTAAATTTTGAAGTCATGGTATTCCAAATGAAAGTTAGGAGAAATCTAACTTATTTCAGTGCAGTTAATAATAATAATAATAAAAAACTATCCAACATATTGATAAACTTTTAGCTGACAAAACAGATATCATCTCACCGATGAGTGTTGACTTACATATTAGTTCAGTACATTTCCCACGAAGTAAACAGTCTATCCTGATTACTTATTTTGCCAAGAAATTTCCTGCAGACGTATTTGAAGATGATGAAGTAGATAATGATAATATTCCTGATAATGAAAATGCAGAGGTACAGGTGTAAAGATGAAAATTTCAACCAGTAATGCAGAATATCTACAACCCTGACAGTGATTCGAGTCTTTTCCCATCCTTCCGTCATTACATCATTACTTGATGTTGGTGTAGAGACTGCTCAGCTGGGCTCATGCTTCATACGATTCAACACTACCAATTTGACAAACATGGTTGCACCATTTTCACTTTGCATGTTGGGTGCAATACCACAATCAATCCTTTCAGTGCGATAAAAACTTTCTTCCCTTTTCTCGTCTTCTTTTCAGAATCTTTCTCCCTGCTCTAGTTCTTAGTCTTGCCAAGTAACCGTGCTTTCGTTTCCTTTGCAAGTTGTTCGGCTGATATTCCATGCCATATCTTACATAGCGACATGGTTGTTGAAGAATTGGAAGCACCTTCCCAAAAATGAACGATGAACCAGGAAGTTTAGACGCCGAAGAAACTAAGAATGCTCGCGATACTAAAGAGGATAACCAACTCATCTCTGATCTATTCCCGAGCCACTTGTTCCACACTTACTCTGCCAAAGCACTCTGGGAGTGTAAAATCACATTACTAAGGGGAGGAGAGAGAGTGGTTTAGCCTTTTTCACTTTCTATAAATGTTGATTTTGAAGTAAAAAACTTTTTAAAAAACTCTGAAATATTTTCTGAAAAATTAAAAGCGAAAAATAAAAAGCTCTCACTATGTTAAATGTTATAACTGTCTTAATACGCAAAGTTATCAACTTTATCTTAATATCTTCACTCTTCCCGATATGATAAAATGTTGCTTCCTTGTACCCTGGGACACAATAATTATGCTTACATCAAGATGATTCCTTGGATTTTGAATCATGGCGGCCTTTTGATGTTATTTACTGAAAGTGATTCCTAAATGGCGAAACGAAGAGTTCGAATCACCTACGCTCCAAAATCAAGGCGCAGAAGCCGTGAATCTGAACGAAGTCAGTCAATTGTGGAATCAAATGTACCAAGGATAAAGGAAACAGATGTTTTCCCATCGACTACACTAGTTAGTCAAGATAAAGTAATTTCATTCTTCACTCCATCACATTATTTGGCTACTGAAGAGGCTTACTTTTCCACCTCTGAACCCTTCAAATTCTAAATGGATATATTTTGAGTAGCTGGAAATTGACTTCACAGCCTTCATTGGGAAAGTTGTAGTGTGAGAGGGGAGGGTTTTGTCCTGGTGTACCGGTTCACAAGGGAATTACCGTTCTTTCTTTGTTTAGGAGTCATTGGTTAGCTGTTGTGTATTGTTCGGTCTTTTGTATCGGCTCTTGTGAACCGGTACACGAGGACAGAACCGAGGGGAGTGTTGTTGTCACGGTATATTTACAGGGAGGGAGATTGATGAGGGAACATACTGAAGATGAGCTGGTGATACCATTGAATATCAAAATCGTAACGATAGCAATTTATGTTTTGAATTATTTTATTATTTCGATTTCAATAGAAAGAAGAGAGAGAAAGTCGTTCTTCAAGCAAGGAACATTTATCTCCACACAGAAATTTAAAGTCTAATAAAACTGAAGGTACCAAATTGTTTTTGTAGTCAATGTTTGTTTCTAACAGGATGTAGTGATGGATGACCTTAAAAATACTTGTTATCTGATCAAACTTACTCCTTATATAGCAGCTAGAAATCATATCAGTTTATTTGGCTTGATTCCATCTAGGTAAATGTGGAAGGACACCCAAGGGTAAACAGAGAACAAAAAAGAAAGTATTTAGCAAGAGAGGAAAAGCTTTGAAGGATAATGGAACACCACAGCGCATTCAGGATATAACTGTCACAAAGAGAACATATGCAAGATGGAAATCACTTTGCTTGTCAACAAAAACATACACTAAACAAGTCATTGAAAACACTATTTTGTAAGTTTTATATTGGTTCCTTAAAAAAAATCAACCTCATGATTAGGGGGGTCCTATAATGCATCCTATCAAAATGTGTCAATGATCATTGCAGAGAGCTATCTAATTGGCAAAATAACCTTAAAGTTGTGAGAAATAGTTAAACTGACAACCATCCATATCAAAAGGGCAAAGGCTAAAAATTTCTGCATTTTTCAAGTTGATCATGTTTGATTTCTATAAAATTACACTGATAAGCATTGACAGTTTATGCCGTGATTTCTTTTGTTTAGCTTGATCTTTTCAAAATCTGCCAGCTCCACCTATTTGCTTATTTGTAAGGCTTCTTTCAATTGGAAAAATTAAGGTGACACGTGAAAATATCCCCCCATGACAGATGTAACTGCAAAGAAAACACATTTGCATCCCATGCCCAACATGCCTACAGTGATTTTCTACTCTACTGGCTACATTCTTTTAGGTTTTGGTAATTAAATGAAAATGATGTTAAATCTCTCTTACTGTGTAGGAGTGTTCTGAATGATGTTCCGAATTCCAAGAAGAGAGACATTCAGTTTCATTTTAAGCAAATATCTGAAAGGTAAATTTATCCTATAGGGACTGATCTTAACCTTTTCGCAGAATCTCAATATTGGCAGTAGCATTAATTTCGTCTACCAATAGAAAGGAACATGAGATTTAAACTAGAAACTGTTTCAACAGGACTGCTAGAAGGCTTGACACAATGAAGGGACCAACCCAAAGGGGAGACTACACCAAAATGGAAACTGAATCAGTAAGTCAAGAAACAAACAAGCAATATCTAAAATAATGGCTGAGTTAGTAGTACATGACTTGCCAGTGTTATTTTTAATTGACCAGAACTCTAAGCTAAAAATGGCTATATTTTAAATTAATTTTAAACTTTTTCAAAAACAGCATGAATTGGAAGATGCATTAATTTCTTGTAATAATCAAGCAGATGTTTTGGAGAAAGAATTAGATGACCAGAGAAGGTAAGGAAAATTGAATCTTGAATTTCTTCAGCAGATACATGTATAATGTAGCTTATTAAAAGTATTTCTGTGCCTGCATTACTCAGTCTACCTACCAGCCTGCCTATCTGCCTTAGAAGCCTGTCTGTCTGTCTAGGCAAAACAGATATTGTAGGTGTACTTTTTCTTATTGAAATAATTATCTTATTTAGTATGATACAATCAAACCTGTATTAAGTTGTCAGTTGTCAAAGTCCCCGCATTTTTCCTCTTTTATTTTAGTAATTTTCACCTCAATGCATTTATTTATTTTTAAAATCAAATGAATTGCATTCAAAGTTGAGAGAAATGTTGGTAACTTCTGACTTCCAAAATTCTGTTTCTCATTCAGGCTATTAGAACAGGATGAAGAGATGTTACAAAGCTACAGTGATCAACAAAACCAGCAAAACCAACCACAGGTAGTGAATTATTGATATTCTTAATTATATATAATTGACCCAAACATGAAATCAACAAGGGTGAATACTTACCAGCTTTGTCTCACATGAAATGTTAAGAGTACAAAATATTGTTGCTTTTTATTCTCAGTCTATTACAATACAAATACAAAGAGAAACACAAACACAATATCAAAGGCTCCTTAGAGCTACCTCATGGTACATACATGTATGTATGTCTTAATTCTTCAATTAATTCTTAAACAAGATTTATGTGGTCAAACCAATGCCAAAATAGCTCTCAAGAAAACTGTGTAAAAAGAAAGAAAAGAAAGTGAAAATCCATTGAAATCTGTAACACCTAAAATCAGTTGCCAAATATGTGTAAAATATGGTCAAATGGCAGAGAAATGGATGTGAGAAAATCAGCTTGGAGGCAGAATGAAAATTTCTTTGGCAGGGCAAGAAAATATTTCCATATCTATCATTGGGACTATTGCCATCATCAGTTTATAGACTTTGAAGCCCTCCTTTCTAATTGAGTATTCTCACACAAATTTCCTCACCATTTGTACAGTCGGCAAGAGTGTATTTTGATCAAGGGTGGAACAAAAACCTATTGCCCTGCGACAGTCGCCATTTAGAATTTTGTTGATGACTCCATGTACTCAGGCAAAATCTTAGCCTTTTTACCAAACCCCAGATATTTGAGTAGAAGAAAACAGCATGACTTTGGGGATAGAAGCAAACCTAGTTGGGGGGGGGGGGGGGTAGGAGTGAATGCATTTAATCCAAATTTTAATGCACACGTTAGTTATGTAACAGATCAAACTTGAATGAGTGATTGTGTGAATTTCCTTCCATGACAAAACCTCATAACTTATGACTGGTGTCATACCATGAGGTGACAACATGATCCTGGTTCCAGCTTTTAGAATGAATAATCTTTGGCAATAGAGAATTGTTTATTTATTTTTGCCATCACCACACCATTATCTTGAAAGAGAATAAAGTTTAGGTTAAAACATAGGCAGAGTTTGATTTCTTGGTAAACAAATGATTGTTCAATGTTCATCTTGTTTCTTTAATACACAGCTCCATCCTCTGCTCCAAGTTGAGCCTCAAAACTCCTTAAATCTACCAAGCTTGGCACATGCAGAGTGTAATCCATCTACAGTGTTCCAGGCTAGTATATCTTGTGGTTAATGTTGCTGAATGTTATTCATTTGAAGTCAAACACAAAGTGAAAACAGCCAGACAGGCTGCTCAGTGAAACACGATATCACTCTTAATAATTGTGCAGTCTGTATGGTGCTTTGTGTAAATCCTGATTCTTCCGATGCCTTAAATCTCAGTGTAAAGTACACATGCTATATGATAATCCTGCATACTTGATACCAAATTTTTATACAAATTCAGTGATGCTTCTGTCAGTTAAAATGTACCAAAGTTCCGTTGATTTTCTTCATCTCATTTCCGTTATTAAAAATTACCATTACTATAAAAACAATATAACTATTTACAGTGGAATGCTTCTTAAATCATGCACTTATCCTCAACTCCAAGATGCCATTAGATAGATGGTGGGTCAGATTAATACCTCCCCTCCCCCCCTAAGGTTGAGCTGGAGCGTAAGCATCACTGAATAATTAATGTGTTCACAATTAAGGTAGAGTTGACAAAGGTAAAGTAACAGCTGTGGTCAACTTAAAATGGCACATGTAGAAAAAGTAATTTGAATATAGTGGCCTTTTTAATAAGCAAAATATCCCTTCCTTTTCCTTTAAGTGCATTATAAACTTAATATTTAGATCAATTTCTGTATTCTACAACAGGTATCCTCCATGCTGCAAGGCAATGGACAACGACTAGCTCAAGCACTGGCCAAGTTGACTAATCGAACAGAAAAACTAGGCTTCAGAAACTGGCTGAGGGCTGTATCTGAAACAACTCATGTCTTACACAATGAATGAGAAAATTGATCCTAAAGTTTTTTGTATATTTATTTTTTTAGAGCGATAAAAATTGTTATGAAGATGAAAACTTCAGTCTGTAATAAACTAATTGCATTATATTAATCTCTGTGTAATCACTTGCAGTGTGTAGACAGTACAATGCTACTCTTAACCAGGAAATAAGGTCATCAGTTTATGCATCCCTTTAAAGTATAATGCTTCACTTTGATTGACTGTTTTTAAACAGCTGTGATTGGCTTATTTTGATCCCTATTACATTGGTGATTTTTTTTTTCTCAACAGTTTGCTTGTGGTAGCTACACAACCGCTCACAAAAACATCAGGGAATGAAATGAACTTATCTCAGCTGTGTAAAAACAACCAATCATATCTGGGCATTGCACTTTATCAATAGCATGTTGTTGACTTTCCAAAATTACCCCCAAAAGTGGTGTGCAACTGAAACTTGAGACTCACATCATAAGTTACCATCTTGGGTTACAAATTACAGTGTTGTGTTCTCTTTCACCACAGTGTTGCACGGCATTTGTTTACATATTAAATTCTGTAACACTCTAAACCTAATTATCTTAATTGACCTAATTAACTTCTTTGTTCACAAATGAATTTGAGTTACATTTGTACATGAGAAATACATTATGTCCATTTTGTATTTTACCCCATTTTTTTGTTTTCATTCATTTGTTTTAGTTTACTTCTTTATATTTCTGTTGTCCCATTCTATACCTCCCTGATGTGTTTGTACACTTCTATTTTTTGTCATAAGTGGGCAATTTATCCAGTTGATGGCAAGTTTGCCTTTTTCCCTCACCTGAAAATTGAGGAAATGTATTGTAACACTACTAAATTTAAACAGAATTGAACAAAATGGTTAATTCTATCATAATAAAGTCAGAGTTAAGTCAAAAGCTATTACCTCCAACATATGTTGCTGGTGTTGATTGTTGGAATATTTAGGTCTCATATTAGATATGAAGTGAAGATGGGTGTGGCTCCCATGGGTGTGGCTCCCATGCAGGACCATTTGTTGCAGCTCAGTGGGTAGAGGAGTGTAACACAAAGCATTCCTTGTTGGAGTTAAAGTCCAGATCAGAGGAATTTTTTTAAGCATTTTCTCTGTACATAATGATGCATACATTTCCTAAGGTGAAGATTTACTTAATTTATTTATTTACTCAAATTCAATTACACAGATAATCAAAACAAAAACAAAAACAAGGAGTTAAATATATATACAAGTATAAAAAAGAGATATCAGAGTAATTAGGCCAGTTTATACAGAATTCTAGATTCCTTATTTTAAATAAACTGCCTGTGATAAACATCACTTTCTTACTAAACAATGATACTCGATCAATTGTTCAAGATAAGGAGAATTTGTGTAACAATCAAGAAGTTCTGTGGTTTGTGATCATTTTCTTTATCCTCTTGACCTTGGTGTATGTGAGTAGGGAGAAGTTGGAGGTTAGTCACTCTTAGGGGGGTGGGGGGAGTAGCTGTTACTCTATGGTGAGTGATACATCCCATAGCTCTTTGCAGGGTGTTCACTAAGTATTAGGAGATGTTTAAGAGTCATAATAGGATAAATATTGTTGTTTACTTTATTTTGAATAGTATTCCCATTTATCCCTTTGATTATAGATGAAGTTGTGAAACTTTGGTCAGTGAACCTGGGATGACTTCATTAAGAAAGATTTGGTCAGAGCTGACCCGGTAAGATTTGCTTGTTGTCTTTACACTATCGTTCAGTTTTAATGCTATATTGTGTAGAAACTAGTTTTTTAACTGCTCTATGGTAAACAATCCATAAAATTGACTGTTAAAATTCTCACTGCAAAGCAGTATGATTGTTTTCACCTCATTTTCGCACTGCTAACCACTGAAGAAAGATCCCGGTTCATTGAAACACATTTGACTTGACATTCACAGATTGGCAGTAAAATCAGACTGACACGTAGAAAAATTGTAAATAAAGGCGAGATAGTTGTTTGTTTAAATATTTGATGGGCTCAAGACATGTAAGATTTATAATTAACTATCTTAGAAAAAAAGACTGCTCTATTTCATTCATGCTAGGTAAATGCACTTGTTAGTGCATTTTTGTAAAAAAGAGTATGCACCTATCCAATTTTAAAATTTACAACTTGTTTTATTTTGCTGTTGATGACCAATATTACATGACACATAAAAATCAATTGATTCAGTGTTCATGTTCATACCTACTTGTACATGCATGTACAACCTTTATAATTCCACCATTAGGGTATTTGACTGTTTTACAGCATCAAAGCAAGCAAACTTTGCACTGTATTACAAGAAATGGACAGAAAGTGGAGCAACAAAAAACTGCGCTGAACAATCCCAACTTTGTTTTTGTTCCAGTTGTTTTGGTTGGTTTTTAAACAACAAACTTTTAAGCTTCAAGTACCCTTGAAATCCAATTTTTACATTTTTGAGTACATAGTGACTTTCACAAACCTTGCAAGATTTCAATCCAATATGAAATGGTTGGTTGTTTACTTTTGAAATACATACAATAGAAATACAATTCACTTGCTTCCGAAATGAAACAGCAATGGCGATATTTTCTGGGTAATAAATGTCAAAAAGCCCGAGAGATATTATCAACACTGGCAGAAAGACTCTGTTTTCATGTGCAGCAATATCCTCTACATTTAGGTCATTAAATTTACTCATAAATAAGGTTTGACTTGTGTATGTAGGGCTCAATTGATGTAAGAAATTCAGTGTACATGATTGAGGCTCAAGGTATTTCTGTTGATTGTAATTGTGTATACAGGTCTGTGCAATTCAAGATATGTATGTATACTATATGTATGTATACTATATATATGTATGTATACTATATTTATGTATACTAAATTTATGTATACTATATGCATGCATGTGTACTATATGCATGCATCTGTACTATATGCATGCATGTGTACTATATGCATGCGAGTGGACTATATGCATGCATGTGTACTATATGCATGCATGTGGTCTGTATGTATGCGAGTGGACTATATGCACGGGAGTGCGCTATATGCACGCGAGTGCACTATATGCACGCAAGTGCGCTATTTGCACGCGAGTGCGCTATTTGCACGCGAGTGCACTATTTGCACGCGAGTGCGCTATTTGCACGCGAGTGCGCTATTTGCACGCGAGTGCGCTATTTGCACGCGAGTGCGCTATTTGCACGCGAGTGCGCTGTTTGCACGCGAGTGCGCTGTTTGCACGCGAGTGCGCTGTTTGCACGCGAGTGCGCTGTTTGCACGCGAGTGCGCTGTTTGCACGCGAGTGCGCTGTTTGCACGCGGGAATTGAACTCGGGCCACAGTGGTGGGAGGCGAGTGCTCTCACCACCGCGCCATCCCTGCTCTGTACACAGATAGGGAGAAAAAAAACTATTCTTTGCATCTTGTTACCTTTATCAGGTTTACTCATTTCTCCTTTCTCTAACCTTGCTACCAGTCCTAAGGGTTAGCAAGAAGTAGTCAGAATTTTGCCAAGCAATTGACAAAGGGCTAATGTTTGAAAGGTCAGCTCTGAAACTCATAAGGTGGCCAATTTACATTATGAACTCGGTTGATACAAACCAAAATTACCATCTACCATTTGTTACCAATACAAAGTCATGCACCAAGGGCATTCACTCACAAACTGTCACATTTTGTTTTTTAATTTTTTACAGATAACATACATAGACACAAAATGATTGTTCATTTCAGTTGACCTGGGATATTATTGCCTGGTTGTTTGGTTTTAAAGTCGCCTCACTTGTTCCAGAAGTTTATGATGTCTGACAGTTGAAATTACGATATTGCTGTGTGGAGAAGATTCTTTCTTTGTAAGTAGCCTCATAGAAGAGTTACAACCAGCAACGACAAGACAACTGAGTCAAGCTGTAAAGTGATCAAAAGTCTGGACTTCTGTGAACTCAAGTAAGATAGTTTTTTTTTTTCAACAATTTTGTGAGCTTATCTCTGTCTTTTCCACTTAAGGTGGCTGAACACAGGTTTTGATACCTGCGTTTCTTTCACCATTTTCTCTAAAACCCTTGATCTCTCGGTTGCCAAAACTGGCAGCAAGCAAGTTAACAGCACAAACTGTTTTTTTTATAGTTAAAGTTGATGTATGTGCCATTTTCATGGTGACATGAATGAATATAAACAGGCCTTTAAGATTGGTTTTGTTCATTTGTAGAAAATCTAGCCATTAGTTTTTCTCTATAATTCGCATGCAACGAGCTTGTAGCGATACTCACAAGTTAACACAGTTTTGCTAACAATTTAACAGAGAGATCTTTAATTATCCCTAGTTGACGGTTCACTCAATTATCTAGAATTTTCTTTGCTAAAAATCAATTTTTTTTTCAATACTCTAGTGACTTATTTCCTAAAGTATTTTCATGCCAAATTTCATGAAATTCTAATGAGTGGCTCTCAAGAAATAAGCATATTTCCGAGAAAGCAATTTTCCGTTCAATCCCAATTTTTTTACTTAATTACTATGCATGCACTGCATTTAACTGGGTTCTCTCGGTAACAATGAAAAAGCTGAGAATTGCTGGGTTCTTTGCACCATTAACTTTTCTAACATGTAATAAAAGACTAAAGTCCTAAATACACTGCGCCAACTGTAGAGAAAAATATCACAGATAGTGCGGATACGTGTTGAGTAAATAAAACGACCGCTCTATTGATGGCATGTTTGTTTTTTGCAGTCCTTGCGCACGTGCTGAATTCCATCAGCAAAAGCACATGCGAAAACTGTGTTCAGCCACCTTAAAAGAAAAACAAAACATAGCAACAGTAACATTTGTAGTTAAAATTAAAACTGAACTGTTGCCATAGTTCTCAATCATCTGAGATGTTTTTCTCTTATCTGAAATAAAGTCATGCTTGTGTGTCATTTCTATTGCCAAAACAAATATCCTTTGAGTGGTGGAAACTTTAAAATAAAAGTTCGTAAGTGTAGACCAACACCAAAACTTCTTAGAAACAGGAATGAATAAGGATGGCATCCATAAGAACCGACTGTTGTTGAGGTACTTGAAAACTGAGGCTGAGTTGTCGAGACATTGCTTTTTACTTTTTCACTTTTGTGATCTTTACTGTTTGTCCTTTGCTAATGAGTATTTCTATATTAATCATCAGGCAATAATGCTGTGAGAAGAAACCACAATGAAGAGTTGACAAGATCAAAGTTTAGGAGACAGATACAGTAATACAGGTTAGTTTTATGATATTTTTATGTCCAGGTTTTAAAAAAGGGTGGTTGATGTTAATCCATGAGTGAGTGAATATTTTCTTGGACAAAGATACCTTTCACTCCAGCTATGAAACTGATCTCTGAATGGGACACTTGTTTCAAGGAAATGTGCAAGTAAGTTAAAAATTAAAAAAAAAAAAGAAAAAACAACAACAACAACTATTCACTCAAAAGTTTGAATGATAAGAAATAAACACACGTTCTTGATTAACTCAATCATACTTTTGAAACCTGCATGTTGTGCAATGTAATGGTAGCTAGTATTAGGTTATACCTCTTCTTCTTTAACATTCTGTGGTACTGTCATGTGTGCTTCATGGAACACTTAGTGTTAACCTGCAATGCAGGTCTTTCTGTTGACCTGTTTAGCTTACTAACTTAAAGACTTGTTATTGAGTCCAATTTCTTTCTGATGTATTCATGTTAACAAGACATCAACAAAAATACAAACTATCAAATGCATCTTTAAGGTGTTGATGAATCTGATACATTTGTATGTTTTCATGACTTTTCAATTTCTTTTTAAAACAATGCAAATGAAAAAGTGGCATTTAAAAGTGTATCGTAAGCAGGTCAGGGTTGAAAATGGGGACAGTTTGATTTTTCTTGACATCACTTAAACAATGATCTTTGATTTCCTTCATATCTCCAAGAATCCAAAGTTATAGGAAGTGATAGTTTCAATTATTGATCAACACGGGGTAAACATGAGTCAAGAAGTGAGACACAAAAAGTTGTCTATTATGATAAGCCACCTTGAAATTTTAGGATAGATTACTGGTGTATTGGGCTGCAAATGAAATCCAGAATTGCAATGGTTTTACTATACTACATGTACAATCTATGATTTGTTCAAGAAAACTTGTCTCACCCTCTTGACCAATCAGATGCCAAACTTAAACAAACTGCATGAGAAAAATGTGTAATTTTAAGGATCAGAGAAACTAAAAAGAAACAATTTTTGGTGTAGTTAGAATTATTTCTGCCTGAAATGTGACAGACTAAACATAAGGAGAGGCAATGATGACAACATGAAGTATTTTCTAGTGAGGGGATGAAGAGGAAAATCCAACCTTTAAAATCCATTGTCTTTATGTACCAGTTGCCAAACTGGTCAATTAAACAGTGCAGTCACAGTTAAAAACTCTGTTTATGATCTCTTTAATTTTTTAAGATTTTATCCTGAAACAGACCTCTGATACACTTTTAGTTTGAAATTTATAGAGCTTAGCTCAATTTTGATAATACTTGAAAGCATGTCTTAAAATAATTTCTTTTCCTTTCAGGTTTGAACTTGTTAATTGAAATAAAGTTTCTCACACCCTCTCCTTGGATACACTTAGTTGTGGAAGAAATTGCGTGTAGGAGAGCGAAGTTTGCGTTAAAAGGCGTCGCATGCATAATTTGTGCTTTTAAAAGGGCTAACTAAAATGTAGAAAAAAAACTTTTGGCAGGAAAATTTTCTCCTGAAACAAAAAAAAAACTAAGTCTTTTGGCAGGAAAGTTTGTCCATGGAAAAAAAAGCCTGGGCTTTTGAATGGTGTCTGGTGTTGATTGAAAAATATACTAAGTCTTTTGGTGAGAAAAAATCTTGCTTTGAGCAGTGGACTTTCTCCCATCAAGAGTCGATTATGTTTTTTTGTTTTACAAGAGAGGCTATTCAAATCTACAGAAAATTTTTCCCCTCGGCAACCCTCCATAAGTAAAAATGAGTAAAAGAGATAGCCTACATTTTGACTAGTTTCCAGGCCCTTTTAAAAGCGCAATACCTTTTTTTGACCATTTGTATGATCAATAGAATACAAAGTGGAAATACAACTCTTATTTCTTTGTTAGTTCTCTTTATTAATAAATCTCTTCATTATATGTGAAAGTTTACAACAGTAGATAAGCATACATCACAGAGCTAAGTCTGATAACAAGAACAAATAACTAGATGCGAAAGCATCAAGAATACTGACATCGTACGGAAATTTTCAAATGTAAAACTTATGGCACAATAAAATGCAAATTGATAAACTTCCTTAGTTTCTCTTCGTCGACTAATTGGAAATGCCAGAATTTTGAAGAAAAAATGTTAAACAGGAAAGTCCATAAAAGACTTGTGACTTAACTCCAAAGGTTAACCCTTTAATGTCCTTGCAAGATGTAGGCGTATACTCCCAAGCTAAGATTTTTGTTCTTTCTACTTCTAAATTCAGCCTGATCTGTTGCATTCAAATTTTTTCATGCCAAATTATTTCCAATCTACCTACAAAATCCTTGTTAAAAATTACCATTTCTTACATTTTGTAATTAGAAATTGCAAATTTTTCTCGACAGCAGCTATTTAATTCCAATCAACACTCACGTTGCGAAGCGTCCTTTTTCCTTTTGGCGCCAAAAGTATGAATTTGTTTGCTTAATTTACAGGTTTTATCTCTAAAATTAATTTCCAACTTTCTTTCTTGTACTTTTTCGATATTTCTCTCTCTCTCCCCTTGCTTGTGGTCGGCTTCAACAACTGATGTTAAAGGAACTGTAAGAGAACACAAGCCTGACTTGAACTACGTAAAAAACCGTACAGAATAACGGTAACAAATATGGCCTCTAAATGTCGTCCTGAGAAAACGTTTGAAGTTTTTCATTAGCAGCATGTTGGTAAATGGACGATTCAATCGAGGCCTAGCGCTACTAAATTTCTTTTTTATTTTGAGCTTACGCCGATCTACGACATCGTCAGGGAATGCAAAGAAATTATTCCACTAAGCATGATATAAAAGCGATGAAGGTGAAACAAATAAGTAGAGTTTTTCACAGTTGATGGTTCCTACTACAAAACCTTTTCATTCTACGTGACATATTTGAGTCTTATTTCTCCGCTAGTTGCCTTAATTTGTTAAAAGCAATGCCAACAATTCATTACATTAAAACCGACCAACCTAACATCAATGCCTATATTCTCCTTACGAATTCAGACATTCTCTTTCTAATTTTTTTTTGAGAATTCAGTGACACAGCAAGATAAGAACATCTAACTAAGAAGAGTTCTCAGAATTATCATATTATCAAAATGTCGAGAAAATGTCTTCATATCTGTACAAAAATAAAATGATATTTAACATTTTGCGGTGCAGTCGACAAAAATCTGCAAATAAATGAAAAAAAAAATTGCTAATTTGATATTTTTTTAACCTTTCTGACCTCTCCTCTAGTTTGTTTCTCGCCGATGAAAATTCTTACGTGTTACAAAAGTACAATTTCAAACCAATGACAATCACGTCTCAAGATTTTAAAACTGAATAATTACATCGCCATAAAATCGGTTTCAATCTGAAAAGAAAAATGTGCAAACAAAGCGTGCATCACAACTTCGCGAAGTTTTGGATGACACACCTTCCTCTCCGCTTTACTCTCCCAAACGTTCTACAAAAATTTTACTTTTACTGACATGCAACAAGAAAGGTTCCTTTAGGGCCGGGTCGCACTACAGCGAATTTGAGCCAATTTTGTTCGCATAAGTAATAAATCTGTCACCAAGTAACGTAAAATAAGTGTGACATCCAGTTTCAAAAACTCGCCAATTTTTTGCGGATTGCCAAATTTTCGCCAATCTTCAAAAGAAGCCGAAGTGCTNTTAAGAAACCACGACGGCGACGCCAAGGAAGACTTCGATTAAAAAATGAATTTCTACTCTTAGTTAGAATTTCAAAAATGGCTGCAGGAGCTTACTGTCTCATACAGCGCCACAGCTCAACTTCAGCATGACGTATAAAGTAGCCGTTGAGTTCCAAATGGAAATTAAAATAATTTGCCGTCGCGGTTTCGGTTCGCAGACGACGCAAATTTTGGCGATTTCACGTTGTTGTTTTGCATAGGACGGCTAAGAAATGTACAAAGTTTCAAAACGCACGTGCTGAGCTATTGTTCTGCCAATTAGATCTCTTGTTTTTCCCCGTCCTCATTGCCGTTGCCGTTGCCGTCGCCGTCGTGGTTGCTTAAGGTTCGTAATAGGGAAGAGACTGCGGCAAGACAATCTCTGTCCCTTGCAAACATGGAAGCAAGTCAGTCTCCTTCGCTCGCTTCGATTCCAAGTGTGGAAAGCAGTAAGAGCGGTGGAAACAACAACACAAATGAAAGCAAAGGAAAAAGAAAGTAAAGTACAAGACGTGTCAATCAGCAAAGTTGTGGCTCAAACATGTTGGTCCAATGCGATCACCGCCAAAATTTGGCCCTTGGGAAATTTTTGCCAATTTTTTCGTCGCCAAAAATTAGAAGTAAAAAAAATTGGCTCTAGTGCGACCCGGCCCTTACTTTATAATTTTGGGGGTG